TGTACTGGAACCCCATTGTGTGAAGGGTACCAGTATTGTATTGATGAGGACCTGCTGACAACTATAACAAGCATCCTTGCTTTGTGACTGCACTGATTGAAAGGGAAGACCAAATAATTTGAGTCTGTTACCTCTGGCCTGAGGGGGGGTTGTGCAGGGAGCAAAGTGTAAAAAGGCATGCAAGACAGAGATGCTGTGAGCATCCAGCTAGCCTTAAGGTAGGTGAAAAATAAGAAAACAAGGGAACAGCCCAGTTCAATCTATGAGATGGATGCCTGTCCCTGAACGCAAAGTGTCTTTACAACAGCATATCGAAACTAATTGCCGGTGTGCCGTGAAGTACAGCTTTAAAATGCAGATTTGACAGGTGACATGAGCATCCTGGGGGGGCAGGTAGCTTTTGGATGCCAGCATCGTTGGATGAGGCGTGGGGGTAGTGATAGGTATGGCAGGTGCCCTGGCTTGTGCCCTGAGATGTTGCTGCTATCGTAGATTCTCTTCTTTCATCCAAGTCATTAATATATATTGTAAAGAGTTGTGGCTCCAACACTGATCCCTGTGGCACTCCACAAGTTACAGGCTGCCATTCTGAAAATGGCCCCTTTAATCCCAACTTGCTGCTCCATTTAGTTAATTAGCCAGTCTTTTATCCATGCTAATATACTACCCCCAACACCATGAGCTGTTATGTTATTAGGTAGCCTTATATGCAGTACCTTATTGAACGCCTTTCCTTTTGGAAATTGAAATATATTACAAGATGATCTAGAGGTGCAAGCAGCAAGCTGAAGTTGCTGGGTACCTGCTCTGACTTGCATGGCAGAATTTTATTGACAGCTAGTTTCCTTGTGGAGGGTGATAGAATAGGAAGCTGCATGTTAATGAGATGAAATGTAGAGTTAATGAGGTTGACAACAAGCAATAATTCCTCTTAGGCATCTTGCTGCTCCCTTGTGAGAATCTCATCTTGACGCCTGGAACTCTGTTTGAAAATGCGTCTGGTCGCTTCCGAATCGAGAGAGGTCTCGCCTGACTTCTCATACAGTTCTTCTATATTCTTTGCCATAGACCACGTCGTTCAGGTCACAAAAGGATTCCGCCTAGTGACTCCATGATGTCAATTTGTGACAATGAGTCGCAAACAGTGGACCAACCACCTGCTAATATTGCTGATATTGCCAAATACAATGACAGTGCAAAGACATAGAACAGTACAGCACAGTATAGGCCCTTCGGCCCACGATGTTGTGCCAACCTATTATCCTACTAAGATCAATCTACTCTGCATACCCTACATTTTACTATCCTCCATGTGCCTATCCAAGAGTCGTTTAAAAGTCTCAAGTTTCTGACTCCACTACCACTGCCGGCAGCGCATTCCACACGCCCACCACTCTCTGTGTAAAGAACCTACCTCTGACATCTCCCCTATGCCTTCCTCCAATCACCTAAAAATTATGCCCCCTTGTAATAGTCATTTCTGCCCTGGGAAAAAGTCTCTGACTATCCACTCTATCTACGCCTCTCAACATCTTGTAAACCTCTATCAAGTCACTTCTCATCCTTCTTCGCTCCAACGATAAAAGCCCTAGCTCCCTCAACCTTTCCTCATAAGACCTGTCCTACAGTCCAGGCAGCATCCTGGTAAATCTCCTCTGCACCCTCTCCTAAAGCTTCCACATCTTTCCTATAATGAGGTGGCCAGAACTGAACACAATATTCCAGGTGTGGTCTAACCAGAGTTTTATAGAGCTCCAGCATAATCCCATGGTTCTTAAACTCAATTCCCCTGCCACTGAAGGCCAACATGCCATACGCCTTCTTTGCAACCCTCTCAACTTGGGTAGCAACTTTGAGGGATCTATGGACGTGGATCCCAAGATCCCTCTGTTCCTCCACACTGCCGAGAATCCTGCCATTAACCCTGTATTCTGCATTCAGCATTCAAATTCAACCTTCCAAAATGAATCACTTCACATTTTCTGCGTTGAATTCCATCTGCCACTTTGCCCAGCTCTGCATCCTGTCAGTGTCCCATTGCAACCTATAACAGCCCTCCACGTTCTTCACAACTCCTCCAACCTTCGTGTCATCAGCAAACTTACAAACCCACCCTTCCACTTCCTTATCCAAGTCATTTATGAAGATCACAAAGAGCAGAGGTCCCAAAACAGCTCCCTGAGGCACACCATTGGTCACCGAGCTCCAGGCTGAATACTTTCCATCTACTACCACCCTCTGGTCTTTTATTGGACAGCCAGTTTTGTATCCAGACAGCCAAATTTCCCTGAATCCCATGCCTCCTTACTTTGTGAATGAGCCTACCATGTAGAACCTTATCGAATGCCTTGCCAAAATCCATATACACCACATCCACTGCTCTGCCTTCATCAATGTGTTTTGTCACATCCTCAAAGAATTCAATAAAGCTTGTGAGGCATGACCCGCCCCTGTCAAAGCCATGCTGACTATTTCTAATCAAACTGTGCTTTTTCAAATAATTATAAATACTATCTCTCGGAATCCTCTCCAATAATTTGCCCACCACGGAAGTAAGACTGACTGGTCTGTAATTTCCAGGATTATCCCTATTCCCTTTCTTGAACAAGGGAGTAGATTGCCACCCTCCAATCTTCTGGTAGTACTCCAGTGGATAGTGAGGACGCAAAGATCATTGCCAAAGGGGCAGCAATCTCTTCCCTCGCTTCCTGTAGCAACCTTGGGTATATCCTGTCTGGCCCAGGGGACTTATCTATTCTCATGTTTTTCAAAATTTGTAGCACATCCTCCTTCCTAACAACAACCTGCTCAAGCATATCTGCCTGTTTCATGCTATCCTCACAAACGTCAAGATCCCTCTCACTGGTGAATACTGAAGCAAAGTATTCATTAAGGACTTCCCTTACCACCTCTGACTCCGCACACAAGTTCCCTCCACTGTCCCTGATTGGCCCTACCCTCACTCTGGCCATCCTCTTGTTCCTCACATAAGTATAGAAAGCCTTGGGGTTTTCCTTGATCCTACGCGTCAAGGTTTTCTCATACCCACTTCTAGCTGTCCTAAGTCCATTCTTCAGTTCCTTCCTGGCTACCTTGTAGACCTCTACAGCCCTGTCCAATCCTTGCTTCCTCAACCTTAAGTAAGCTTCCTTCTTCCTCTTGACTAGGTGTTCAACATGTCTTGTCATCCAAGGTTCCTTCACCTTACCATCCTTTCCTTGCCTCAGTGGGACAAACCTATCCAGTACCTGTAGCAACTGCTCCCTGTGCAATCTCCACATTTCTATCGTGCATTTCCCTGAGAATATCTGATCCCAATTAGTGCTCCGTAGTTCTTGCCTAATAGCATTGTAATTTCCCCCTCCCCCAATTAAATACTTTCCCATACCGTCTGCTCCTATCCTTCTCCATGGCTATAGTAAAAGTCAGGGAGTTGTGATCACCATCACCGAAATGCTCTCCCACCAAGAAATCTGGCACCTGACCTGGTTCGTTGCCAAGCACCAAATCCAATATGGCCTCCCCTCTAGTCGGCCTATTTACATACTGAGTCAGCAATCCTTCCTGGACACACTTGATAAAATCTGCTCCATTCGAACTATTTGCACTTAGGAGGTTCCAGTCTATATTAGGGAAGTTGAAGTCGCCCATGACAACAACCCTATTACTTTTGCACCATTCCAACATCTGTCTCCCAATCTGTTCCTCAGTGTCTCTGTTGTTACTGGGGGTCTATAGAAAACTCCTAATAAAGTGACTGCTTTCCTGTTTCTGACTTCCACCCATTATGACTCAGTGGAGAAACCTTCCTCCATGACCTCCCTTTCTGCATCTGTGATACCATCCCTGATTAGCAATGCCCACTCCCCCACCTCTTTTACCTCCCTCCCTATTTCTATTGAAACATCTATACCCCGGAACATCCAACAACCATTCCTGCCCGTGTTATCCAAGTCTCCATAATGGCCACATGTATTGCCTCATGGCACAGAATTGTATGAAGTTACAGTATAGTACAATAATCAGCAAATGAGCTATACAGTGTAACACTTTACTTTATTTTATAATTGGAGTTGTGTTACATAATTTATAAAAGCATTTGATGAGCCCAACAAATGAGGACCAATGGAATTTAGTGTGAAAGTTTTAAACGGTAAGGGTAAGGCAACTCATTGGTGGTGCAGGGAGATGGGGGAATGCACATTAATGGAGAACCCGAGGGCTGAAGAGCTGTGGTGCAGCGCAAGTTGCGAGAAGCTAGTCAAGGCAAATTGGTAATGAGATTGTCAGGGGTGAGGAACAGGTGTGGGACAGTGAAGTTTTGAGTGAACAGGAACAGTTATGATTTGTCTAATTTATGATTATCCGGTAGTGTAAGTGGTGCAAACAACTAGAATGTGTATCCATGAGGTAGAATTGGGTAACTGGAATACCCAAATCTTTGATCATTGCTTATGTGCCTGTAACAGAGCTTGAGAAGGTTAAAATGTTAAAATTAAACATTAAAATATTAAAATTAATTGCTTTATGTCCTAAGAGATTTTTTTGGTATTCTAATATAAGATTGTTCTGCAATGAGGCAACAGTGGTCAGGATATTCAGATCTGGCAAATCATTATGTAACAGAAATAGAGTTATTTGAACTTTGTCAGCTCGGTTGTCAGAGTTTGTAGCTTGCATGTTTGACCACAAGTTGTGGTTTGAACACTCTAGTAAGATGAGACAAAACACAAGGTATTCTGCATAAAACTAACCCTTTCAGTGTTCATTCGACTCTGTAGAATATGTGAAACTTGTTGAAGCTACTGTAAAAGCAATTGATGATTATTAATGTTCTGTTGGAATGCTGTTCCTAAAATGGAAACCTTGTTGTCCCCATTACAGATACTGGCTGACCTATGTATTTGTACCCTTTTCATAGGACTCAGTTTTTGCAAATTTTAATCCATATATAGAATGGGACAGTTTTCTTTATTTCTCATCTGTTTTGTTGATTCCAGGTGCGAGACAAGGCACAGAGAGCCTCTCGGATCCTACTTGATATAGAGGCTGGTGCTCCAGTCCTCCTGATTCCAGAAAGCTCCAAATCAAACCAGCTGATTGTGGCAAACCTTGGTAAACTGAAAGTGAAGAACCAGTTCTTGTTTGCTCGGTCACCGGGTACATTCTCGCTGCGAGACAAGGTAGAAAAAATTACCATGGTTCATGTCTTTTTCCCTCAACTGGTGAAGATTCCTTTAATTTGTCCCTTTTCCTCTTCTGTTACATTTTGCTAGTTTCATTCGTTTTATGTTCTGCCTGCATGTATTTTGAAAAGCATGCTTAGAAAGAAAACTTCATCCGTCTACACTTTACTGAAGAAAGCAGGAATCTGGTGTTTGAAAATTGCTTACACTACAGGAGACTGCTGAGATTTCTCTGACCAGTTATCATTATAGGTTGATCTTATTCTGGCCCCTGCCAATCTTCAACATTTTAGAGTTCCATGCACAAAATGTAAAAAAAAATGCCCTGATATAATTTATAGAAGGGAACATGAAAGAATTCAATTTAAAGAAGACAACTGAGACTAAGGGAGAGCGTCTCAGTTGGATGTTTTCAGGGTGGTGGGTTTGAAAGTAGGATCAGAAAGTCGTTCAGTGAAGGAATGAGTAGTAATCTAGAATTGGAAAGTTGAGATGCAAGTCTCGAACTGGCAGAGATAAGATGGGATAAAACCAAGATGTAATTTGCACGTGAGAAGAGTAGGGTTTAAAAGTTGAGGTCAGTATTTGGGGTTCACTGTTTTTTGCATCTTTCACTGTAAAGACTAAAGGAATTCATTGTGAAACAAAATTAGATATTTCCCTGCTGGCTCAATTAATAAAAGTAGCCACCTAGACCAGGGATTCTTAATTGTGATCATCAACTCATGCTCTATTGCTGCAATAGGCATTGGCATCTGGATATGGCAAGAGAGAAAACCTGGAATTGCTGATGGAAATTGCAGGCTGTTGGGTGAGGTCAGTGTCAGGCCCAGTTGCAACATGTTGTATGGTCAAACTTTCTTCGATATTCATGTTCCCAATTTACAAATGGAGTAGAATCCACTGAGCCAGGTAGCCTGATGAGCCAGGTAGCCCTCAAAATATTCAGTGGTTTTATGAGAAAGCAGATAAAAGAGAAGAATAATGTAAAAGAAAGCTTATTACTCTTCACCTGTGGAGACTGTTAAGTTTTATATTGAAACAATGGAAGGATAGTGATTTGCTTTTCAGTTGAGATTTGAAGCAGTATTGGCAAGTTAATTAGAATCCTGTGTTTGACCTGGGGCTGAGACTATACTGTGAGGATCATGATTGTCTTCTACATATTCCCATTTTAAGGTATTGTCAAGATAATGGATGAGCTGTCTATATGTAATCTGGTTTTCAGGCTGTCTTGTTAGGATAATGACTATGATCCAAAAGCTGACTTGAGACTGGCGATGATTTGTGATTCTGTATTGATTTTGTGCTGCATTGTCAGGCTAATTGCACATTTGCTGGCATTTAAGCTATGCTATCAGGTAGTGACTGATGGGCTGTGCATGACCTAAGGTGGAGGCCGCATTGTCAGGATAATGGCTCGTATCCTGTTCATGACCTAGGTTTGAAGTTGTCTGGATAATGAGCTTTTCCTATGTGACAGGCATTCAAAAGACTGCATTATTATGTATTCAAAGCTCTCACTCATCAGTACAAAAAACTGCAGTCATATGCAGTGTAAACATATTCTAGATGAACTAGATAGCCACATTAATTAAGTATTTAATGCAGTAAAAGGTAAGCTGCATTTGTAAATTCTGAACTTTAAAGGCATACTGGACAATACATATAATTGAATGCAGAATGTTGTTTTTGTTCTTTTGTTGAGAGCTAGCTAGCTGTTTATTTAATTACCTGCATTCGCTGCATATTTGAAACAGATGATTTATTTTTAATTGCTTTCTGCTTTGTCAATATGTAATATATAAATTGATGTTTATTTGCCCTTTTTGTCTTTGTCTGAGAATTTAATTTTGCATGCCAATTCATACAAGGACCCGTCATTACTGGAGGTACACAGACAAGATCACTTGTTTGTTTGAAAGTTTTTGCAGAGATGATGTGGTAGTTTAGCACCTTGCTTGTGTGTTCATGCACTTTTCAAAGTGCCTCCAAAACCTCCATATGGTGGATGATTGTATATAGTTCTGATCTGTGATTTCCAAAGAATGTCCAAGCGTTTAATAATGGCACAACTTTGAAAATGGCCAAGGTTGGCTAGGAGTGTGTGGATCATCAAATGAAATCTATTTAATTATCTATCAATGACTTGTGAAACTTCAGAAAATACATTCCATAACATTGCATTCAGATTTAGGATTTGGTATGTGACAATAGATTCAATGAGCTGAAGAAGGATATCTATTTCTGAAACCTAATTCGAAATGGCTTAATGGAGGCTACTTCCCATCTCCTCGTTGTAAGAATCAAATGTCTTGGAAAACAGTAATTCCAGTGACCTATTTTTGAGGTGGAACACGTCTCAAAGTGCTTTCACTACTGTCAATGCTTTAGATGAAAACATGTCTGTGAAAATACTGTTGTGCTTGATGTGCCTGTGTGTAAGAAGGGAAAATGTACATGTCAACTTCGTGTCAACATGAGGTTCTATCCAAGTATTTGTAGATTAGTTAGTAAGGTTAGGTCACATGGGATCAGGAGAGCTAGCCAATTGAATACAAAATTGGCTTGAAGGTAGAAGACACGGCGTGGTGGTGGAGGGTTGTTTTTTGGACTGAAGGCCTGTGACCATTGATGTACCACAAGGATCACTGCTTTTCTTCATTTACGTAAATGATTTTGATGTGAATGTCGGAGATGTGTTTAGTAAGTTTGCAGATGACACCAAAATTGGTGGTGTAGTGGACAGTGAAGACGGTTATCTGAGTACAAGGGGACCTTGATCAAATGGGCCAATGGACCGACAAATGGCAGGTGGAGTTTAATTTAGAAAAATGTGAGGTGTTGCATTTTGGTAAGGGAAACCAGGGCAGGACTTGTACTGTTAATGATAGGGTCTTGGGCAGTGTTGTTGAACAAAGAGACCTCGGGGACTAGGTACATAATTCCTTGAAAGTGGAGTTGCAAGTAGACAGGGTGATGAAGGTGGTGTTTATCACGCTTGCCTTCATTGGTCACAACACTGAGTATAAGAGTTGGGATGTCATGTTGCAGTTGTACTGGACATTGGTGAGGCCACTTTTAGAATACTGCATACAGTTCTGGATGCCCTTCTATAGGAAGCATGTTGTGTAACTTGAGAGAGTGCAGAAAAGATCCACAGAGATGTTGCCAGGACTGGAAGGTTTGAGCTATAGGGAGAGGCTGAATAGGCTGGGGCTTATAAAATTGTAAGGTGAATGGAGAAGGTGAATAGCTAGGGTGTGAGAGTCTAAAACAAGAGGATGTCGTTTTAAAGTGAGAGGGGAAAGATTTAAAAAGGACCTGAGTGGTAACGTTTTTATGCAGAGGGTGCTGTGTGAATGGAATGCTGCCAGAGGAAGTTGTGGAGGCTGGTACAATCTCAACATTTCAATAGTACCTGGATGGGTATTGAATAGGAAGGGTTTTTGGAGGGATATGAGCCAAATGCTGGCAAATGGGACTATGTCCGATTTGGATGTCTGGTTGGCGCTGATGAGTTAGACTGAAGAGTCTGTTTTCTTGTTGTATGATTCTGTTTGGTGAAGAGTAGATACAGTATGTCACTTTGATTTGTATATGAACACACACATCATTCAACAATCTCTGCAACTGCAGAGGGGTGTGTGAGAGTTTAATTTGATCACAGTATCCGCATGTGTTATTTGAGAAGAACCTTGCATCAGTTTGAACTGAAAACATTGCCTTTATTCCATATTTTAGACACCTGTATGAAAATTGCTTTGTGTTCTTTATAGCTCTTAATCTGGTATCGGATAGCCCTTGGGGATCATTGTAGTGCATGATCCCATTAAACTACATTGAAATCAAGATAATTCACCATAGACTAGTCTGCCATATGACTTAATGTATGGAATAACTGTTATCATAATTCCTAATAAAGCATTTCACCTGGAAAGCAATGTAGTTTAACTAATCTCAAATGGATCGTGAAAACCTTATCCTGATTGTATTTGATGTTTGTGTGTATCAGCAATCTGCTACATGTTGTATTTGTATTACAGTTTGGATTGTATGCATAAATTGGTCGTTATTTTTATTTTATCACAACAGGATTAAACTGAAAGATTTGAGGAAGTGGTTGATTCTTGTAACAAAACTGCCCTGCTAATTTAGAATAGTTTGAGTGTCAGCCATGGCTCAGTGATAGAACTCTTGCCTCAAGAGGGCAAATTCACCTCTTCAATTTCACTGTTAGTGTTAACCCATTTGTTAGCATAACCCTTTTTACCTGTATGGGTTCAGGAGTGACTTAATGTGAGTTCATGGAACAGCTCTGGTTGAAAATGTTTCTTCTTGCATTTCCCCACAAGTTGACTTTTGGAGTGTTCCTCTTCCTAAAGCTAAAAGAAATTTAGTTAAAAGTATTCTTTTGTTGGGAAAAAAAAGAGTTGCAGGTTTGCTAGGAATTTCTTTGCTTTTCTTTTCATGTAATCTGATAGCTCTGAGCCCAAAATGTGCTTGAGACTGAGAATGTAAATTTACTAATTTTAATTAATTTGGACCGTATTTATTGTGTCTCATTTGTGTGCTGAAATAAGGATCCACTTACGCTGTAAAGCCCAACACATTTTAGCCAGAACCCAATACTATAATGCAAACTTTTCAGTAAGCCTGACTGGTTAGGAATAGGATTATGGCTTAACAGCTACTGAACAAGCTTGTTGATGTCTTTTCGATTCTCTGTAAAATTGAAACAATCTAGTAATTAAAAGTAGATTTTCACTAATCTACAGAAGAATGCTACTGGTAACAACAATGCATTAATACTTGTCATTACTGCATTTCCATGAAACCCCAGATATTATTAAGCTACAAAATGTCAAGATCACATTGTTTCTCTTTCTCAAAATGATGAAATTAAAGATGCAGTATCATGTTCAGGTTCTTGTAACTGATGCAGCACGAATGTTGTTAAAAGCATGGCATTTTCAAAAGAGTAACACGTGCTAACAATAACAAGGAAGGATATGGCTGCAGCAACATGCCTGATCCTGTATGCCCTGAAACGCCCTGAAACCTGTAACTCACATAAAGGTTCCATGCCCAGAAGTTTCCTCTGTACCTGTACCAATTGCACTTTCCCTTCTGAGCACCGACAGTATATGTTAGCAGGCTGTTGGATTGTGAATGGCATCTCAGTTGAACAAAATCCTGTCCTTTCTTCAAAAAGCTAAATATTGCGAACGCTGGAAATCTGACGTAAAAACAAAGTGTTGAAGAAACTGAGTAGGTCTGGCATCATCTGTGGAGAGAAAAACACTTAACGTTTTAAGTTCTTTGACTTCTTTGGAACCCAAGAAATAGAAGTTCTGAAGAAGAGTCATTAAGCTCAAAGTGTCAACTTTGTTTCTCTCTCCACAGATGGTGCCAGACCTACTGAGTTTCTCCAGCATTTTGATTTTATTCATGTCCTCTCTTCATTTTCCACTTTCTAGCTTCCAATAGTGAATAACAACTAAGAAGGTGATGGGAAATTAATGTTAACCTAGGCAGCAATGCCCATATCCCTTGAATGAATCAAAAATTGAAAGATTGCATTGCCTTTTATTTTGCTATGATTTTCATCATTTGTAATTTTTGAATTAATGTCCAGAAAGTTGCATCCAGGTAAAGCGGTCAATCTTAATTCTTGATGATTTTACCATATGTCTTTCTCATTCACATATGCATATATTTTGAATAAAATATTCTTTGCATGACGTGCATTCAAAGCCTAAAATCATTGAAACATTATTTTGTGGTTACTCGCTGCTAACCTCAGACTAGCAGTGACAGCATTGTTGCAATAACAACACCTAGTTTTGTTCAACCTATCTACAAGTGCAGTTGTCATAGCCAAGTGGGCTATCATGCATATTGACAATATGAATTGGAGCATATCTGTATTTATTAGCTTTAAATATGCCTGCTCAGAGTTTCAAAATGCCCAGAAAAATTTTGGGAAAAAACTCCGAATGCTTTTGAAAATCAATTTGATATGTTAGTTTTAACTGTCTTCCAAATTGCACCTGTCTGGACTCAGCTTAGTACCCAAGTTTGAAACAGCATGCAACCATAAAATGGTCGTATAGCTCTATCAGTGAAGCGATATGGTTAAATGTGTTAAATTGTAAATTTGCACTCAATTTCACATGACGAGTGATCTGCATTTGTTGCATGAAAGCTGTGATATTTTGTCCACATCTCAAAATCCATGAAATTTAAAACAAATAATCTCTTCCGTTTAACATTTCCAGCCTAGAGGGTTGGTAACTGAATAAGTCCTTCCAAAAGTTCTTCCTTGTGATTTGAAACTAGGCACTAAAAAATGTTGTATGATTAAGTTGCTTTTGTGCTTTTCAAACTTTGAGCATTTGAAACCTTTTTCTACTCCTCTAGTTTTTGATCTTCCTGGCCTTGGGCACCATCTGTGTTTGAGGTGATAAGTGTTTATCAGAGTTCCATATTGCTGCCTAATGCTATTCAGCAGACCTGTAATGGTGCTCAGTAGGAAATAAAATTTCTCTCTTACCTCTGCTCATGGGATATGAATACACTGTTTGCTGCAGTAAATGCCCTAAGCACGACTAATATTCGGACAGCAGCAGGCATTGGGAAGAAGAGAATCTAAACATACCCCCATCACTGCAATGGTGCAAAATCTACAATGTGATCATTATCCATTATGATTTTTCCATTGTTGTTTTTGATTTGCACATTTGAAATTTTCATTGATTTTAAAACTACACATTGTTTCAACATGTAACTCTTCTTTTTTGCTGTTTTCTGATAACTTTTGATCCTTTATTTCAGAATCCTGAGAGTTCTCCTGTACCTCAAGATGCCCCACTATACACTCAGAAGACAAAGAAAACCAGCACCAGCAATCCTCAGTCCATTCTCTCTAGACCAGAAAAACTAAGTACTGGGGCCAAGTCCTCTGATAAAGTTGATCTTAATAAACCACACATTGAATCTGGATTGCGCATGCATTGCAAATCACAAGAGAGGCAGCATGACCAGCCACAGATTGTGGAACTAAAGGAATCAGAAGGTAAGAAAGCAAGTTACAACATCTGTTTCCAAATACTGTCTGGATCTGACTTTACCTTGAGAAACTAGCTGCAAACTGGAGAGAACATGTATAAATATGGAGATGACTTGAGAGGTCAACTTTTTCACTTGAATGCCATATTTAAGAAAGAAACATGGGTGGGGTCAATCCTTCCAGGTTTACAATGACGTCAGCCATTTCCAGGAATTTCCACCCTTGTCCATTGTAAATAAAACAGTGTTAATATTTTTGTGACCTCACTGTAAAACATTTTTTCAGGTGAACATATCTGTCTGCTCGACTGCATCGTGGTTGACCTGCAGGATATGGACATCTTCACCGCAGTGAGATACCCCAGAGACCACACTGGAAGGCCTGATAGTTGTAATTCAGATTTGCTTTTCCCATCGTATCTGGTGAGGCATGTAGATGGGAATCTGCTGAAGGAGCGCTGCTGGCTGAAGCTGCAAGTTGAGCGGAATCTGGATAAGTGAGTATTCACTTTTTACCTGGTTGCTAGGTTCACTTCACTGCTGGAAAAAATATGTTTGAAGTTATTATTTTTGACTGTTTGAATTTTTTTATGATGGTCATTTTTTGTTAAGTTGGTATGAATTTGCTGCAGGAAAATTTCACTTGTGCTTTTAATTGTTTTTTAAAGTATTCTAATGTTTCTTTTTTGGTAATTTCGTTGGAGGTTTGAATCATGAGGGCAAGTTGAAGCTCTGGAATTTCTTTACTCTTGAATGGGAGAGGGGATTTTACAGAGGAAAACAAGATATTATGTTGAGGAAATCTGAGCTCTATTCCAAATCTGAGCTCTGTTCAAAATTAAATCACAAATTGAGTACATGAATATAGCTAGTGATAGATTGAAGACCAATGTCAAGAAGCACATCTTCATACACAGAGGTTAATATCTGGAATAGACTTAGTGTCCTACAGCGTGGAAACAGACCCTTCAGTCCAACTTGTCCATGCCAACCAGATATCCTAAACTGACTTGGTAGAAAATTGGAGGCAAAAATTTGAGAGACTTGAGGCCATTGATTTTGATTGAGGAGATTGTTAAATGTTACACCACAGAAACAAGCATTCATCCCATCGTCTTGGAGCTTGTTTCTCGCCACTTGAATGACCTAGCCTAACTCAAGTCTCCTTTCTTCCATACTTTATTAATTCTGGATATAATCATTTAATTCCCTTTTTTTAGAGAAGTTACAGCATATGCCACAGCCCACATTGTAACTATTCTCCTGCAAATAATTTGTCCTAACTTCCCCTTAAATTGTTCTTGTACATATTGCAGCTTGCCCGATTACTTTTTCTTGCTGATCTGTAGAATCACTGTATCATAGTTTTAATATATTGTAGTCTTGGATCCAGTCAGAAAAGCCCTAAGTTCTCATAATTGTCTGAAAGAATAACCCAGATCAGCTGAATGGCAGACATCACTTCCAACAATCTCTCTGAACTCAGATTGTACTGGTGCTGTGAACAATCTTACAGCCACCAATATTTAGTAATGAGTGTACATTATTAAAATGAACTATCTTTCAGACACAAGTCAAGTTTGGAAAGACAAAATATGCAACTTTTCCACAGTTTAAATTGCTCAGTATTGAAAACCTTGCACTAACCCTTCAGTGAAACTTTTTTATATTGAATGCAGCATGAGTAGGAATGTTTGTACAGTAATTGCGCAAGTAATAAGAGTGAAACATTTCTAAACAGACTGCTGAAGGCATAATTTGGTGACTGAATCAGTTATTTTGTGAAGTGATCCATGTAGTTCAAATGGTAGGGAAAACATAGTTAATAGAAGTTCAGAGTCACACATGGGGATATTGGAGGGCTGTTGCACCTGTGCTTGATTTAGCGCATTTAATGAAGAAGAGAGAATTGCAGATCAAAAATGAGGGGGATCACAGGAGCTAAGAACTGACATAACAAAAATAGAAGTTGCTGGAAAAGCTCAGCAGGTCTGCAGCATCTGTGAAGAAAAAAGTCAGTTAACGTTTTGGGTCCGGTGTCCCTTCCTCAGAACTGAGTTCTGTTTTTGTTCCTGATTTACAGTATCCACGGTTCTTTCGGTTTTTACTAAGAACTAACATGATTATCTATAGAGAACACAATGGGCCTGAATTTAACTGCACTGGGTGAGTTTTGTATAGGTTAAAATTAGGTCCAAAATACTTATTTTCATTTTCTGCATTCAAAGATCAGGGAGAAATTTTTCAGATTATTTCATCAGGGAAGTTGCTTTTTCATCAAAGCAAATTATGAGGGCCAAAGAGAAGAAAATTGGAGAGAAAACTGCATACCGCTAATGATTCTATTTCACATTCCATTTTATTTTTGGTTAAATCTAGCAATTGTAGAAACAGACGGTAAGAAATATTTCGGTTTGTCTGTACTATATTGGCCCCTGACTACATGTGTTGATTTAGGGAGATAAGCCATGCTGTCCCTGATGTGGCTATCCATGGTAGTCTGTCATCAGTACATTGTTCTCTGGATCTTAATAAATACAAGCTGATTCGTGGATTAATTCAGAACAATCTTGGGGAACCCATTGAAGAGTTCATGAGGCCATTTGACCTACAAGACCCCAGCATACATGTAAGTATAAAAATAGCAGAGCATAGAAATGTTTAGAGGATTAATTGAGCAGGATGGGCAAGATGAACCTTTTTCTGGCAAGATACACGTTGGTGACTTTTTTCTTTTGAGAATACCATTGCATTGTTGTCACAATAACATTTTTCTTTGCCAGTTGTTGTGGATATAACATTGAGCAATTGGTAAAGAAAAACAATGTTACACTGGTTCTAGGAGTAAATTATATAAAGTATATACGATTAAAATTTGATTCTTGGGCCTTTCATCTTAAATGTTGCTGAACTTGTAAGTTTTTATTTGGCTATCTTGCAACCTGGTTTTCTTTCTCCTTGCTCATCTGTCCTCCCCTATTTAATTATAGTGTATATTTGGAATGTAGTTGTACAGAGACATTTGGTGGATATTGGATGTATTGAAAACTCTCAAAAATAAATGAGAGTGTTAAATTGGAAAGTAAGCTGCCAGCGTTTTCGGTTTCTAAGTAATTTGCTATGATTTCTATTTTTAGTACAGTTTGTCACGTTCGTATCTACTGTTGAGTAGCCCTGGCAATACTTGCCTAATTATGGGGAGTGGCAGCCTATGCATAATTTTGTTACTAAAATATCCATTTATAGTTCAACATCAGCCATTAGCAAACATGTTCTGAAAAGCCATACCAGTTTCTGGAGAATTGCTTTTGTTACGAAGTTGTGTACAGTAATCATGAATTGGAGGGCAGGAAGCTAGAATTTGTTTATAAAAAAGAAATGATAGGGGAGAAGTGTGTAGTTCCTTTTAAGAGGTAAAGTGCTTTTCTAAGCTTAGAGATTTATACAGAAGAAAAAATTGCATCTGTGTGTAGCCGAAGATGTATAACCAGTTCTGAAATTGAAACATGTATCAATTGGCTGTGTGATTGGAAATCTTAGGCTTGTTTTGCAACTAGCTGGAATCAGCCAATTAATTTAAACCAAGTACTTAGTGATTGAAAGCCAATTGAATTTAAATCTGATGGTTTTGATAACCTTGGACTAATGCTATTGTAAGAAAATTGATATGTCATCCACAGTACATAAGGGGAGGGTTTTGAAAATTGGAATGAGAACGAACCGCCATCTGAGAAATAAGCATCTAGCTCTCCCAGGAAGTTGCTAAGCTCTCTAAGAAAGCACCATCTATCTATAAAAGATACCACAGCACTTCTAGCTAAGAGTCCCCACAGAATCAGCAGAAGAAAGACCTTTTGAGTTGAGAAGAGAAAGGTGTGTAGACTTTGAGATATTAAGTTTTAATTTATTTTCTTAGGACTTGGGGGTTTGTATAAGTGGAACCTGTGTTTATTGGAATAGCATACCAGTAGAATTTAATTCAGTTAGGGGATAATTAATAGTTAAGGGTGAATTGTTTGGTTTGTTAGTAATTCTGTTATTTTGTTTATGGTTAGGGTTAAATAAATAAATTGTTACTTGTTACTTATAAAGTGAATAGCAGGGATTTTCTTTCATTTAACCTTCCCTTCTCCGTAACACTTTGCATTAAATGAAATGAACCTCAGCATTCATTCTCACTTTCATCACTAATAATGATGATGACCTCAAAGGATACTGAAAATGCAAAGAATGCTAAACTGTTGTTGGGCAAACATTTCATAACATTTGTGGATTTTTTTTATTTATTCATGGAATGTGATATCGCTTGCTAGGCCATCATTTATTGCCGTTTTCTAATAGTCCTTAAGGTAAGGTGAGCTATCTTCTTGAATTGCTGCAGATTTCTGAGAGATCTCTGGAGAAAAGGAGTACATTTTCCCATATTGAACAACTAATATCTGAATGAAATGCTCCCACATCCCTGGGTACATGTAGAGCAAAGTTACCTCTCTCTGCTCCATTTCTGAAAGAAATCCCTCATTGTAATTAGTGCGATATATTTCCATTCCCCTCCCCAACCGTATGGTGGCTTCACCGAGTGAGATTGCCAATTATGATCAAATTTATTTTTCACAAGATTCTTGCAGACACAGGGAGCTTTTATTCCATTACTCTGATCAGGATTTAAACCCAGGCTCCAGAGTTTGGAGGCTGGTGTTTAACTCACTTAACCATCTTCTGTCATTCTCATTTATTAATATTGAGATTCATCCTTTTCCTCATCCTTTAAATCACCCTCTCAGGCCATTCATCATTCTATAGCAGAGCTGAAATAGAAGCAGGAAACTTAGTGTGAAGCCCATGCCAGTTCCTGCCTGTAACAAGACTGATTCCTATTTTTTCCAACTTGAAGAATCCCTTCTCGGTGCTTTATCTGACAGCCAAGGGAACTGGGTAATTTCACAACATGATGAGCCATAATTTGCTGTCAAAAGGTACTTGCAAATTATTAATGCGCAAGAGTGAACAATTTCTGGTGAGGTGCAGATGCATGCTATCCAAAAGTTACTACCCAAATTGCATTGCTGCTGTAGTAACCTCACAAAAATAACATTTCACAATTGAAATTAGTTGAAAATTACATGATGTTTTTGCATTTGTACAGCAGGTATGAACTAACATTTCCACAAACTATGAATCATTTCTGTCTGTTCAGCAATGTGATCAGTATAAGTTGCTGACAGTCAACCTCTCTGGCTCTAAAAGTGAACAGTTCCAGATTAGAGTCTCATTCCTTCAGGTTTTTCTTGTTGATGGTTTTTAAAATGTAAGAAAAATTTTTTACTTTTCAACTTCCTATTGCTTTTTCTCTCAATTTAATATTTCTTCCAACCGCGCGCGCACACGTGCTTGCTCTCTCTCTCGCGCTGTCTCGCTCTCGCGCTCTCTCTCTCCTCTGCCCCTCCCTCAGCCGCACTCCCTCCCCTCCCCTCCCCTCCCTCACGTGCGCGCACACTCACAGGATTCTATGGGGTGAATTTGTAGTTGCAGATAGTCTATTTTGTTCAAAAAGCACACAATTTATAGACAGTCAGTCAATGTGGCGTTTTATAAATTCCTACTTTAGAAATAAAACCAGTCTGTCTCCAAACCAAAACACAAACAGATTCGAAACAAGGTCTCTCACCCAACATACATTCTGTCCTAAAATGTCACCTCATCCCTACATTGACAAAATCTTTAGTTTTCTCAGGACAGTGACTTGAAAGGAATTTAGGGATTTACATATACATTAATTAATTAAAACCTTCTAACTGATTAACGATTTAACAGCATCTTAGGTTTGTTGAATACATGCTCTTCATTGGTTGTGACCCTTTGATCTTTTACTTAAATTCTGTGTCTGATACTACCTTTCTCACTAACACCTGAAGGAGGAGTGAGGCTCCAAAAGCTTGTGTTTTCAAATAAACCACCTGTTGGACTATAACCTGGTCTTGTGTGATTTCTGACTTGTCTACCCAAGTTCAACACCGGCATCTCCAAAATGTGCAAGAGGAAATATAACGAGTGACAGACACCATTATACACTCTCACCACAGCAAGTTATGGTCCATTGCAACATAAATGTTTTTCAAAATATTTTTGTGGGATGGCCAGCATTTGTATCCATCCCTGATTACTCTTGAGAACGTAGTTGTAAGCTACAAAATTGAGCCACTGCAGTCCATGTGGGGTAGGTACACCCATAGTGCTGTTTGGTGGGGAGTTCCAAGTTTTTGACCCAGCAACAGTGTAGGAATCGAAATACAGTATAGATCCAATTCAGGGATCCCTGCACGATCAGCTCTGGGTTCACAGCAATTTCTGACCACCAAAATGAGATCACAGTGGGAAAATGTTTGAGATGCTGATGATAAATGGAGTAAATATTGCATGTAGTAGATGTGTGCCCGTAAAGTGGGCAGTTTTGTCCTGGATGGTGTTGAGCTTCTTTAGTGTTGTTGAAGCTGCATCCATCCAGGTAAATGAAGACTCTTCCATCACACTCTTGACATGCTTCGTAGATTGTGGACAGGCTTGAGATGTCAGGAAGTGAGTTCTTTGTGACAGAATTCCCAGCTTCAGATCTGCTCTTGTAGCTGCAATTTTTTTTGGATGCTCCAGTTCAGTTTCTGGTCCATGGTAACCGAGTTTGTTGACAGTGGGGGATTCTACAATGGTAATGCTATTGAATGTTGTGGGGAAAGATGACATTCTTTCTTGTTTCAGATGATAATAGTCTGGTACTTGTGTAGCACTAAGGTTACTTATCAGCCCAAGTTAATAAACTTTGTCACTTTGCTTAGAAATGTTACTGATGCATATATTTTTTGACTGTTTTCTGTTCAGGTGTTTGATTGATTTCATTTCTCTTCTGCCTCTCTCAGACAGTTCTTAGTGGAGAAGTATACACAAATATGTCCTTTCTAATTGATATGATGAATGTTAGCTTGGAGCTCCTGGAATCGAAGGGCAAGAATATGAACACCAATTCACTGGCAAGGTATATTGGCTACTTCCTCATGTATACATCTTTCCTGCTCTGCTTTTTTTTTCCTGTAATACACCATAGCCTTAATGATTTGTAGAACTGGTTCCAAGGTCTTTGGCTGCTCTGTAGGCAGCACTTAAAAGATGCATAAGAAAATCTCAGCACGATAATCCATGAATTTGTTTTTACTTTCTATCCATGCCCCCTCCTTCCTCCCCTCCAAAGCCCCAGGAGGAAAGATCTTTATTTCACTTGGCATCCCTGAACATCTGGCTGGTATTATTGAGAAATTCTAATATAAAACTCAGTCTCAGTGATCAAGAAAATGTTTTGAAAGCAGTGAATAGTAGGGAAGGCAAGAGCTGGAGTTAGAAGCCTGGCTTCAGTAATTGTGAATTTGGCAGTCTTAGTCAGGAGTACAGCCATCTGACTGAATTTTTTTTAAGAGTTTTGTCTTGGCACATCACTTTAATCCCAATTTAGTACTGCTCCAGATTCCCTTTCCCACAGATGCCATTCTATAGTGTTGCATAGCATTGTCAGATTTTTTTTGTTTTGTACTGAATTGTGACCCATTTGTATTGTGGATTTAGGCTCTTGTTTCTGAGATTGCCCAGAGCTTGCAGACCCCTTACAGCTGTTAAAGAGATACAAAACTTTCCTCCCACCTCCCATTAGTCAGAGGGAAATGCCAAGGTTCAAAGACCAGCATTAGGGACATAAGGAACTCCTGTTACCTTGACTATGAACCATCCTGCACTCAGTTTTTGAGTTTACAGTATGTTTGCTGTTTCTAAATAATTAGATCCTTGACACTTAAAAAATACCATCCTACATTGCATAAAATTTATAACCTGATGTGATCTTTACTGGTGCTGCCCTGAATTGAATAATGCAAAGTGTAGCCTTTGGGCTTAAAATAAAGGTCAGAGGGCAGATGATAATTGGGCTAAGGCTTGCAAACATAATTCAGTTCCTAATTTAAAATTGTCCAGACTTTCTGCATTTTTTATAAACTTTATATTGTTCTCTGCGTTAATTATACATATTTTTGCAAAGCAAGAGCATGAAGTTTTCTGTAGTATAATAAAAACCTCTGTCTTAGCACCCCAGTGTGCAAAAGAAAGATTTGTTAGTGATGAATAGAGGAGGAGTAATGTGTGAATGGAGTGAGGGGTTAATAAATGGAACTGAAAGTGAATAATTAAGAAATTAACTAAGAATTAAGAATCTAGATAAGAATACAGCCAACTGACTGAAGAACAGGCAGAAGGAAAGGAAACTAAAATCCTTTTGCACTACCATGGTTGGTGGACGCTATTAAAACACAAGTTTATGCGCAGTTTCCATTCTAAGTATGCACATGGGAATTTAAAATGGAAAAGATGATCAGTAGCAGCAAGGAAACTTTTGTTAATAGGAAATTCTCACAATGTAATATTTTTAATAAATAGATATGTTCTGTTTGTGAATCTCTGGAGGATGTGCTCCAAAATAATATTTTCTGTTTCTGTATTAAATTAACTATTTCTTCTCCAGGTTTGATTTCAAAAAGTCAAAGCTGCTTTATGAGAGCTTTTCAAACACGACTAAGTCCGTAAACCTGGTCTCTCACTCAATGATGGCATACGATACCCGAAGCATTGGACAGACAGTGAACCTTGACACCAAACCAAATGTATTTCGATGCATATTGGATGCATCAAAGAGTAGTAGCAATCAAGCCTCACTGCAGATGGAGCTGCATTACAGGTGTGGAACTGAGTAACGGCTGCAACATGTTATAGCCAGATACCAAATACTGGCTTTAGTTAACAATGATTGTTGATGAAAAGTCTGTCCATGTCTTAGAAGGATATTACTGGCTCATTTGTGATGTGTCCAATGATTGAATAGCCTACCTAGGCTTATTGTTCAGGCTGTCATATGAAGGAGAGTGAAGTTAGTCAAGTTAGTAGCAGGACTGTTGGTAGTTATTGAACTGTATCCTTACAAAATTTGATATCTTCAAGAGAGCAAAAAAGAAAATGGGATCACCAGTACCATAGAAACTGAGTAATCCCAAAACTGATGGAATTTAGACCTTAAGTCATTGTAAAAGTGGCTGGTAAGGATTATTATTTCTCACCAAACTTATGGCTAAAATATGATAGTGACACATTGCACCTTGCAAACAAGTAAAATGATCATATGAGCATAGCCTTACTGATACGAGCTTCACTTGTGTTCTGGGTAACAGGATAATTGTCTGGAAGCATATTCGGTCAGGAATAAAAGGAGCAAAAGAAGAGTAATTCAGGATAATGTGTAGATATTCTAGAAAGTATTAACGCATGCATTTAACTAAAACTTTCCTTACAGATAGCGACATCTCATCAGTTACTGAACTTCTCTCATCTTATGCTTTCTGTCACCTATCCAACTCCAACTGCTGCAGTGGCAGTGTGAGTCTTATCAGCAATTCACATATTTATATATCGTCTCTTCCCTATTCCTGTGGCACCCAAATTGAGCATCGCATCTTCTTCAACTGTTCTTCCTACTGCTTCAAAGTCCTTATTGTTGACTGCACCCTTATCCTGACACCAGTTTTCTCCCCAAGGTATCTTGCCTCCCTTCATGTTTTATCCTTTCCTGAGGTGATAATTCACAGTGATTTCAATCCCCATTCCAGCTCCCAGTTCACCAATGCTCTGGATTCATTACTCTCCAGACCACAATAAATCTCTCCTTTCATCTAAACGCTGCTTCTGTATTCATGGTCACAGCATTCAGCTTAACTTTTTTCATCGCTTTATGAACTCAATCATTCTCCCTATCTTCATGTAACTTTCATCATTCCATATCTTCCTGTTCCCTACACCTTTTTGGCTTACCCTGGTAAAATATCTACTGATTTACTTTCAGTTAGACTTTCAAGCACTCAGTACTGCAGCCTTTGGTCTTTCTTTTGCCATCAACTGTCTATGGCTATTGATCTGTTCAGAGATGTACATAGCAGTTAGGAGCAGTAGCAACCATTTGCCCCCTCAAGCCTCGCTCATCATTCAATACGATCATGCCTGATCCAATTGTGGCCTTAGTCCATTTTCCTAACTACTCCTGTTACCCTCAGATTTTTGACAAATAAGGGGTCCTATATACCTCTGCCTTAAAAATATTCAATCACCCTGCCTCCGCCTCTCCCTTGGGAAGAGATTTCCACGGACTCACTGTGAGAAAAAAATTTCTTCTCGTGTCTACATTAAATGGGAGATTCCTTATTTTTAAGCTGTGTCCCTTAGTTCCCTCATCTGCACCTTTTGATGCAATTCTCCCCAGCAAAACCTTTTAATCGTTTCCGTCGGGTGATTTCGATGTCCTGCACCATTAACTCTATCTATACCTGTCATTATTTTATAAACTTCTTTCAGATCACCTCTCAACCTCCTATGCTCCAGTGAACAGAAGTCCCAGCCTATTCAACCTTTCTTTATAACTCAAACCTTCTATACCTGGCAACATCCTGGTAAATCTCTTCTGAACCCTCTCCAGCTTATTAATGTCTTTCCTATAACTGAGTGACCAGAACTGGACACAGTATTCCAGAAGAGGCCTCACCAATATCCTGTACAACCTCAACATGACTTCCCAACTCCTTTACTCAAAGGACTGAGCGACGAAAGCAAGCGTGCCAAATGCCCTTTTAACCACCCTGTCAATATGTGATGCAAAATTCAAAGAATGAGGGTATGTACGTAGTTGGAGAGGGTCAGAGAGGCAGACCTCATGTAATTGTAAGAAACAGATATCGTGTGAACTTCACGACCCCAGCGCTTTGTTCAAGCCAGAAGAAGTGAATATATAGTCAGTGTTAGTTAAACGCAATTCCTTTACCAAACCTGGTCCCAGCTGCTTCCTTAGTAATCAGGATTGGGGTCTAGTTGTTCTCTCCCTAGCTGTGTATCTTAATCGAAAGGTAAAAAGTTCATATTTATTAGCTCTGCTGTTTTATATTTTTAATAATTTACATAAGTTAATTAACAAAAATTATCAGTTTATTGCTTTAGAAGTTTTCTGAAATATGTTTATTGATGTGCCAAACTTTATCTTTCTGAAATTTGCTCACTGACTCCCCAACTAAGAAAAAAAATGAAAAGTGCCCTGCCGTCCAATGATTCCTATGCTGACAATACACAGCTCTCCATCTACACCATTTCACTTAGCCCCTCATTGTCTCTTCTTTGGCATTCACTCTTAGATATACTATGATTTCCTTCAGCCAAGGGAACACTAAAGCCACCATCTTTGGTCTTCATTACAAATTCATGCCTTTGACACTGGTTCATTGCTCCTCCCCAGCTGTTATATGTGGCTATACTAGACTGTTTCCAAACTTTGCATTTTATCCCTTAGCAAGCTGACCTTACAAAGCAGTGTACCTTCTATGAAAGAGATCACCTACCTCTCCCATGACAATATTATCTGTCTCCACCATACCACATCTTCTGTGCTGCTGAATCTCTCATGCATGCCTTTGTCATTAAATTGTTCCACCGATTCTCCTTGAACATTGAATATAGCAATCTGTGTAGTTAATAAGACATGGTTCTGCAGCCAGTTCTCTGTAATGTAAACTTCTAACTTTAGCTATGCTGTTGGAGGGGGAATTATCAGTTCATTAACAGTGACTTTTCCATGATTTTTCATTTTTTTTCAATAATTAAATAAAATGTTTCAATATGGCATTGGTTAGTACAGGAAGGAGTAGCACTATGTTAATGTCACTGGATTAGTCATCCAGACTCCTAGGCTAACGTTACGGGAAGAGTTCAAGTCCCACCACGGCAGATGGTGAAATTTGAATTCAAGAAAAATCTGGAATTTAAAAACAAGTCTAATGGTGACCAAGTAACCACTGTCAATTGTCATAAAGAAAAATGTTTGGTTTACTCATATCCTTCAAGGAAAGAAATCTGCCATCCTTACCTGGTCTGGATTGTAGACCCACAGTAATATGGTTGACTTTTAACCACATGGGTAATTTGGAATGGTCAATAAATAGACCTAGCCAGCAATATCCACATCCCATGAACAAATCGAAAACAAACTCTGAAAACTTTAACTCTGTTTCAACCGCAGTTAGAAATACTGAAAAGCATTTTTGATTTCCCAGGTCAACCAGAGATGCTTCATGCTTCACTGTGGTTCTGAACAATCTGCGTGTCTTTGTTATATTTGATTGGTTGATGCTTGTGCGGGATTTCTTGCAAACCTCTAACAGCCCAAAGAAACCAGAAAGTGCCTCACCAGCTCGTGACCGCAAAGTTGGTGGTGAAGTCTTGGTTCCCAAAACGGTAAAGTATGGAGTCATCACAAAGCGATCTTCTGTGCCAATGCCGAACGAGAAGTATTTGGAAGTGAAAATCAACGTAACTGGTAAAAATCACTTTCATGCCAATGTCACTTTTACATAGTAAACTTAACTTTTGTTTTGATTTGTTTTTAATTTATTCATTTCCAGATCTGTTTTACAAGTGTATATCTTTTTGGGGACATAGACAGTAACTTTATATTTTCTAAAAAGAAGTGCCTCTCAATAGCCAAGTGGATAAGAGCTTCATCCAGTATATTTCTGGCATTCAGTCTTAGATAACTGTGATTTTCTTCAGCTAAACACTGGGAAGACTAAAGCCACCATGTTTGGTCTTCATTACAAATTCATGCCTTTGACACTGATTCATTGCTCCTCCCTTTATATGTGGCTACCCGAGATTGTTTCCAAACTTTGCACTTGAAGGCAATCAGTTTGAATTTCGCCTGTTCTAAATTAATTGATCTTATTTGAATAGCAGTTGGCATTGCAGTTTGGCAGGAGTACATTGGACGGTGTAAGAATGGTTAGGTTACTGATAGGTTTAGCTCCTGATATCCATTTGATGGTGTTTTTCCAAAAAATGTGTTACATCAGGAGGAGAATGTGGTTTGCTGGTATTCCTAGCGTTCACTATTTTGGCTTGCATATGGGAGATGCTCACTTGCCTGATACTATCGATGTGCATTGGCCAATATAGAATTTTAATCCATCAAGATGTGCCAGTCACAACTGGAGCATAATGCGTTGGAGTTAGGTGGGTACTACTGAGCATTTCTGTATTCCAGAAAGGCAACTTCAGTCATGAGTTATAGAACACAATTGTTCTTTCAAGTTCTTAATTCCGCTTTCATGCAACCAGGGATGAGCAGCAAATGCTGACTTGCTTGTATTGCCCATGTACTCGGAGCAAATGTTTGAACAAACTCATTAAAATTATTTAATCGTGTACTTTCTATCCAAAAGGATTACTTTTTCAAACAGGAGCTCAGAGATTACTGTTGTTTTTATCTTTCATCGCAGCACACATTGTCTGTAATAAACAACTCTGATCCCTTTCACAGGCACTGAATTTGTTGTGGTTGAAGACATGTCATGCCATGATACAAATGCAGTCATTCTGAAGGCAACCACCGTGCTCACCTATAAACCACGGCTTGTAGATCGGCCATTCTCTGGCAGCCTTGGAGGAATTGAGGTAAACAGAACTTCTTGAGTACCTCAAAAATTTGTTGGATAAAATATGTTTTTGTTTCTGATGTACAGTTACCTTTTGCACTGTGAAGCAGTGAGAGTTTTATTTTGTTCCTGTGCTATCAATATGCAAATCTGTTTTTAGCTACATTTTAAAAAAAACAGGGTATCAAGGACACAATGCACTCTCGTGAAGATCTTAATTGTCCATCAGCAAGATTGGTTTGTCAGTCCCACTACTGACTGAGCTGGTCACATCCCCAAAGACACAGCATCTGAACACAATCTGCAGCAGATGAAGGAGCCAAAAAGAGGGGAAAAACATACTTGAATGCAAACTCACTAATCTGCCTGCTGCAGATGCATCTGTCCATGACAGTGTCAATAGAAATGACCACCACACAATCCTCGTGGAAAGAAAGGTCTGTCTTCACATTAAGTTTTCCCTTCATTGCGTTGTGAGGCACAGCAAAAGTGCTAAATGGGATAGATCTCGAACTTCACACTGGGCATCCAAGAGGTGCTAAGGGTAAACAGTAGCAGCAAAATTGTATCTCAGTACAACCTGGTACCTCATAGCCCAGCATATTTTCCATTCTACCGTTCAGTGAAAAGTGCAGGAGAATTTATCAGGAGCAGCACCAGGCATACCTAAAATGAGCAACAGAATAGTGCCACTTGTGAGCCAAACAGCAAAAGCAGCAAGTGACAGAGCTAAGCGACTGCACAACTAAAAGTTCATACCTAATTTCTGCAGTCCTGCCACATACTGTTGTGAATGGAAGTGAACGATTTAACAACTCACTGGAGGAACAGGCTCCACAAACAACATCATTCTCAATAATGGAGAAGCCCAGCATAACAGTGCAAAAGATGAGGCTGAAGCGATTACAATGCTCTTCAGCCAGAAATGTTGAGTGGATGATATATTTCAACTCTCTGGAGGTCCCAATGTCATGAATGCTGGTCTTCAATCAGTTTGATTCACATCACATGATATCTAGAAAAGGCCAATGGCTCTAGATTCTGCAAAGGCTGTGGGCCCTGACAACTTTCTGGCAATAGTATTGAAGACATGTTTTAGAACTCGCAGCTGTTTCAGTATATTTACAACATTGCATTTACGGTATTATGTGGAAAATTGCCCAGGTATATCTATAAACAAAAAGCAGAGCAAATCGAACCTGGCCAATTACAACCTCATTAGTCTACTGTTGATCATCAGTAAAATGATGAAAGGGGTCATCAACAGCGCTATCGACACCATCTGTTCAGCAATAAACTGCTCACTGACATGGCATTTAGGTTCCACACAGGCCCATTCAGCTTCTAACTTCATTACAGCCTCAGGTCAAACATGGCCAAATATGATGTCCAGATGTAAGATGAGAGTGATTACCCTTGACATCAAGCCCACACCTGACTGAGTATGGCATCAAGGAGCTACAGCAAAACTAGACTCAATGATAATTGGGAGAAAAACCTCTGCTGGTTGGACTCATAACTAACTTCCTTAGTGCTGGCTATGTTTGTTGAAAGTCAGTCAACTCCGCTCCAATCTAACCCTGTCCATGTTGTCCGAGACTCGACCATCTTAAGCTGCGTCATCAGTAGTCTTGATTCCATCATTAGGTCAGAAGTAAGGAAATTTATTGATGATTGGACAGTGTTGTGCTCCATTCGTGACTCCTCACGTTCTGAAACAGCCCAAGTCCAATTGCAGCCAGACCTGGGCAATATCTGGGCTTGGGCTGTCATGTCGAGCAACATTCACATCACGCAAGTGCTGGGCAGTGAGCATTTGCAGCAAGAGAGAATCTTTTGACATCCATTGACATTCACGGCATTACCATTTCTGAATCCCTTACTATCAACATACTGGGTTAGAATTGACCAGAAAATGTACTGGACTAGCCATATAGAAACTGTGGTTACATGAGCAGGTCAAAGATTGGGATTCCTGCAGCAATTAACCACCACCTTACTCCCAAATTCTGTCCACAATCTACAATGCACAAGTCAGGAGTGGGATGGTATACTCCCCATTTGCCTAGATAAGTGCAGATCCAACTATGCGCAAGAAGTTTCACATCAAAGAAGGCAAAACATCCCACTACATTAACATCACCGTCCGCAAACATTCATTCACTGCACCAAAAATGCACAGTAGCAGCAGTGTGTACAACTTCAAGATGCACTGCAGCAACTCACCAAGACTCGTATGACAGCACCTTCTAAACCCACAACTGTTGCCATCTAGAATGTCAAAGGCAGCAGATACATGGAAACACCATCACCTGCAAGTTCACCTCTAAGCCACTCACCATCCTGACTTGGAAATACATTGCCATTCCTTCGTTGTCTCTGGGTAAAAAAGTCCTGGAAATACATTTTAACAGTATTGTAGGTCTACCTACGCCAAACGGGCTGCAGCAGTTCAAGAAGTCAACTTGCCACCACCTTCTCTTGGGCAATTAGGGATGGGTAGTAAATCCTGGTCCACTGAACAAAGCTAGTATCCACTGAGTGAGTAAAAGAGAAACAAGAATAAACTTAACATGTGAATTCATTCCATCAGCTAGTTTGCAGAACTGACATGTTAGTCCAAAACCTGGAAAACTGTCAGTCAGCTGAAGGTGATGGGTTCCTTTTTTTTCCCCTGGATAACAATCCTGAAGTGCCAGCCACTTGGAAACCAATAAAGATCAAACATAAAGGTCCATCAGCTTCAGTTCAACGTTGGTAGCAAGATTACTCCAGGTTTGAATTGCTTTTTCACACAGTCATAGAATGATCCTTTGGAACTGATTGCTGCATTTTCAATGGGACAACTGATGTCAGACCCTAGTAGAATCCTAACTCATTAGCACAAACCTATCCTCTTACAGTGTGCAGTTTCATTATGCTTAATATAAATTTTATGTATTTAATTTTCAGTTTCAAAAACTGAAGGTAGCACTTGGTAGGTTTAATTTCTCATTTCTGCTATATATATTGTATGGATCTAAATGCCATTCTACCCTATTTACAGGTATTTTCATGCCGACTTGGCAGTGAACAAGAGACTGCTCTGTCTATCATCGATCCTGTAAACGTTCAGATGGAATTGATTGGAAACCCCATTTATCAGAAAAGCTCAGGGTTGCTGGATGCTTTTGGTAGTGAGGATTTCCCACCAGTTCTTGAGGTATCAATTTACCAGATATTCTGAGTGATCTGACCGGTAATCTGTAGTGTTAGCTGTTCTCAGCGAAACAGCAGTTTTGAGTGTTACAGTTGGATTGATATTCCTGATTAAGAAGGGCAAAACTCAATGTTTCCCATTCCTGTTTAATATCTAGAGGTCTGTGCATATGTAGCTAACTGGTTAGGGTTCTGGTCTGGATTAGACTCTGCTTTGATGTCCTTCATTTTAAATAATAATCAAATTTTAGACTTGCACAAGAGCAATGGTCACTTTCACTCGTACTATCTGAAAGCCATTGCTGCTTGTATAGTTGAATGTCAGTGAGAGTTTTTTTTTTTGAAAAATAGGAGAAAATTAAGGGAAGATGTTTGTTTGGAAGAGTAACTGCAGGTTTTTACTGCCTTATTTGAAAAGATCCCTCCTTAAAGATAAAATCTCTGAGGTTGGTTATGATTCCGTTTGTAAATTAATACTCTATTTCACATTCAAGTAAATATGTCTTGGTTATGGTAAAGATATTTTCATAAGATGACCAGAGATAAACAATACAAATGAGATTGAAGTATTGATTACATCTGTTTATAATGGACATAAGTCAAACCACCAATGACAATTAGAATGAACTTTTTTATTTCAGGATCTTCATTAACCTATGAAGTGAACAGTAGGAGCTTCAAACCAGAGTTACACAGGGTGCAGCATACATGAATCCAAGGAGACAATGCTTTCTTTTTCCCTATTCAGACTATTTGGCCCATTACTTTTCAGTACAGGTCATAGTTTGCAAATCACCTTGATGCATTCAGCCCAGGATTCAAATTAATGTTTATGGATTGTAGAACAGGAAAGCAAAGGAGGTCAAACTAAAACCATGAAATATTCCCAGCTATAAGTTATTTATATAAGAGACATAAATCACTAGGGAGGAAAACCGTGCTTTAGGCTTTTAAAAGAGGGGTTTTACGACCATCCGGGGACTCAATATCTTTAACCTCTGTAATTTAACATTTTAAGCAATACCCAAAATAACAGGCCAACATGAATGGACGGAACATATGCAGATATCATAAATTTAACATTCTTCTGCAGAGTTTTGTAAAAAAGTTAAGAAATTTTGTATGAAAATCAACATGCCTCTCATGATTTTTTTGTCAGTAATCTTTTGGGCATCATAATGCCTTCCATGCCTGAATTTGTAAAATGTTTTACTCTCACATGAAGTTCTACATCAAGAGTTTCAAATTAAAATATCTTGAGCCATATGACAGGAATGAGTTGTTATACCAGTTCTGCCCTTGTGTGCAATGTTTATTTATAGGATACCTACAATAATAGGAAAATTTGTCAATGATCCAATTCTCATTATTGAAATGACATTTTACAGTTCTTTTTCCTGATTGCAGCACAAGAGGTGAAGTTATAAACATCATAAATTGAAACTCAGGATATAAACACTGTCCCTCTGTAAAAACAAAGCAAGCATGGGCTAATTCTTTCAACTTGGGTTGGGAGGAGCTGAGTTTCTATTTATGCTGCTTGTTTTTTTTAATGTATTGCTTTTTGTTTATATCACCCAGTATAATTAGTTGCAGGCTTATTCAGCTTTTAAAGATTAGGACAAGATTGGATTGTTCTCAATGGTTTTACCACAGTGAGGTAATGTTTTGTGCAGCTCTGTGCACTGCTTAAGCTCACACACGAAGAATGGCCACTTGAGTGTGAGGTACTGGAAGGCAGCCAAAGTTCATGCAACTAAAGCCAAAGGTCTCCAGTATGGGGAAGAGAGGAAAAAGAGATGTGAAGCCTAGTTTTTTCAAAATCTGCATGATTCGTGTGAAATACACATTAGGCTTTTAATTTTTTTTTGTTGAACTACCTTACGTATTTGTTTACCTGAATGAAGTACTAATAGACATTGAATGGAGCTAATAGATTTATTTAATATCGACCTTCATAGCAAAACAGGTACCATCACTTTTCTAATTAGCCTTGAAAGGCAGAGTGTTCTTTTTCTAGCTTTTACAACTATTTCAGTCTTTTAGGTTCTGATAACTCTTCTTTATTGTGTCAATAGTCATGAAATATCCATCTGCATATCAACATTGTTATTAAGCTGAGGAAGCAGAGGAACAGTCAGTACCCACTAAGGACTTACCCAGCAAACTTGGAGAAGGGCAGCTGCAACCTGTCTTGCCATTTAACCACAAAATCTTGGAAGCTGAGTTAATGCCACTGGTCATTTACTAAATGGATGGCAGATTTTTGAACAAAAATTGAAGGGGAGGAAATTTTCTGTTGAATAGTTCCCTTGTAAAGTGAGTCTTTTTCCCTTGCAATTACGAAGCTGATATAAGGCTGCATGCTAATACTATTTCTCTCACTTTGCTGGACAGCAAGGAAAGGAGAGTGAAAGGCAATGAAGTCTAGCCCTGACAATATTTCAAAGCTTGCCAAGTCCAAGTGGACATTGTTAGCAAATCTTCCACCTTTTTGAGGACAGCTACTGTTGAGCAACAAATGCTGACCCTACCACAGCTGTCCATATCCCACCTAAAATAAAGAACTCATTCATTTCATTGGAAAATCAGTGCATGTGAGACATAAATTTAGGTTTGTTATTAAAATAGCAGATGGGGATGGCGGGGATGGGGGGGATGCAAAGTCAGTGTAGATGAGGGAAAGTAACACTTTTATCTGAATGTCATTAAACATCAATAACATTGAAAAGGGATGTTAGAAATAATAATTTAAAAGAAAATGAGAAAAGAGCAAGGAAATTTAATCAATAGACGGCTACTTTTTGAAGAGCACAGATATGATAGGCCAATTGGTCTCTCTCTCTGCTCTAATTTCTGTAAACAGCACAATAAAGGAGAGGTAAACCAGGTAGTTCCAGGACTGTTGTCTTCGTTGGTATAAGTGGAGAGAAGTCTGTTTCCAAACAGAATGAAATCATTGAATAATACAACATAGGGGACTTACTCACCTCTGTTCTAATCTTAAAAATGATTTCATTTCTTTTTGTGCTGTAGATTCAGTTCTCAACGCTTGATATCAGGCTGTCATACAATGATGTCCAGCTGTTCCTGGCAATAGTGAAGTCTTTCCCTAAGCAAACCACAGCATTATCTACTGTGTCCGATCCTGATTCTGTGAATGCAAGCAACAGCGCGGTTCCTTTGGCAGGATCTGGGAAAAAAGAGACAAGCAAATACCGGATGGATCCTGTACTTGGTAAGTAATTAACAAAAGATCAAAATGACATTCATAAACTAACCTGAGGGCACCTGCTGAAATATGCTGGTTCTACACATTAGGCTATCACTGTTTTTAAAAAAAAATGTGTGACTACTGATCAAAACAGGATTTGAGCACATAATCCAGACTGGAATTTTATTAAATTGCGCTATTGTGAAAGATGTACATCTCTATAACGCTTTATCTTCTTTCAGCTAATACGTTAAAAGAAGGTACTTGCTGCCGCCTCAAGTGGGTGCAGAAGATGTTTTGCTGTCCTGGTTGTCATAGACCTCTTGTCTCATTTCACCAAAAATAAAGTAACAATTTACTAACCTCACTGCTGCTTATGAGATGCTGCTGTATGCAAATTAACTACGCTGTTTATCCCCAGTGTTTGTTAACAGTGATATTGGTCCAAGAGAAATTCACTAGCCATTAAAGCTACCTAATGTACAGAAGTGGTATAGTTAATGATTAAAGAAAAGATAGGGAGGAAGAAGGGGGTTCAAGTAACAGTACAAAAACCAGAAGAACTGCGGATGCTGGAAGTCAGAATCAAAATCAGAAATTGCTCCAGAAAAGCTCAGCAGGTCTGGCAGCATCTGTGGAGAGAAATCAGAGTTAACGTTTCGGGTCGAGTGACCCTTCCTCAGAACACCACTTGTCACCGGCTGCCATCCTGAGAAAGACCCCTTTTATCCTCACTCTGTGCCTTCTGCCAGACAGCCAATCTTCTATCCATGCTAGCACCTAGAGGAACACCATAGGCCCTTATCTTACTCAGTAGCCTCTTGTGCGTCATCTTGTCAAAGGCCTTCTTGAAGTCCGGGTAGGTAACATCCATTAGCTCTCCTTCATCTAACCTGCTCATTACTTCCTCAAAGAATTCTAGCAGATTCGTCAGGCATGACCTCCCCTTGATGAAACTGTGCTGACTTTGCCCTATTTTGCCATACACTTCCAAGTATTCAGAAATCTGATCCTTCACAATGGACTGTAAAATCTTACCCACGACCGAGGTTAGGCTAATCGGCCTACAACTTTCCATCTTTTGCCTTAATCCCTTATTAGCAAGGGTGTCATGTTAGTGATTTTCCTGTCCTCTAGGACCCACCCTGACTTTAGCAATTCCTGAAGGATCTTGACTAACGCCTCCACTATCTCTTCAGCTATCTCCTTAAGAACTCAGTTGTAGTCCATCTGGTCCTGGTGATTTATCCACCTTCAGGCCATTCAGTTTTTCTAGCACCTTCTCCTTGATATTGCCCACCATAATCAGGTCTGCTCCCTGACTCTCTCAAATTTTTGGTTCTATTACTCATGTCTTGGCTGCCCAACAGAAGACAGAGGGTGGTAGTAAATGGAAAGTATTCAGCCTGGAGCTCAGTGACCATTGGTGTTCCACAGGGATCTGTCTGGGACCTCTGCTCTTTGTGATCTTTATAAATGACTTGGATGAGGAAGTGGAAGGGTGGGTTAGTAAGTTTGCCAATGACACGAAGGTTGGTGGAGTTGTGGACAGCGTGGAGGGCTGTTGTAGGTTGCAACGGGACATTGACAGGATGCAGAGCTGGGCAAAGAAGTGGCAGATAGAATTCAACCGAGAAAAGTGTAAAGTGATTCACTTTGGAAGGTCAAATTTGAATGCAGAATACAGGGTTAATGGCAGGATTCTCAGCAGTGTGGAGGAACAGAGGGATCTTGGGGTCCACGCCCATCGATCCCTCAAAGTTGCTACCCAAGTTGAGAGGGTTGTAAAGAAGGTGTATGGTATGTTGGCTTTCATTGACAGGGGAATTGAGTTTAAGAGCCATGAAGTTATGCTGCAGCTCTATCAAATTCTGATTAGACCACACTGGAATATTGTGTTCAGTTCTGGTCACCTCATTATAGGAAAGATGTGGAAGCTTTAGAGAGGGTGCAGAGGAGATTTACCAGGATGCTGCCTGGACTGAAGGGCAGGTCTTGTGAGGAAAGGTTGAGGGAGTTGGGGCTTTTATCATTGGAGTGAAGAAGGATGAGAAGTGACTTGATAGAGGTTTACAAGATGATGAGAGGCGTAGATAGAGTGGATAGTCAGAGACTTTTTCCCAGGGCAGAAATGACTATTACAAGGGGGCATAATTTTTAGGTGATTGGAGGAAGGCATAGGGGAGATGTCAGAGGTAGGTTCTTTACACAGAGAGTGGTGGGCGTGTGGAATGCGCTGCCGGCAGTGGTAGTGGAGTCAGATACTTTAGAGACTTTTAAGCGACTCTTGGATAGGCACATGAAAGATAGTAAACTGTAGGCTGTGCAGAGTAGATTGATCTTAGTAGGATAATAGGTCGGCACAACATCGTGAGCCAAAGGGCCTGTACTGTGCTATACTGTTCTATGTTCTTCCACCGTGAAGACTGACGCAAAGTAATTATTCAGTTTGTCAACCATTACCTTGTTCCCCACTACTATCTGTCCAGCATCATCTTCCACAGATCCAATGTCCACTTTTGCCTCTCTTTTGCCCTTTATATACCTAAAGAAACTCTTACAGTCTTCCTTTATATTACTGGCTAGTTTACCTTCTTGTTTAATCTTCTCCCTCCTTATTTCTTTTTTTGTTGCCTTCTGTTGGTTTTTGTAAGCTTCCCAATCCTCTGGCTTCCCACTGCACTTCGCCACATCATATGCTTTCTCTTTTGCTTTTATGCTATTCCTGACTTCCCTTGTCGGCCATGGTTGTCTCATCCTCCCTTTTAGTGTGCATCTTTTTCCTAGGGATAAATTTTGCTGTGTCTCCTGAATTACTCCCAGAAACCGCTGCCATTGCTGTTCCACTGTCTTTCCTGCTAGGCTCTTCTCCCAGTCAATTCTGCCCAGCTCCTCCCTCATGCCTGTGTAGTTGCCTTTATTCAGCTGTAGTACCATTACCTCTGATTCTATCTTCTCCCTCTCAAATTGCAGAGTAAATTGAATCATATTACGATCGCTGCCTCTGAAGGGTTCCTTCACCTTAAGTTCACTTATCAAGTCTGCCTCATTGCACAGCACTAAATCCAGTATTGTCTGTTCCCTAGTGGGCTCCACCACAAGCTGCTCCAAAAAGCTATCTCATAGACTTTCCACAAATTTCTTTTTCTTGCAATCTACTACCAACCGGATTTTCCCAGTCCACCTGCATACTGAAATCCCCCATGATCACTGTAACTTTGCCTCTCTTACACACCTTTTCCATCTCCTGGTGTATCTTGCACCCCAGCTCCTGACTACAGTTTGCAGGCCTGTACATAACTCCAACTATGTTTTGTTTTTTTATCTTTGCGACTCCTCAATTCTACCCACCCAGATTCTGCACCATCTGACCCTACTTTTGTTTCTTGCTATTGATTTAATTTCATTTCTTACTGATAAGCCAACTCCATCCCCTCTGCCCACCTGCCTATCTTTTCAATAGAATGTATATTCTTGGATATTCAGCTCCCAGTCCTGATCCCCTTGCAGCCACGTCTCCGTGATGCCCACCACAACATACCTGCCAATTTTGATCTGCGCCACAAGCTCATTTACCTTACTCTTTATACAGCGTGCGTTCAGATATAACACCTTCAGTCCTGTATTCACCGTCCCTCTTCTCATGGCCCTTTGTTTGTCCAGTGTGCTTGAAATTTAATTCCTAACTCTTTCCAAACACATTGTCCTATTTGTGTCTGTGCTGGAGACTTTAATAACCTCTCTTGAGTTGTCCTTTCCTGTCATTTCTTTCATATTTGTCCTCACACTTGAATCCAGCCCTACAGATGTTAACCTGCTGCTTTGTTTCCTGCTGAGATAAGTTTTACCCTTCACTCACCAGCTCTCCCCCGCGACCCCCCCCAACCTCAACAACACCACTTTCTAGTATAAAGTCCTATTGACCAGCCGATTTACCCTTTTCGCTAGAACATTGGTCCCAGTTCAGTTCAAGTGGACACTGTCCCAACGGTACAGATCTCTCCTGTTCCAATACTGAGGTGGGACATTTTAGTGAATAGATTAAGTGGCCACATACTACTTGGATATTGAATGTGTTGATTGAATTGTGGAGCAAAGGTTTTTAGGGCAAAAGATGCACATATCACTAAAAGCAAGATACAAGTTAACACTGGGCTTTATTTCTATCGGGAAAACATTGAAAAGCATAGAAACCATCCTCTTCAAGCCTTAGACTGTACGTGAAGTACTGTGCACTGTTGTTGCTTTCCTTTTTTAAAGGAATGTGGAAGCATTGGAGAAGAGCAAAGGGATTTACAAGGGCAACACAGAAAAGAGATTTACTTGCAGTTGGATAGATGAGAAATTATCTCTTTGAAAGAAGGGGAGGTTGAGGCATGACCTAATTGAAATGTTTTAAGATAATGAAATGTTCGACAGTGTTAATGCAGATAAAATGTTTCTGCTTGTGGGTAGATCTAAAACTGGAATCCATAAGTAAAAGACAAGTTCTGATACTTCCAATAGGAAATTCAGAAGAGAATACAGAACTATACCAATTCATGGACATTAAAGTAATGGCTGAATTTGACCTAAACAATGAATAAATATTGATAAAAATTTTGATACTGAGAAAATAACATGTTTTTGTTCTAGTTTTCTTAATATTCATATTAAGTATTTCATAAAATTTCCGATACATCTCTCAACAGTGCAGTTGAACATTTCCTTGACGAATACATCTATTTTCCACATCAGGCATTTTTAAAATTCATTCTGAAGAAATTGCCAGTTAATACTGAGTCACATGGGTTGTTTTTATTGTGAATTTACTGCATTAGAAACTGGACTTAAGATGCCTATAGCCAACTAATTCGGGGCTAATTTTTCATTGTATCATTTTGCAATGGGTCTAACCCATAGTGAAAAGATTGCTCAATCATCCCTCCAAATAATTACATTCCACTTCAAAATTTTGGCAAAGATCTGTAGTTTGGATTGTAGATGAGGTTGTTGACTTGCTCACCGAGCTGGGTTGTTTTTGTTCAGACGTTTCTTCACCGTGCTAGGTGACATCATCAGTGGAGCCTCTGATAAAGTGATGTTATTCTACTCCGCTTGGAATTTATACTGTCTGGTCTGTTGTGGTGAGTGCTGTCATTTCCAGTTTTGATCTGTATGGGTCTACATTTGGCGTCCAATTCTATATGTTGGTTGATTGAAGTATGGGTGGAGAACCGTGCCTCTGGGAATTCCTGTGCGTGTCTGTGTTTGGCTCGGGCTACAGTTAAACTGGTGGCCAAAGTAGTCTTAGTAGCCCAAGCCAAACATAGACACGCATGGGAATTCCTAGAGGCATGATTCTCCACCCATACTTCAATCAACCAACATATAGAATTGGACCCCATATATAGACCCATACAGAGCAAAACAGGAAATGACACTACTCACCATAACGGACCGGACAGTAGAAATTCCAAGCGGAGAAGAATAACATCGCTTCATCGGAGGCTCCACTGATGATGTCACCTAGCATGGTGACAAAACATCTGAACAAAAACAAGCCAGCTCGGCGAGCAAGTCAGCCAGCACATTCTACTTCATAAGATTTCATGAATATCTTATGACTTTACGAATACAAATCACTGAAATAAACTCCTGTACGTGGGGAATATCAGAGTGTCTCAGCACTTGAATAAGTGAAAATCAAGAGGATTTAGTTTTGTTCACTTGGTAATGTACAAATTTAGTTAAATGAGCAGTCAAATTTGAAAGTCGGACAAAAATTTTGATGTGGGGTTCAAAATTGTTTTAATACATTTATCTTTGTCTAAAACCGATTAAGATGTATCAACTCAGGACGGATGAACAATAAGTAGAATTGAATGAGAACACACAGACATAACCTAATCCAGCAGCATTGCATTTTATTCCTGACACACAGTTCCATTAACAGGAAGGCAGTATTGGAACTTTTTTGGAGATGATTCTGTGTGGTCTTTGAATTATATAGATGTTTAATTACAATGCTTAAATTGTCTCTGACTGTAATGTGGAATGTAGGGATTGTTGACTAATTATACATCAATTTTGTTACTTTTTTTGCAGAATTGCAGCTGGATCGACTCCAGGACCTTGGTTTTAGTCTGGAAGATTGTCGCAGAGCACTGCTGCTGTGCAAAGGTAGAGAATACGCTGGGGAGATCTTATATTTCACCTTGTAGGATTTAAGTTAGTTTCTCAACAGCAATCATCCATTCATGTCTGTACTACTAGTACTGGAAGGAAAAATGGTTCTGAAAAGAAATTTGTTCAGAGGCAGAAAATAAAAATCTAGCTTGTTGATTTTTTTTTTTCTTTGCTGTCTGTGATAATGAATAGTTTATTAAACAACATTTATCAGGGGTTTCTGCCTTTCAGGTTAAGAATTCCAGAAATGTGAGTTGAAGACGGGCAACTTTGCAGTCTCTCTGAATCATTTCAAAGAGTCAACAAGTCACTGAAAAATCTAACTGAAAATGTTGTTTAGCTCACTCATCTGATTTGCTTGGCCAGTACAAAGCCTGTATTGATTAGCCTGTTTGCGTAGTATGTTGGAGCATCAGGAACAGCTCTGCCCAAGGGCTGAAACATTAAAAATGGAATGTAGAGTTGAAAAGTACTGTTCTACCCATTGCTTTCATAGCCCATCTACTACCTATAGTCATGGAATCTTCCTCCTCCTGTTTATTCCTGGAAGGGAAGTTACATAAATGTACTCTCCCATTTCAAAAGATTAATTGAGCAACATATTCATTTTTCCTCATGTTTGTAATACCCCTGCATTTCCTTCTATAGCATTCCCCAATTTATGTAAACAGGTAGTTGCGGCTCAAGGATGAATGATCATAGTACCTGTTTCAGAGACAAAATGTGCCAAGTCAACACCTTCCTTCTTGGAGAGGCTGTATGGTTGTTGTCCTGAAGCAGCTTTGGCAAAGTTTGGGGTTTGCACTCTTATTCAAAAAGGGAAAGGACTAAAAACAGGTAACTATAGACCAGTTAGCTTAATGTCTGTTATTGGTAAAATGTGAAAATCCATTATTAAATATGTAATAGAGCATTTAGAAATACATAATATAAATGAGTACAGTCAGCCTGGCTTCATGAAGGGACTATCATGCCTGAGCACTTTATTAGAATTCTTTGAAGTAGTAACAAACATTATAGATAAAGGGGAAACCAGTAGATTTAATATATCCAGAAGTTTGTTACGGTACCACATGTAAGGCTCCTTAATAAGCTAAGAGCCCATGGTATTGGCAGTAGTATGGATACAGGATTGACTAACTAAGAGAAGCGGAAAGTTAGCATTGCGGAGCAATTTCAGGATAGTAAGTTGTAACTAGCGGAGTGGCACAGAGATCGGTGTTGAAGTCACAATTACTTACAATATTAATATATATACATTATATACGTGAATTACATAATTATATATACATTATATATTAATGACTTGGCCAAGGAAAGTGTATGCAGTGTAGTCAGGTTTGCAGATGACACAATATTAAGTGGGAAGGCAAGTAATGAGGATGACACTCGGAACCTGCGGAGGAATACAGATACGTTAAGTAAGTCGCAAAATTTGGCACTTGGAATATAATGTGGGAAAATGTGAGGTTACGCATTTTGACAGGAAGAATGGAGGAACTGAACTAAATGGAGTAAGACTGCAGAAAGCTGCAGTGCAGGAGGATTTGGGCTGGCTTGTATATGAATCAAAAAAAAAATACAAGTTCAGGTAATAGGGAAGGCAAATGGAATGTTGGCCTCTATTTTAATGCGAATGAAATATAAAAATAGAAAAGTCTTGCTAAAACTGTACAAGGCACCAATTAGATCACACCTAGGATACTGCGAATAGTTTTGGTACCCATATGTAAGGAAAGATGGACTGGCATTGGAGACAGTCTAGAGAAGATTCACTAGTTTGATTTTATGATGAGAATTTGAGTAGGTTAGGTTTGTACTCATTGGAATTTAGAAGAATGAAGGACGTTATTGAAACATACAAGATTCTTAAGGGGCTTAGCAGGGTAGATGGAGAGAGGTGGTTATTCTTTAAGGGACAGTCTATGACAAACGGCATATTCTTAGAATAGGAATTACCCATTTAAGACAGAGATGGGGAGGATTTTTTTCTCTGAATTTGTAAAGTGAATCTGTGGAATTCTTTACTGCAGAGGGTTGTGGAAGCTGGGCCCGTGATTATATTTAAAGCTGAGACAAACCGATTTCCAATTAATACAGAAGTCAAGGGTTCTAGGGGAAAGGCAATAAAGTTGGGGATTATCAGATTAGCCATGACCTAATCGAATGACGGAGCAAAGTCAACAGGTTGAAAGGAACTGCTTCTGCTCCTGTGTTTTATCGCCTTATAATTGTTCCTCATGCCCTCATGGTGTGTAGTTGGGACATATGCAAAGAGGAAAAGTAGCAAGTTTGCCCCTTCTTATGGAGATTGTAGGAACTGCTGATGCTGGAGAATCTGAGATTACAAGGTGTAGAGCTGGATGAACACAGCAGGCCAGGCAGCATCAGGAAAGCTGACATTTCGGGTCTGGACCCTTCTTCAGAAATGGGGGAAGGGAAGCGGACTCTGAAATAAATAGAGAGGGTGGGGAGACGATGATGGAAGGTGGATAAGGGAGCAGATAGGTGGAGAGGAGACGGACAGGTCAAGGAGGCGGGGATGGAGCCTGTAAAGGTGAGTGTAGGTGGGGAGTTGGGATGGGGGTTGGTCAGTCGAGGGATGACGGGCAGGTCAAGGAGGCGGGGATGAGGCTGGTAGGTAGGAGGTAGGGATAGGGGTTGGTCAGTGAGGTGGGAGGAGCGGATAGGTGGGAGAAAAGACGGACAGGTCAAGGAGGCAGGGACGAGCTGGGCTGGTTTTGGGATGAGGTTGGGGGTGGGGAGATTTTGAAGCTTGTGAAGTCCACATTGAGACCATTGGGCTGCAGGGTTCCCAAGCGAAATATGAGGTGCTGTTCCTGCAGCCTTCGGGTGGCATCATTGTGGCACTGGAAGAGGCCCAGGATGGACATGTCGTCCAAGGAGTGGAAGGGGGAGTTGAAGTTGTTCGCGACTGGGAGGTCCAGTCGTTTGTCATGAACCGAGCGTAGGTGTTCCACAAAGCGGTCTCTAAGCCTCCACTTGATTTCCCCGATGTAGAGGAGGCCACATCGGGAACAGCGGATACAACATACCACATTAGCAGATGTGCACGTGAACGTCTGTTTAATGTGGAAGGTTTTCTTGGGGCCTGGGATGGAGGTGAGGGGCGAGGTGTAGGGGCAGGTGTAGCACTTCCAGCGGTTGCAGGGAAAATTACCGGGGGTGGTGGGGCTAGTGGGGAATGTGGAGCGGACGAGGGAGTCACGGAGGGAGCAGACAAGGGAGTCACTGAGAGAGCGGTCCCTCTGGAAGGCAGATAAGGGTGAGGAGGGAAAAATGTCCTTGGTATTGGGGTCAGATTGCAGGTGGCGGAAATGGCAGAGGATGATGCGTTGAATCCGGAGGTTGCTGGGGTGGTACGTGAGGATGAGGGGGATTCTGTCTTTGTTATTGCGGGGAGGGGGTGTGAGGGATGAGTTGCAGGAAACATGAGAGATGCAGTCCAGGGTGTTTTCGACCACTGTTGGGGGGATATTGCGGTCCTTGAAAAACGAGAACATCTGGGATGTCCGAGAGTGGAATGCCTCATCTTGGGAACAGATGCGGTGGAGGCGAAGGAATTGGGAATAGGGGATGGCATTCTTGCAGGAAGGTGGGTGAGAGGAGGTGTAGTCTGGGTAGCTGTGGGAGTCAGTAGGCTTGAAATAGATATCGGTTTCCAGGTGGTTGCCAGAGATGGAAACACAGAAGTCCAGGAAGGAGAGGGAGGTATCAGAGATGGTCCAGGTGAACTTAAGGTTGGGGTGGAAGGTGTTGGTAAAGTGGATGAACTGTTCGAGCTCCGCTGCTTCATTGCTGAAGTCTAGTTTTTAACACACTCCTATTCAGACTAAAGCTTCGACACCTGACGTATGTATTTGTGATGGGATTCGTTTTGCTTCTAGACCATTCAGCTGGGAATGGTGAAAATTGGTATGAATGATATAGTTAGAAATTATGTACTTTGTCACTTTAAGGAAGTACTAATGGCTGAATTTGGCATTATAGACCAGGAGATTCTGTGTTCAATTCCAGTCTAGATTGTGCTGTACTGACCCCATCAAAGTGACGGTAGGGCCAAATCAGCTAGTTTATGTCCTTGGTCACTTTCCAGTGTTCCCTGTGGTAATTAAATTAAAACATTATTTTTGGCAAAATTTGTTTAGAGCAAAAGGATAATTTCTCCAGTAACAAAGCTGTTAATGTCTTTTACACCTACTAACTTAAATTTCTATTTTATTTCTAATTTGCAGGCCAACTGAATCAGGCTGCTACCTGGTTGTTTAAGAATGCTGATCCAGTGTCAGCAAATGGAACCACGTTGTGCAGCAATGGCCATGGTACAGGTGCAGCATTACTGGTCTCCGGGATTGAAGTGAAGGCTGAGAGCATCTGTATCTGTCTGATCGATGACTGTATGGATTGTGATGTACCTCTTGCTGAACTTACCTTTTCGAGTAGGTTTCCTACACAAACTTCTGTTCATAAACAGCTTCAACTCCTCCATTATGACCAATATGGTAAATGTAAAAACCAGTTTAGCAATAGTAGCATAGTGATGTTACTGGATTGGTAATGTGGTAACAGCAGCTGAGGAATTAAAATTCAGTTAATTAAATATATTTGGAATTTTAAAAATCTAATATCAATTGAAGTAACTGCAAAACTGCTGTGGTATCATAATTTTTTTTAAAGAAGTCTCATGTTCCTCATGGAAGATAATGTGCCAAACCATATGATATTGGCTCTTAGTTAATGCTTCAGATGGCCTGACAAGTCACTCAGTTTTATTAAACCACTATGAGAAGCAATAATTAAAATAAAACCAAATGGACAATGCAGTATTGACCTAGACATACAAAGGTGCATTTAACGCTGTGATCCCTACAAAGTCGTCCTAATTAGCACCTGGAGACTTGCTCTGAAATTGGGAGGGCTGTCTCACTGACTAATTCAGCAATGACCTCACGCAGTCACACTCATAGAATGCTATCTTTCAGCCAGAACTCAGACTCTTTCCTCACTGTCCATGGCTGTGTCTTTCTCATGAACAAAACAAAGCAACTACTTGTGGCGGCGATAAAATCTGAAACAAGTGGGCCTGCGAGTCCTGAACATCAGGTCCCAATCCCATGAGGTTGCGTGACCTCAAATCAAACATGGGCAAGGAAACCACCTGCTGATCATGCTCTACTACCCTCACAGCATCAGTAATTTTCCATGTCAGTCACTGCTTCCAAGATGCACTGAATGCAGCAAAAGCCACCTTTCACCAATTTGACACGCTCAGCGTGACATCAAAAACCAGCTGAGTGGACCGGATATAGGGGCGGTGCCTTGGCTGCATAGGTGACAGTTTGTGGTCCATAACCAGCATGCCCCTAACCAAGCAAGTCCAAAAAGACAAATAAGCTCTGACATCTCTCCAACAAAATGGACAATTGCCCTGAAGTGTCCACAAGATGCAATCTGGCAAATTATCCCCATTAGTCTACCTCCAATCATCTGCAAAGTGATGCAAGAGGTCATTCACAGAACCGTCAACTGCCACTTTCTTACCAAGAACCAGCTCACCAGTGCACAATTTAGGCTTAGCTTATTATAGCCTTGTACCAAACACCGATAAAGGAATTGAATTCCAGAGATGAGAATCACTTCCTTTTTCATCAGGACAGCATTTTGACCAAGTGCTGCTTCAAGTCATTATCAATCAGGGAAAATTCCCCACTAGTTGTTCACTACTTGGCACAAAGGAAGATGGTCGTGCTTGTTAGAAACCAGTCATGTCAGCCCCAGCATGTTGTCGGAGTTCTTCAGGAAATATTTAATGGCTTCATGATTGATCTTCTTTTCATTGTCCGGTCAGAATTGGGGATAACCATTAATGCTTGCAGTGTTCAGTTCCAACTGCCACTCCTTGGATAATGGAGCATCCAACAAGATCTAGACAGTATTCAGGCTTGTGCTGATGATTGGCAAGTGAGATTCATCCTATGCAAATGCCAGGCAATGACTATTTCCAACAAAGGAGAGCCTAGCTATCTCCTTCCCTTGACAGGCATTGTCATCGCCAAATACCCTAGCAACAGCAGTAAATGTTAACCTTCAATGTAGCTGGACCATATAAATACTGTGGTTACATGACCAAGTCAGATATTGGGTATTCTGTAACAAATAATTCATCTCCTTACTACCCAATGCCTTTTCAACATCTCTACAAGACGCGAGTCCAGTGTGGGATAGAATACTCTCTACTTTCCTAAATGACCGCAGCTCCAAAAACACTGCAGAAACTCAATAACATCCGAGATGAAACAGCCTGTTCGACAGATCCCCGACAGAACACCTTAATCATTCCTTTCCTCTGCCACTGGAACACCATGACAGCAGAGTGCACCATTTGCTAAATGCTCACCAAGGATCCTTTAAGTACCTTCAAATGCTGTGGTCTCAACCACCTAGGAAAGCAAGGACAGAATGCATGGGAACCCTGTAAGCTGTAATTTCCTCTTCATGGCATACAGTATCTAAATTGGGAATATATTGACACATCTTTGTCACTGGGCTGGAATCCTGCCTCTCCCTCTCTACCAGCATTATGGGTGTTCCAGTAAAATATGGAGTGCAGGATGTCAAAAAGGTAACCATCACTGCCTTCTCATGGGCAGTTGTTCACAGGCTTTGACAACGATGCTGACACCTCATGAATGAATAAAAAAGACAAAGAGCAAAGTAAATTACAGACTTCTAGCTAAATTGTATATACCCAACATTCCAACAGTTTTATTACAGTACACAAAAGCACAGTTAGCAGAAATATGATTTAGAAATTACCGAAGGGAGGAGTTTATTCTGAAGGATGAATGTTATTTCAGGATGCAAAGTGTTCAGATTTCAAGACTAAAAACTTTGCTTAGTACAGATTCTAGAGTAAGTCTTGAGTTCTTGGCCATAGTTTTACTCAGTGGCTCGGATGTTATTACATTCAAGGGAATTTAGTTTGGTGATTGGCTTTCTGTGTTTTAGGACTCTACTTCCTGCAGAAAGTTGGAGCAAGCCCAGAAGGCTCTGCCAATTTTACCTTCACTGGAGAGTACTACAACCGTGAGCTGTCAGGTAAGATTCTGAATATTTGGGATGGCATAAGCACAGGAGAAAATAGCTATGTGCCTAAGGTGCACATAGCTATCTAGTCCTGGATACATTCTATAACATGCATTTTTCAGAGGATTTAAATTCAAATTAAATCCTGTTTTTCTTCCCTTTAATGGTGTATATAATGTTTACATTTTCATAAATTACAAAGGGAAACAGACTGACATTTATAAATGAACTTTAGACACTGCAAATGCCCAAATTCCATTGCAATGGAATAAATGTTCCATGAGGGAAAGCCTTTCCACTGTAACGCCCATGTATCCACTCGGTTAAAACGCATGTTTAGCAAGACAATGCAGGAGACCTTTGAAATCTACAGTTATAGTTTCCACTAGATGGGGCTAAAAACTGACAATTTAAGTGGGAGGTAAGTGCCACATCATCTCCTGTGCTTAACCTAACACGTGATGTCAGAATAAGAGTAAATGCTGGAAATCTGAAGCAAAGCACAAAATGCTGGAAGTGCTTTGCACTTCTGTTGGTATCTGAGCCAAGTTAATCCTTTGGGAAATGTTTTGTTTCTCAGGAACTATGAGGGAGCAGTTGGCTTGTCACTTTCTAATGCTGACTGATCAGTTGTGAATTTCTGGCAAATTTAGTTTTAATTTTCACCAGCTGCTTTCCAGAGTTATCTATTCAATAATCTGTCTGAGGGGAATCCTTTTGGGGTCTGAGCGATGTAGGCTATAGTGAGATTTGTTGCAGAATCAGGCAAGAAGTCGAGTGACGTCGTGAGTTTCTTGCTAGACAGTGGTGAGTTTCCAATTAAAAAGGATTATAGCTTGTCAAATGCCCTAAAACCACCCAACCTACTATATTAATATTCAACTTGCCATCATATCAAATGCAACATACAAGCTAGACATTAAGAGATCTTGATATGGAAGTCAGAGCTGTTACCTGGTGACTTCAACTTGCTGCTTGCTCCAAAGGAGCTCCATGCCGGACATGGCCACATGTACCCTATGTCCACAGAATTTGGCATACTACATGTACCGGCCTCACTGACCCTTCTGGCAAAACACCACTCGTAGGATGCTTCTATACTTCAGTGCTACACCTGGGGCTGCTTCAGCAACTAACTTTGAAGTGCTGCTGCATTGATACAGTGCACTCCAGGACATACACCCAGCTTATAAACTGGTCCAGGCTGCATCTCAGGGCTCTTCACTCACTGTCATAGTGCTCACTCATTATGAGCCAACCTGAATGGTTCCGGTAGTCCTGCCATGCATTGCCTTGCTTTGCTTTACCTTTGACCCCTCAGTCTGAACCACCAGGCTGATATTACTGTCTTGTCTTGCAATTCAGCACAGGTACAAATCCAGAAGTTCTGTCATGATTCTTAACAGGCTTCAGTCAAGGCGAGGGAGATAGCCTTCACTCGGGAACCGGGCCCAACAAGTCAAGGGCTACCTCTGATACCAATCCAGAGGGCTTGGACACAGTCAGCCATCCAATTGTGACCGTCAGAGTCAGGATCCTCTCCACATAAGGGTGAGGAACCAACTGTTGGATAGCCCACAAGCCAAATTGACTCTTTCTGCCCGACTGCAAGCTGTTTTCCTCCTGGAATGAGTGAGAAGCAGGTGTTAAGGGAGATGAAATTGGATATTAGTTTTGGTGCAGGTGGGAGGTGTTCCACACAAATGAGTAGGCAACGTAGATGGTATTGCAGGGTTAGTGCTGTAGAGGTTGGTTGGGTGAGAGTGAGTGAGGGAACGTGTTGTAGGCAACAGTGAGACTAGTAAAGCATGAATCTCAATGGGAGGTGGGTACAGTAGCACAAGAAGAGTGATTATCAGATATCAAAGAGAAAGTGATGGCACTTATGCTGGTAGAGTGGATAAAGTCATTGACCTTCTCCCGACATTCCGTTATCCCTTCAGACATCTGAGACTGCATTGACCCAGGTCACAACCCCAGAACAGGCTGGCATGGTCCAGTGTTCTGGCCCCAGCTGCTGGTCCTGTGTGGAGAGGACATCTCAAGTTTGTACCATCCCATCCAGCAGCGCTCCGAGGTAAAGTGGAGCACCAGTTTCCTCTTGTCTGCCGAAGTCCTGGCAAATGTCAGGAACTATACAGGTCTTCTCCAGACAGACAGTGCTTGATAGCATGGATGCAAGGAATGCTGGTCAACTCCTGGATATTCCAGGAATGGCAGATTGATCTGATAGCTGCATTTGGTAAGGTGGGGCAGGAATTGGACATGAGGGGCACCATAGGGGCAGGGTAGGTAGTTAATGAAATAGCCTGGTAAGATACAGCAAGAAATCTCATTGGGCCTCACAGTAAAAATCCCTTCAAAAAATGCCACACAACTCTTGCTTAGCCAAAAATAAACTGAGTTTTTTTGCTTTGTCAGTACACAGTACATCATCTCTGGGTATAACTTTCCGCATTATGCTGGAATATAAACAGCTGCCTTGACATTTTCAGTATAGCGTCACCAAAATATGCATTGACTATTTAGTTAAATGTTATTTTTTAATTGAATAGAACTGTGAAGAGTCACATGGCTAATGCCAGAAATATATTAAACTAGGCAAAATTGCAATCAGGTTTTGAAAATGTCATAACCTGGGAATTTGAGAAATGTAAGGCACTGTACCTCATTGTAGCTTTGTGGGAGCTTTTACTTTGTTTCATGTCAATCTCCACACTCTCCATGCAATCCCCCCAACCAGCCTGCCCCACCTCCCCACCCCACACCACTACCCACCCACCCACTCAGGAGCTCATTGGAATCATTTAAATTACAATACCCTGGAACAGAGGACACGCTAAGTTTTGTGCATGTCCTTTTAATTTTCTGGCTGACGTAGCATATTAGCTAACAGACTGCTGGATAGGATTTTCTAACACCAAAGACTTAATGTCTATACACAGACAACAAGGTCTTTCAGTAGTGGCCAAATCTCTGCACAAAGAACAGAGTTGTAGTGTTGCTTGATTTTTTTTGAGAAAGGGTTTTCTGTATTGAGAATGTATTATTCCAGGCCATATTGCTATGGTGCTGGACATTTTAGGCAGGCATTGCCATAACATTAATCTTAATCTAAAGGTTTTAAATGCAGTTTCCTGTAGAAATTCATCTGTACTTAATTTTAATTTTGAAGAATTTGTGTTTAGGGTGAGCTGTGTAAAAGTGAGTTTGCCTGATGCCTTTTTTTTGTGTCAATTGGTTATTTTGACAGATTTATATTTAAATCTCAGCTAATGTTATTGAGAAGTTTTTACAGGATAGCAACGTCCCTCCTTCATGGTGCATTTAGGTGCAGAGTTCAGGTACAAATTGCTCAAACTAAGACTCAGGAACCTTCTATTGTGTGCAGTTAAACTTGTTTTCTCCGGATGGGACCAAACTAAAGTCCCCGCTTCCTTTTCTGTGCCAAGTTAGCAAACTTCAAAAGTAACGTTGACTTGGATGTTTCAATTTCAGTGGTAGTCCGGTGGTTCCCAGTTGAATCACAGAATGAAAAATATAGCAGTCGGTTGCAGGCGATTTAGTTAAATTTAGCAGTCGGTTGCAGGCGATTTAGTTAAATTTGCTGTAGTTGAATAATCTGCAGGTGCTCATTGTCTAGATTCGCATATGTAAATTGCCTGCTTAAGTGGCCATCTGAAGTTTTGTTGACATCAGTGGAATTCTGCCCACTTCATTCATTCAGGAGAACAGTGAGTGGTGAAGGGGTGAGGGGAGACCATACAAGTGCTCTATTCAGTGAAGCGCAGTGATAGAGTTTAATTTTAACTTTGAAAACTGAAGTGTTTATTACTTTATTTTAAGTTCCTTTTAAATTTTGGCACTCACTCATTTTTGAGTCTAACCAATGCTGTACTAAGAAGTGCCTCACAGTATAATTGTACAGATAGGCTACCAAACCTGATTGACAAGTGAGGCCAGTCTCCCTGAACCAAAGTTGCCACAAGTCAGAGATCTGAGTTTGAATTTCAAGTGCTGTTTTGAGCACCTTACTTGGCATGAACTGAAAATTGTGTTTAACTACATACCAGTACTGATTGCACAGTAATTATCTGGTTGTTAAACATGTGGGACATCTTTCAGATATTAAAGGTATGCCATAAGTGAAAATTCGTGAACTAAATTTTGCTTGAGAAAATCTTTCTTTTGGGTCTGTATGCAGCAAACATTTCTCTAGCCCCAACAACCATGTCATAATGAGGCAAAACTAATGCCTGTTAGTTTTCCTGTCCCTGTGTATGGACTCCCTTCCCTCTATACAATATCCAGGAGCCCAAACATGGTACATGAGTTGGAATGATTGGAGAAGTGGGACTCTGCAAAGCTATTAACCTGAATCAAAGCTAATAGACCAACTGTCGAAGTGTTTGTCAGGGTGCGTATGTGAAACAACTATATTTTGCTAATTTAGATAGGTTTCTCATTTTCCAATGTTATCTCTTGCCAGGCTGGGAGCCTTTTGCCGAGCCTTGGACTTCTTTCCTGAGCTGGCAGCAGCAGGCAGCCAGCCGTCTACATCCGCCACGCCTTAAATTGGATCTGCAGGCAAAACAACGACTTGACATCAATATCACATCTGTCCTGATGGGTATGGAACTCCTGACAATACTGGGCTAGGAAGGTCTTTCTGCAGGCATTTAATTAAGCTGCACATATTTATTGGTCTTATTTTAAGGATCATGTATATTTTTCAGGATGCGGTCCTTGGTAAGTGCTGAAAATAACAGGAGACATGTTTTCAGCCGTAACTTAGTAGTTTGTTTGTTGTTCCTGCCTACCCAAAACAGAGCAAGAATCTCTGCTCCATATCAACATAAAATAAAGATATACCAAAAGGATAAGATAAATTGACCAGGTACACTGAAGTGGGTGATGAGTGTGCACATAGAAGATTGCTTGTTAAATTGAGTTCCCTACATTTATGGTGCACGGTAGCACCATGAATGCCATTGGTAGGCAATGTAATATGGTAAATTGGCTTTATTTTGATGACAGCAAAGGCACAGTGGAAATAGAGCGTGTGCGCTAGTGTATTTGCATCTTGGGAAAACAAAATAGAAGACTTTAGATGAGCAATGCCATGTAATAGTGAGCAAAAGGAGTGACAGAGGGTTTCAGCAGTCAGACAGAGCAGGCAACATTGTTAGAATGTATTCAGTTTGGGATAAATTATATAGCTAATTTTGAGAGAAAATAGCTGAAGTGGCAAAGAAGTTGTTAACGATGTGTAAGTAGCAATGTCCGGATTTCTGTTCATGCCACTGTGGTAGCTTGTATTTTTGTGCATATAACGTGAAATATGTTTCTGTACATCACTATCTTATGTTCATGTGGCATTTTGTACCCTTGCTGTTTTTCTGTTTACTTGGAAGTGTCTTGGAGAACAAGGAGTTTTGATGAAAAGTCTCTCTACAGATGTTAATTGACTTGCTGTTTCCAACGTTTTCTATTTCTTTATCAGGTTTCCAGCACCTATAATGTTATATTTTTTCTTTGCAACTATTTATCTGTTCTTAGAGGAAGCTATTTGCTCCATTCCTTGAATCGACCTTCCTTGTGGCCCTACTAGGAAGAGAGAACCCCAGTTGAAATAAACTAACTTGATACAGATTGAACGTCAGATCTGCATCCTCTGATATGTAGCGTTTAATTTTACAAAGCATAAAAATAGGATACGATAAAAGAAGTTAGGATGTAATTAAATCATGATGTAATTAAATCTGAGTATAAATTTCAATCCCTTTCCTCCCTTGTTACTGTTTTTCTGTGTGTCGTATTACAGAGCAGTATAAAAGGACAAAAGCATCCTGGATTGCTGATTACTGCAAGAAGGAAGAAAGAGAGTGTCCAAGAACATTTCAGTGGAGGACAGGGATGTACCTCGATCCATTAATGCTCGGACAGAGTAAGTACATGCAGAGGATAGGAAGTTTAATTCCATGGTTAGTTGTTGAAAAAGAAAACCATTAAAGCTGAAATTGTCAAACTTGTCTAAGTTGTCTGCTCCAAATTGACTGAAAGGCCACCTTTGTGTGATCTGTAGTCTTGACTGTGTTGTATTCTCCTATAGGCTAGGGAATTTTAATGCAAAATGTCATAAGGATCTAAATCATGGAGCAGAGTTTGCAAGATGGAAGCATGGGTCAGAGAATTAGCCAACATGTGTACCCCTGTCTACAACTTGTGCTGTCATCATTCCAGGACCATCTAAAGAATTATAACCAGAATCATAAAACAAGGCAGGACAACCGAAGGAAGGATGTTTCAGATGACTGGGGAGTCCAGAACTGGGATCACGGTCTAAGGATGGTGGGCCTGTGGATTGCTCTGCCAAAGAAAGTAGTTGAGACCAAAACATTGAATGTTTTCGAGGAGGTTAGATATTATTCTTAGGGCTAAAGGGATAACAGGGAATGGAAAGAAAGTGGGAACAGTTCTGAGTTGGATGATCAACAATGACCATATTGAATGGAGGTGCAGAATAAAGGGTCGAATGGCCTATTCCTCTTTTCGATGTTTCAATGTTTTTAGAATTCTAAATACCTTTAAATATGTTAGTAATATGCACTGCAAAATATGGAAGCATATGTAAATATTGATATAAATATTAATAACAGAAAATGTGATCAAATAAACAATATTTAGGATGAAATCCTAGATATATTTTTATGGGATGTAGTTCTGCCATGAGAAATGGAAGTAATTACAATTGCAGCCTTTCACCACCTGTTTGCTGTTTATAAATTCCAAGGTTTGTTGACTAAGCATTTTAAAAAAAAATCAATAGACGATCCACAGTGGTAAACTTTTCTATTTTATTATTTTGCTACTTGGTTAACTAAACCTTGAGAAACAAATATATTACAAATAAGGCTGAAGGATGCCATGCAGTCTCATTACCAGAGACTTGTTGGAGAACAAAGAAGTAGCTGTTTCTACCCTGCCTCATGGAAAAAAAACGTCTCTCACTTTATTCTGTAAGTCCAGAATAATATCAACTTTGTAGTTTATCACTAACAGTACCTGCTGACTTTTTCGTTTTGTTTCATATCACTTAAAGAAATTTGACTGTAAGTTGAAAAAATGCACTGTTGGTCAGTTGGTGAATATATGAAGTTAGTGATGCAGTGTAAAATATCTAACAGCAATTTTGGAACAGGGTTTCTTCAAAGTGATTCTCTTTTTAAAGAAGCAATATCTGTCTTAACCTTATTTTCTTTACATTTTAATAACTTGTATATTGCCAACCTGCATAGTGGAATCTCAAGTTCTCAGAATGGCCATCGGGCTGCTTTGAAGTAATGATGCCCAATCTGGGAGCTATAAGGAGGTCAGACCCTATAACTCTCATCAGCATATTGACAAGCCAATGATAACATTTACTACTTTTAGGGACTAGGATAAGACTTATTTCCTTGCATAGAAAGGAAAGTGTATTATACTCAAGATTTCCCTTTTTAATTACAACTTAAGTGGTTTTGAACTTTTCAGTTTCAGTTCAATATTGAAGTTAAATGAAAATCAAATTGTTAATATGGAGCGGATGAACATTTAATATGGTTTGTTATATAGCTAAGACTTCTGTAAATTCTGTATTAACAACAATTTGGCTAATGTTTTGATAACTACTGCATTTGTTCAACTACTTGTAAAACTATTGAAACTGCTGTTTACGTCAAACTGTTGTTTAATGTAAATTTTGAAATTATCTTCATCCATCCTTCACTTCTTTTTATTTCATTAACTGCACTCTTACACAATTTGTTTGGCAAATCAACCTTAAACAGCATTGATTTTAACTTTGCTTTGTCCTAGATGTTCATTCACATTAATGATGTTGCTCAGTCAATTTAAACCAGACCTTGTAGCTTTAGTTGCTGTATGTTATATTAATATACTGCAGAGCGAATTTCCTGTAGCTATGTCTGTAACATAATCAGTCAACTATTAATCTCTTGATCCTTGGCTTTACATATCTGTAGAGGCTGACAGCAGGTTCAATTTTTAAAAAAAGCTGTTCATTTTTCAAAAAATGTTTGTTAGGTGTCACTGACCAGGCAGCATTTAGTGATTATTTGTACTGAACTTGAAGTCATTAAGGGTCAACCATGTAATGGGGGACGAGAGTCAAGGGCAGGCCTGACAGGATGAATGAAATTTCAAAAAAGTATTTGGTCATATCTGGATTTTAACACCCTGGGGTTGGAGTGAGGTTTCATATTAAAATTTTGAAAGTGTGAAACAATACCTCAACCCATCCATTTCTAGTTTAAATGAAGGCAAGACGAGGAACAGCTTGACTATTGTAATGAGGCTATTAGCCTCTGATGTAAAATAAAACTAAAAGAACTGCAGATGCTGTAAATCAGGAACAAAAACAGAAGTTGCTGGAAAAGCTCAGCAGGTCTGGCAGCATCAGTGAAGAAAATATCAGAGTTAAAGTTTCGAGTCTGGTGACCCTTCCTGAGGGTCTTCTGTTTTAGCCTCCTAATGTAACCTGCTTTACAGGTTCATCCCTTAAATTGTGTGCCATGACACTGCTCCTTATTAACAGGAATCCAAACCAACTGGCCGTGTAAACTGCTCCAGGGTTCTCCCTTCTCGACTGTACATACCTGATTGATTTATGACATTCCTATAGGTCAGTTCGATAAATGGAGCATCAGAGGCTTCTCCCAGTGCTTTCACCACACTTCCTTTCTTAGCCAATATCACCAAGAAAGGGCTGACTAGACTTTCACATTATTGCTACATATCAAATGACTCTTACATTTGCTCAGACATCAAGAGTTGTTGGACTTCCAAGCAATTCATTCTGTGTGAAGTTCTTTCAGACACCTTCTCAGAGAGGTGAAAAGGAAATGTAGAAGTGCAAGTTCTTCTTGCTTTCTTGTTATTGGGCGTCTGCTTACCGGCAATAGCTGATCTGTGTACGTGGCACTGGTATGAAGGCTTATCCTTTATGGTTGCTGTGGTCTGATGAAAGATGCCAGGCTTGTAAGGTAGGGAAGCAACCTTTTTCTAAGAGTTAAGATCATTCTGTTCTGTAAGACACTGCATTATTGGAACTTGAAAAGTAAACATACTTATGGAAAATGCAACTTCTGGGGGTTTAGAAGAATAGATGCAACGCTTAAATTGTCTCTAATAATTATGATTTTTAGTTGTAATTTCTTTCAGTCCTATTTGCATTCCAGAGTTAAGCTTCTATCGAAGTAATCAACCAAGAGAAGGTTTGTAAACATACACTATATGTGAGCAATTAGATGTAGTTCCTCTGGATGACTCTTTGAAGCTTTACAAAACAAATAGGTGTCAGTGGAGACTGGGAATATAATTTATAGTTCTAACGATATACCTTTTTTTAAAATCCACTCATGGGATGTTGGCATCGCTGGTTGGCCAGCATTTATTGCCTGCCCCTAGTTGCTCTTGAGAAGGTGGTGTTGAGCTGCCTCCTTGAATTGCTGCAGTCCATGTGATGTAGGGAGATTCACAATGCCTTTAAGGAGGAAATTCCAGGATTTTGATTCCGTGCCAGAAGTCATTCTGTTGTCATAGTTTTTGACTGAATTTTTATTTTCTTTCAAATTCAGTATTGAGAATAAATAGTTCTATGACTTCCATGGCCCAAACCATGGCCTGCTTTACTTAATGTCTGAGGTGTTGTTGCCTAGGCATGCACAGAAACACGTGTATGTCACTCGTTAGAGATAACACGTGCTTCAATCTTATCCATCTCCTGGAAGAAACACCATGTTATGTTACCTTGTACAACAATCTAGAAATCTAGCTTATTAAAATTATAAACTAAGTGGTAAACAATCAGCATAACAAAGCACTTGATTGCAGAAGATTACTTAGATCACTGAATCTGTCAGGAAACAAATATTTCCAAACTCCTGGGGATATCTATAGTCATGCAGTTATTTTAGTTTTGGCATCGCCAGTGGAAGGTATTTACATTAATTAGTTTGTTTGAAAGTTTCTATCTCAATCTTTCTCAAAGAGCTGCCTATGGGGCAAGGCACAATACAAAATTTGATGCAAGCTATAACAAGATTTATCTGCAGTCCTATTTAAATTTCAAAGTGAAAAAAACTAATTAAAAAAATGACATCAAATAAAAGTCTCATTTGGTGCATCTTCTCAAATGTTATTAATGTCACCAGGGTAGAAAAAGACTGCATAAATCACTTGAATTACAAAGTTGTTAGCTATCATTGAGAGTAGTATAGATTCAGCAATGCACAAAATCCATAATGTGTCAAGTCAGGAGTAAGCAAATTGAAATCACTATTAAAATATCATTAATAGATATGACAATACTAAGTTCAGATTTCAATTATCACATCTCCCTGAATGTTACATTCATCTTCATCTTTTATTTCTTTCCTTCATTTAAGTCTGATCCACATTATTTTCTGTTTACTATGTTGCCTGGATGAGTTAAACTTTTTCATTCTAACTAGACTTCTTTTTCTCTGTCAGGCAACCCTCTTGCCTATCTTAGAACTAGAAGCACTGCCAGTCTGACAAACCTAGAGCGGCAGATATTTGCCAGAGGTACTGTACCAGGGAATGGGAAGAAGTGAAGAAAATATCCAGTCTTTTATCAGATAAGTTGTAGTGTGATGTACCAACGAGAACAAATCAGGTGATACCTTTTAATATTTTATTATGCGTAGTTTCAGTCTAAATACTGATGAGACTGCAGCATAGAATTCCCCTTTGTTTTTCTGATCTCTGTTTATAGCATTTTTTACTTCTGCTCTCGGCATCTATTTACTATCTTACTTCACTGGTCAGTTTGTTTTATTGCTTCATTTAGCAGTGAAGAGGAGATTGTACCAGCTGAAGACTGTTCCTACTGCCGCTCTGCAACTACACTTTTTACTTTAATACCTTGTTTTGTATCCAGTCTTAACTGGTGAATCGAAGAGAACCATCAAAACTGGGGTTTGCAAATTGTGCCCAATTAAGGGGATTAATTCTACATCTCTGCCACCCTAGCCACCTTGGCCAGTTAGAATGGTGTGTGGGAAAGGTAATAGTTTCAAACTTCTACTTCCTGATCCCAAATCAGGCCACTGAACAAGGCTCCAACAAAAAACATTTGTGGGCCTGTTACATTCAAATATCACAGGACTGTATATATGATGTGAACAGCGATTCGAGGCTGGAGCACCAACTGGGTATGTCAAATGTTAAAAATCTGATCATTTTAGAACTCTGTGTGCCTGTGAAGGATCAGGATGGCTCTGCTTATGCCATCTTTTGGTGTCTTTCCAGCCACAGCATCCTGCACCAATCTTGTCCTTTTGGCTCCACCGCATCCAGAAATTACAATATCTTGCATAGCTCTTTTTCTACTGACTTTAGGGGACCATTGTCATAGGTTCCCAGCTGTAGCTGCCTGCTGATAAATTTCAACTCCTACTTGCTAATCAGACAGTCGGCCAGTGCAAGTAACTCAGCAGAGTCATTTGAATGAGGCCCTGCATGTCCCTGACTTGCTGCGTTCACCACCTGCTATTGAGACCAATGCATTTACTTTCCTACCTAAATATCTATGTCAACTGAAGCACTACTCTAATTGGCAGGCAGTCTCACCGTTGTTTTGTATTGTTTGTAATTTCCAGACATTGCCATAGTTCTGATAACCCCAAAAATTGACATTAAATCCCAGCACTATATTGTGAAAGTATGTGAGAAAGATAAGTTAAGCATACTGAAGCAGATATTTGATTAAATTACTGTGGCATACTCGTCACAAATTTGGCAGTCGGGTAGGCAGTTTTCTCATTTAATTATTACAATAGTATCACCAAGTCTTTGATGTACAGTGACCCTGGGAGACAGTTAAATGATTTTGTAATAACTGGTACGTGATCTTATGCGTGATACTTTGAATTGCAGTGAATGTGATAATGATTTGATATAGAAAAAATTTGGATTATTAGTTTTGCTAATTAATTTTTATTTATTACAGCAATTTTCCAGTAATTTGATTGAGTGGAAAGTTTTGAAAGTCACCTCATTTCTCGTGAGCCTGTTGCATGCTATATGTACCAAACTAAATCTTTATCACCTATTTTAAAAATTCTGGAGGTTATTAAAAATCAGTTGCTATAAGCGTCAGACCAAGTCTTGTGTGATGCTGCTTAGTATTGCAAGATAGGTTTGAAATTGTAGTAATTACTGAAATAAGATTGTTAACATTTCAAATCCAGTGACACTTCATCAGAGCTGTAAAAAATGCGTATGTTCAGTTTCCCTCCTTTTGTTTCTGAACATCTGCATATTAAGATTCTACAATGAGCACCCAGATTGTAATTTGAGAAGCATTACAGTTAAGAATAGCAAGTTCATGTATCTGTTTGAAAAATAGATCTGCAACTCTCAGTGCAAGCACACTTGCAATTCATCTCAGACAGAAGCTTTGCATTTAAGCAGCTTTAATTTCTGTCGAGAAGGCCAGGATTGTTGGACAGATACTTATTTTAAGAACATTTTTTATCGGTCTGTAAAATAAACATTTTGCTTCTCTGTTCACTGTTCTTGTATGATATTACTCTTTCTCTTTTTATGTTGTGCTTCTTCAGGACCAAACCATTTTTTAGGTAATTATTCAATTATACTGATCAAAAGAGTGAACTCTGTTAGTCAATTTTCACATTAATGATCCTGGTGCAGAGCCTCACTGGACAGGTCAATCGGGTCTGGAGGTCAGCACACACAAATTGCAGCCCTTCTAAAATTCTGGCTATTAAAATTGAAAGCCAGAAAGTTGGAAAGGCCACAAATCCAGTACGTTTGTCTCAACATCTCCTATCAGGCGAGATTCTAAATCATGTTTTGAGCGTCCTAAATCATGAGATTTACATCTGTGCCCAGTGTTAAGCTGAAGTAATAGATTATGTTCTGATACAGTAAATGTACAATATAGCCTTCCATTTCTTTTTTCTATTGTTATAAAAATCTAAATTATGAATCTTTACAAGTTGAAGAAATCAGATAATATTTTTGACAAAGGCTTCCTGATTGTCAGTGTTAGTAGTTAATAATGTCACCTCTCATTACTTGATATTTTTGGCTGTAATAGATGACTGTCTACTAACTATTATGTGTCAGCAATAGTGCCCATGCCAGTGGTACTGAATCTGTTGTGGGAGCTGAGTCTTAGTATTAAGATATCTGGAAAGGAATTTTCAGGAGTCCACATTTGTAAGTTAATGACAGCAAGCTTAACAACATACTGTAATAGAAACTGAACTGCGTTCGCTCTGCATTTATATACAGCAACACAACATGTGTGATTTGTATCAAGCCCATTTGTGAAACATTATGCATGTCTTTCGGGTGGAGGAATTATGCATTAGTATCAGACTTCTTTCACTGATCACTGAGTACTGGATCTGGGGAACCAGTGCTTATTTGTACTATTAGAAGCTTTCAGAATAACTTGTATTTTACAAAATTTGTTTTACTTCTACTGATAATACAGCTGTTTAAATATGCCTTGACTCTGACATTGTTTTGGATGTTAACAGCCCTGAGTCTTTGCATTGATTCTTAGATCATCTCTATTTCCCACACTACTGTCTTCACTTTTCTGTGACAGACCCTTGTGACTTGATCTCAACATCTTTTGAAGTAATATCTTGCTCTTTATAGTTTATTTTCTATAACCAAGTTGCACTAAATCAGAACCGATACTGATGTTTGATCAAAAAGGATGTTAGTTGCAATTTGGAGCCCACTCTATTAGCTAGGGCAAAGTATTGTCGCAAAGCAGCTGTTAAACTGAGAAATTTGTGTAAAGGACTAAAACTCAATGTGTAAATTGCCACTTAATTTGCAAACTGTTGGAAAAAATATGTGACAAATCAGGAAGCCAGTTACTACATTTAATTTTTAAAGCCTAGATCAGAAGAGGAAGGGAAGATTGAAGGAGTTTCACAGCACTGAGTGAGAGAGCAATATGTGTATAATATTGTACGTTGGTTCTTACATTCCACAGAGTGAGGAGAAATGATATGTGCTTGCGACTTGGGAGGAATAAGTGAGAAAAGTTGGGAAATGGATAAGCTAAGGGCCTGGATGCTGGAAATCTGGGGGGTAAAACCAGAAATGTTGGAAATACTTAACAAGTCTACCAATGTCTAAGGAGAGAAAAATAGCATTAATGTTTCAAGTCTGACCCTTTAAAGGTCAGAGACCTGAAATTTTAAATCTGTTTCTCTCTGTACTGGTGTTGCCAGAGCTGTCCGAGTATTTCAACATTTTCTGTCTTCACTTCTGAGATTGATTGATTGCTCTTCTCAAATGAGGGGCTTTCAGAAGCTGAACCAAGCATTTTTGAAAATTTATCAAAAATACAAGTTGCTTCCCAGAATGCACAAGTTTTCTGCAAGAGTCTTTTATCCTAATTGCTGGTCTATCTCCTGGAAGCAAGTTAATGTTAGACTAACCACATAGGCTTTGTGAGATCTCTATTTTTTGATGTAGTATAAATTATATTAACTCCATTTATACCCAAAAGGTGCGCAACTGTCCAAATGTCATTCATCTTAATTCTATTAAAAAAGGGTTTCACTATTTTAATTTTGAAGAAATTTTAAATTATAGCTCTGAAATCCCACTCAGCAGAGCTAGCACGTTTAAGACGATTGCAATGCTGCTTTAACCCATTAAATTAGATATTAGCCAATTAATTTCCAATAGGTTTGTAATATATTAAAAGTACCGTACAAAAAAGTTACCAAGTGTTTTCAGTATGTGCAAGATACAGCGTAACTTTTCAGTTTTTTGTTTAATCAGAAGTTCCAAATAGGAAATTTAAGAATCCAACCATTGGCCGTTGGCTTCCATTCTAACACATTTGTTTTTCTTGCAGCAGAAGGAAAGATACCAAAAAGACGGCAGCCATTTGTGCCATATGCCCTCAGGAACCACACGGGTTGCACCATGTGGTTTGCCACGCTCACGACTACTCCAACTAGGTATAAAATCTGTTTTGTATAACAATTCATGTACTCTTTTTCCTGTAATTATTAACGTGTAGATTTTCCATTATATATGTCTGATCTGGTTTTCAGTGTAAACAACAAGGTTAATAGTTTTAGTCTTGACATTTGTAAATCCAAGAATATGTTATTCTTTCAGGGATGGGGGCATCGCTGGCAAGTCCAGCATTTTGGCCTTACCTAATTACCCTGGAGAAGGTGATGATGAGCTGCCTTCTTGAAGAACTGCAATCTATGTTGTGTAGTTTTACCCATGACACTGAAAGGAAGGACCTTCCAGGATTTTGACCCATTGACAGTGAATGAACAGCAATATAGTTGCAAGTCAGGATGATGTGCAACTTAGAGAACTTGAAGGTGGAGGGTGTTCCCGTGAATCAGCTCCCTGTTTTTGTGGGTGGGAGTAGTTGTAGGTTTGGGAGGTATTATCTCATCTAAATGCCCCTCTGTAAGTTCTTTAATAATATTTTCTCACATTTTTCTTTTGATAGATGTTAATGCATCAATTACCTCACTAGCCACATCTTTTTAAACCCTAGGATGAGATTCCTCAGGATCTTGACACTTGTCAGACTGTGGATCCAATAATTTATTCAGTATTATTTCCTTGAGGATTGTAGTTTTCCTGAGTTCTTCCCTCCCTTCCATTTCCTTAACTTTTGACTACTTCTGGGATGTTACTTGTCCTGTACAGTGAAAACTGATGCAAAATACCTGTTCAGTCCATCCGACATTTCCTGATTTGGCATTCTCTCTTTCAAGAATACTTTCTTATAGGACTAATGCTCACTTTGTTAACTTGTTTTTCTTAAAAAGAAACCCTCATCTGCTTTTATATTTCTGGCCAGTTTTCTCTCTCATTCTAATTTTTTTTTCATCTGTATTAATTTTTCAACCATTCTTTGCTGTTTTTATGTTCTGTCCAATCTCTGAGCTGCTTCCTGATGTTGCACAATTACATACTACTTCTTTAAGTTTGATGCTATCTTTAACATTTCTACTTAAGGATGGATAGCAAGTTCATCCTTAAATATTTTTCTTACTTGCTGGACTGTCTAGCTATTATGTGGATTCTGAAATATCCCTTTAAACGTTTGCTACTGCAACTCTGAATACTTATCTCTTAATCTATTTTACCATTTCACTTTATTAAAGACTCAAATTTGTTGCATTGTATCCCAGAATATTTTCTGAAAGAAATCTATATGATTTTCCCTCAAAAGAATTAGTATCTACTACCATCTCTAGGTGATATTTTACCCTTGATGTCCCATTACCTGTTAGTTTTGATGTAAAGGCTGCAAATAAATATTCAAGCCTCATAAATGAAGTAGCAGCAGAAAAGGCTAATGCTTCATTATCATAGAATCTCTACAGTGTGGAAGCAGGCCATTCGGCCCATTGAGTCCACACTGACCCTCCAAAGAGCGTTCCACCCAGACCCACTATCTACCCTATCCCTGCATTTCCCATTCTAGACACTGTGGGGAAATTTAGCATAGCCAATCCACCTAACCTGCATATCTTTGGACTACGGGAGGAAGCTGGAGCACCCGGAAGAAATGCACGCAAACACAGGGAGAACGTGCAAACTCCACACACAGTCGCCTGAGGCTTGAATTGAACCAGGGTCCCTGACACTGTGAGGCAGCAGTGCTAATCACTGAGCCACAGTGTTGCCCCAATCGTATTGTTATGTTTGACATATTGACTTCAGATCTAACCGAGCCACATTCACTAAATTATTCAGCAAGCAGATGGTGCCCTGATTTCGTCCCAAATAAAGTTCTTTCAGTTTTTATGGCTGCAGAATTTGAAGTTCTCAGAAGCCAAGAAACACATTACCATTTGATTGAACTGACGGAGCGTGCAGGTTGGCTGTGAGTGATAGTGTTATAATACACCTTCAGTGATATATGCGTTGCGGCTGTTTTCCATTGTAGAGTGGCACTTTCTCACAGTGAGAGTCCAGGTTTTGTACATGAAGAATCTGTTGCAGAACCTGATGACACGCACAATATTAGCCAATGGAGCGAGGTACTCCCAGGAGAAGAAGTGCCTTTTGAATTTGAAGCCAGGGAAAAGCTAAGACACAGGTGAGTGAAAAAAGATAACCTAGTACTGACTCTACAGACTTTTTATATCTCACTATTAATAAGTAATCACATTAATGTATATTTAGTCATGGTGGCATTTTTATGTAAAATCTTTGTGTTACAACTTGCTTGTGTAAGACACAGTAGCTACACATTCTTCTTTTTGTACTGACAGGCACACTCATGAGTTGAAGATTCACCAGCTTTTGGTCCGGGTGAATGGTTGGGAGCAAGTGAGTCCAGTGTCTGTGGACAAAGTTGGCATCTTCTTCCGATGTGCAGCACCTGATCGAAATAACCAGTCCTCCATGGTGTGTATCATGTACTGTTAGCATGTCATTTGTCAAGACGTATATAATTTTGAGACTCTATACTTTTGAGCAAGGGCTTGATTATCTCAAACTTTGAAGCAGCAGCAGCTTCAGAAAACAGTTTTACAAACAATCGTTTGCTTTTAAATTTGAGAGAGGCATATACCAAATGACGTATGTAAAATATCAAGACACCTGAAATGCTGCAGTTGTTGAATATGCGGGTTTAGGGGGTGCTGAGACACAGTGACAGGGAAGGTCCTTGGGTTAGCGAGGAGGATATATTAACTAACTAGATACTACGCAAGTTATAAGACTGAACTCCTAAAGGTACAGTTAACATTGTTCTCTCTTGCTGTGTATATTGAGTAATGGCACTTTTGGATTGAGCTGTGGTGCTCAATTAGTGTCTCCTTTCCCCTCATTGTGATATCCCCTGAAGATATGGACCAAAGTAAATCCTAGGAAATCTTTCGTCATAACTTGTACTACACTTAACTGAATGAGATCAGCTGCCCATTGACCTCTGAGGAAGTGGAGCTTTTAATTTTGCAGATTTTAATTTTGATCCTGCCCATTTCCTGCTAAAAAGATTATAACTGCCCTCACAATTTTGGTAACAAAGTTAAGTGTGTGCTACAATTTACATAAACATCAAATGGGCAAGATTTTATTGTTACAGCCATTGATGAAAAAACAGCTATTAGTTGCATCTGTAACGCAAATCTGTCTTCTCTCTACTGCAGGTTGGGAGTCCCATTAGCAAGACCAATATAATACATCCACATGTCTATGTAAGCATTGGTTCTGTAACTGTACATCCATTATCAAATTACACGCTACCTTTAAAGTCAGCTGTTTCGCATTATTTAATGATTCAACTTTGAATGCTAACTTCCCACTTTATTGTGCTATTTTGTGAGATGTTTTAAATTATTGGGTTTTTTAATATAAAAACAACTCTGTTATCAACTATGGAATGTATATGACTTTAATGATCTGGTTTATGATTTATGTTCTGACAATCATATTTAATTATAATGCCCATTCATCTATTGATTTTATCTCCCAGTTTTACCCTGCTTTATTTGCATTAGAAGTTTGTGTGTTCAAGCCCCAGTAATTGAAATTTAAGTAAACCTGAGATTTGAGTGCATTTATGAAGGGCTATATTGTGAGAGGTGACAGTTATGGATGAAGCATTACATTTAAACTTCTTTCTACTTTGTTTTGTGCAAGTTTTTGTTGCACCAACCAATGAAAAGCAGGAAATTGTTTTTTTTTCCTGGCTCATAATCCCTTCTCAACCAACATCACCAAAATCAACTTATCTGGGCACTGATCACGTTTTCCACTTCAGAGATTTGGCTGTGATTAAGTTGGCTGCTGTATTTGTCAGTGTTAAGACCAATTCACTCATTTGTATCCTGTTAATATGATTCTAACTGCAGCTTCTTCCTTGCATGCATCTGGTTATGACATGAGTCTAACATTATCAAATTTAATAATCTCAGTACTTAGTTTCTGCCGGATATAAATATCTCCAAACTGTTAATGCAGGTTGCAAATCAGTATTTTAGCACAAAGTAGCAAATTACCATTGTGCTATAATATTAATTGAGTAATTCAGTGCTTAGTTTTCACCCAATAAAAAGTGAGTCATTTGGAATTCTGCCCTATATATCACCCAAAATTGATATAAATGAAGGTGCTAGTATGTTCAGGTCTGTTTCATGCTCTCTTGGGATTTGAGTTTATAGAGTTTCTTTAAATACACATTAGACTGAAATGCTAGTTGTGTTCTACATATGGGAAATATTATAGATCAGATCCTTTGTATTGTACTTGATAGACTGTAACATTTTATTGATAAAGCATTAACTAACATTGTTCAATCTCATCCTGTAGTTCTCAGCACTGCCTCCTGTACGGGTTGTGTTTTCTGTGACTCTGGAGGGAAGTGCAAGAAAAGTGATAACTGTCCGCTCGGCACTGATTGTGAAAAACAAATTGGAAGTACCTATGGAACTGAGACTGGATAGTCCATCTGCTCCAGACAGTAAGTTACTTATCAATGTAGCAATCTATTCCTTGACAGTAAGGCAATTCTACAAAGCAAGAATCATCTGACTTTGAGTCCATTCTATCTATTACAGTGTAGGCACATGAGCTATCCGCAACATACAGTAGAGACTGATATCATGTTTCAGATATTTTTATGCACTGCTTAAAAGCAACCAGCTTGTTTTTGTTATAAACTACTGTTTTGCACATCCTTTCATAAACTGCTATTATAAATTGGATAAATTATCTGCACCATTTAAATTGGGAATTTCTTTATAAATCCCATTGGTAGTGACAGTGAACACTTGCGACTTTACATTTTTGAAGAAGAAAGCTTTTTATTAATTGGTTATTAAGTATTTCAGTGACCTAGTACTAACAATAATTGTTTCATAGCCCTGGTTTATCGTAACTGAGTTTCTCATTCTCAATTCTGGGAGTCATCAGTTAACTCAGCTGGCTGGACATCTGGTCAAAATTCATCCGATTCAACCTGGAACGAATTCAGAGGCCCAGTCTGCATCTCTTTCTGAGAAGAGAATTCCAAACATTAACAAGCCTTTCAGGGAATAAAATACTCATTTCTGTTTTAAAAAGGGGAGACATCCTATTCAATATTGTACCTTAGGTTCAATCAAGAGGAAATATCCAACCCATCCAGACTCCTCAGATCTTTAACATTTCAATAAAATTACTTCTTGTTCTTCTAAATTCCAATGGGCATATGTCCAACCTGTTTAGCATTTCTTTATAAATGAAGCCCTTAATGCCAGGAATGAGTTGAGTGAACCTTTGCTGAATCCTTGTAAAATAATTGCATCTTTTTCAAACAAGGAGACCAAAACTGTAGACAGTATTTTGGATGTGGTCTCACCAATACCTTGTGTATCTGCTATAAAACATCCCTACTTTTATTTTCCATTCTGCTTGCCAGAAATGATAACACTCTGATTTGTTTTCCTAATCACATGCTGTGCACACAAAAGTAACTTCTGTGATTTAGGTACCAGAACGCCCAGAGTCATGTGTAGCATCATGTACTGCTCTCATCATTTAAGTGTACAGCTTTCCTGTTTTTGCTGCCAAAATGAACAAGTTCACATTTGCACATGTTATATTCCATTTGCCAAATTTTTGGCATCTCTTAATCTGTCTGCATTCCTTTGCAGACTTTCCATCTTATCTTGACAATCTACTTTCCTACCAATTTTGGTGTAATTGGCAAGTGTAGCTACCAGGCATTCAGTCCACTTATCATTGATATTGATTGTAAATAGTTGAGGACCTACAACTAATTCCTGTGTGATTCCACTAGTGACAGATTTCCAACCTGGAGGAAGAATCATTTAACGGATTCCTGTGCTTCCTGTTAGCTAACTAATGCTTTATCCATGCTAGCATGTTACTTTCTTCACCATGTGCAGTAATCTGGTGCAGCAATCTTTGATAGGGCACCTTATCCAATGCCTTTTTGAAATCCAAGTACACTACCTCTACTGGTTCCACTTTATATTCGATGCATGTTATTTAGTCAGAAAACTGCAATAGATTAGTTAAACATGATTTCTCTTTCACAAAGCCATGTTAGCTGTGCTAGCAAATTGCGATTTTCTGTGTATCCTACTATAAGCTCCATAATAATAAATTCTGGCACCTTCACCTGTGGTAGATGTTAGGTTAACTAGCCTCGACTTCCCTGCTTTCTGCCTCTTTTCTTGAATATATTTGTTACATTTGCTGCTTTCGGATCTTTCTGAAAGATTATGACAAATGCTTCTACTATCAGTGTCGTCACTTTCTTAAATTTCCTTGAATTCAAGCCATCTGGTCTTTAGAACTTGTCACCTTTTAGGTTCATTAACCATCCAAGTATCTTTTCCCTAGTGGTGACGATTCAGGTTCATCCCTTACTCTCATCTTCAATAAAGCTAAGAATATTATGTTATGTGATCAGATCAGTCAGTAGTTCTTGGGAATTTTCAAGCCTTGCATAATATGTCTAGCTCTGATCGCCAAAACACAAGCTTAACATTTAGGCTCCACACGGATTGATTAATAGAGCCAAAAGATTGATTGCTCAAATCAAGAGCTTGAAATTTGATCCAAGACTGGAGACACCCAAAGTCTTCCTGTCTGGAAATGTGGTGTCTGAGATACTTATGCAACTAGATACAGAGAGATGAGAATGGGGGAAAAGAATACACGTTCATACTAATTATGTATGAGGGTTGTAAAAGCAAATGTATTCAAACTGCTAAAAGTCAAATTTAGGATTAGTGTTCAGATATTTCTCTTTGCACACAGAAATCAGCATATGGAGTAAACTCCAAAATGGAGTAGTTGAATAAAGAAAGTTTCTGGAATGAATATAAGAAACATTTGGATGATGCAGTGGTGGGAGGTGTGACTTTAGAATATAATAAATGCATGAATTCAGAGCAATTGAATGGACTTCCTTATTCATGACCGAATGTGGGAAGAACAGAAAAATGTGATGTCTTTCTCTTCAGCCCCTTGTCTCAGCTTGCATGTCCTCAGAGCCATCATTAGTGATGCGCTCGGGCTTAAGACTGGTATTTGGCACTCTTACTTTCTCAGACAAAGCTTTCAAAGTTTTTTTTTTATGATCTAATGTTTACGTAAATTTAATTCTGATAATTTCAGAACCTGTGGTGCTACCAGCAGTGTTACCAAGTGACTCATTAGCAATTCCCCTCCACCTAACATCATGGCGTCTCCAAGCAAGACCGAAGGGTCTTGGTCTGTTCTTCTGTAAAACACCTATCCATTGGACCAGTGTGGCAAAAGTAGGAGAGGTGAACAGCAGCAAGCGTGAATGTCACTCATCAGACTGTGATGACAACTGCTCCTACAGGTACACAACCTTTTCTGATGTTCCTCTTTCTGTAAATTCCCAAGACATTGCAGGAGAGGGTTTATAAGCAGCAATCTCCTGAAAACGTTTCTGATCAACCTACATGAAGCAATACTTAGTCACTGTGTAGGAAAATTCCAGTTTTGAGGAAAGGCTTTGTTTGAAATATTTGACCCTCTGATCTTGCCAAAGAAGCTAATCTTGTGTTTCTAGTCATACAGTTTTTAAATTATTAAAATTTAAATTGTTGGAGAATAAAAGAGCATACAGTTGTCATAGAGGGTGCACTTCTAATCTCTTTACCAAGAGTTTTCATTTCACATAGGAACTTTTCTTGTATATCATTCTTGAGGAAAGCACAGTCAGAAGGAGGCAGGGTGGTACAGAAAAATGCAATCACTGCTCAACTACTTTCAAAGCTGAGTTTAGATCCAAACAGGGTGATAAGTCAAAATAGTCAGGCTCTGTGCTGTTTCAAGTGAAAATAAATTTTGCTGTTCTCAGTTCAGTTCAAAGTTTGGGCAAAATCCTCATGAGTCATACCCTTGTATTGAATTGTCATTGAACATTTACCAAAATAGGATGGAGAATACCAAATGAAACAGAAAGGAACAATGAAAGTGGAGTAAAATCACATTATTAGGGTTGAGTAGAGGAAACTTTGCTTTAAATGTGATCTGGTCAATACCTGACCTGAATTCTTGCCGAGGCAATGTAGAGAAAGCTTTAATCTGCAGCCAACTCTTGCTTAGAATTTTCTCCTGGAAATGTTTCAATTATTTTAAAAGATTATACTTTCTGCACAAATATTGGAGGAAGATTGGTGTTGTGAGAGCTCAGCAAAGGGCCTTTTTATTGCCTATATAATCTTAAAATGGTAGATTATTTGAAGAAGCAATTGATATCTGTGAATTTTTATCATATTTTTGGAAAAGGTAATCACGTTCATCAAATGAAAGGAAAACATAGAATCATAAAATAAGTTTGATTGAAGGCAATCCTTCAAATCTGTTTGATCTCATTCTTACAGAAAGCCAAACTTACAGATTTCACATTATAGGAACCAGCTGTTTCTTAACTGAATAATGTCCAGGTTTCCTCCACTTTTCCTGGCAATGCATTCCAGATGTTTAGCACTTTTTGTGTAAAGAAATATTCCCTGATGTCTGTCCTAATTTTACCTTTCACAAGCATGAACCAGTGCCATTCTGTCCTGTTTCTTTGATGTATCAGACATTGTTTCAGATTTGCCTTACCTGTTACTTATTAAACTGCTGTAAAATTCCTTGAACCTTGTCTTCTTGAAACTAAAGAGCACTGACTTATTACATCAGTCCTAAAAGTTTGAGCATGCAACACCAGCGATTAGTTTTCTTGGACTTGTCTTCACTGCCTCAAGGCCTGGATGGCTCCCTTGAGTCATGGCTACCAGAACTGAATGCAGCAGTGTTGAATATGACCTGACCAAAACACTGAAAAACCTCAGCCCAGCTTCAGATTTCCACACAACTACTGGGGGTTTCAACTCAATCTTGGGGAACTTTGAAATCAAATCTTTTTATGCTTGCGGAAAGCTGGAAATGTTGCAGTCGTCTTCAATTTAGGAGAAAATTAGTAGAAAACTAAGTCATGAAATCTTCTGGGGAAGAAGAGATAAAAGCTAACTTTTTCCATATCATTTAATCCTTTTCTTTGATGAGTAGAAAAAAAGTAGCACCAAATGTCACCAAAGCTTATCATGCATACTTAAGTCATTAGGGAACAAATATTCCCCTCTCACTAACTTTATTAACAGTATGGCAATTTTTAACAGACATTTTAAGAGTTAAATGCGTCTACTACCTCGAGTTTAAAATTCTCATTCTTATGTTTGTACATGTCTTTCACCCTGCTTCACTGGCTTTAGCTGTCTTATACTTTCTCCCGCTTCTCCCTTTGTTCCAATTTTGATAGCAGTGTCTTCAGCCTCATATTTTGCAATACTGTTCCTAAAGTCCTCTCCCTGGAACTGACTCTCCTCCTTAAGCCCCTTAAATCCACTTCTTATAGCATCTATCATTACCTGATCACTTCTGTGACACTCATTCTATTTCTTTTAAGTATCTTGCATAAAGGCAGAGTGTTTACTAAGAATGCAGTATGTAGCCGGAGTTTCATGATAGGTTGAAATTTCTTGTTATTACTTCTAGGTATTGTGTGGCAGTTAAGAAGGAGAACTATCCTGACTACCTGCCCTTAAATTTGATGTCTGGCAATGCTATGCAGGTTTACCGGCAACCAGGCCACACCATCTACTTGCTACCCACCCTAGTTCTGACCAATCTACTACCCTGTGAGCTTTCCTACTATGTGAAAGGTACCTCCATCCGTGGGCCATTGAAACAGGGGAAAGATGCTGTGCTCCACACAGCTGATACATCTCAGAACATCGAACTTGGTAAGATGTCAGAATTTTTTTGTGTCTTCAGTTTTTTCATATTGTTTTGCCTGTCATTACTGTTGAGAAAGTGGTAGTGACCCACTTACTTGAACCATTTCAGTCCATGTGCTGTTGGTACACCCACACCCAGTGGTTTTGGAAGGAAATTCTCTCTAACGTTAATTTGCACAAATGTTATTGAGCAGTGAAAAGATTGAATAAAACAGAAGGGCTGGAAGTATAGATTTCATCTCTCATTTGGAGGAGAAACAGTCCATGTTTATAGGGAGAGACCCTAAATATGAAAAGCGGGTCTCCCATTTAAACTTTCTCCCGCAGATACAAGTGGATTTGCTGTGCGTTGAAAAAAGTATGACCCAACTAAGTTACAACATATGACTGACAACTGTAAAAAGGTTATTTCCAGTATATTGTCAATTGGATACAAAGTATGACCCAACTAAGTTACAACATATGACTGACAACTGTAAAAAGGTTATTTCCAGTATATTGTCAATTGGATACAATGTCAATGAAGTAGATGGGTATTTTTGATTTGGCACTAAAAACAAGTTACCACTTTGGCTCACCAAATAACTCTTATCTCTGGTTGGAAGGTTTTGTGTTTAAGCCCCATGGCAGACTTGAATGAATATTCTTGGTGTATGTTAAAGCTCAAATGACAGTATTCAGAGAAATGTGGAAGGTTTTTCTGATGTCCTGGCCATAATTTCACCTTAAAACAGTACCACTGAAATAAACAAATTAATTGGCCCTTCATATAATTGTTATTTGTGAGTTCTTATATACATCATGATTGTACCATTTGTCTGATTAAACTAGTGAGCATTTTGAAGTCATTCCTTGTGTGTTGAGTACCTTTCATCACAATAGGCACTAAATATTTGCAGTCTTTATTTTCACAAACATGATTTGTCTGGATGTGTAAGATAATTAAAACCAGACAGTTACCACAGATGGTCTCTCAGGAGGAGAGTGGTGGTGGTGTCGAGGAATTTCAATATACTTAATTACTTTTCAGAGGAAATTTAAGAGAGAAAGCCCCGTAGTCCAGTAGGACTGTGGCAACTTTACCTTTTACATGTTTTTTTAAAAAACACTCTTTTTGAAATATGTTTTAATTATAATTTATTTGTCAGGAATTACACTAGAAAACTTTCCTGTATGCAAGGAACTCCTAATTCCAGCAGGAACCACTAACTATCATGTTCGTATGCGCCTTTACGACACCAAAAAGCGCCTGCTGAATCTGAGCATTCGCATAGTATGCAGAGCAGAGGGTTCCCTGAAGATACTCATTTCTGCACCTTATTGGCTCCTGAACAAGACAGGTAAAACAAAAAAATCAAGTTCCAAAGTAAATATAGGTGCATGCCATAATGTTGCAGACTTGCAGGTGGTGAATTAAAATCTGTGGTCTAAAATGCTCTGCTTCATTCCAATCTTCTTCAGGGCTGCCACTAATTTTTCGACAGGACAATGCCAAGGCTGATGCAGCAGGACAGTTTGAGGAGCATGAGCTTGCACGAAGCCTCAGCCCCCTCTTGTTTAGCTTTGCAGACAAAGAGCAACCTAACATGTGAGTAAAGTGTACAGTAAAACACATCCCTGGCTAATCTGATTTACTGAGGGAATTGTTGTGAATTTAGACAATTTGTAATTATGAACAGGATCTTCCTGCTCTTAACCTTTACAAAGGTCTAATTTTAGCCATGAGATGCTGAGTTTGGAAATAAAGACTTTTTAAAAATAATTTCAGATCATAGCTGTGGTATTTATATCTGTGTGAAATGAATCCATGTCTTACTGATCTGTATGGGGCTGAGTAGATTTATCCTCCGGTCTCTCTAACCCTTGCAGGTGTACCATGAGAATTGGGAAGGGGATCCACCCAGATGCAGTTCCTGGTTGGTGTCAGGAATTCTCTCCAGATGGAGGCAGTGGTGTGCGAGCAGTGAAAGTGATTCAGCATGGCAACAGACCCGGACTCATTTATAGTATTGGTGAGTCTGAATAAAATACTTCACTTATCTAAAGGAACAATCTTTCAAGTTTTTCAAAGGTACAATGCTGATCATACTTAAACATAATGAAAGTATGATCAATGACACATTATCCACAGACTGCAGTGTAGCCGGTGCAGCATTTGTTGTTTTTGGTAATTTGTCTCCTAAAATTCTTTCGTCTTTGTATCTTAGGAATTGATATCCGGAAAGGTAGAGGGCGGTACAGAGATACCAACATAGTGACCTTTGCACCCCGATACCTGCTGGACAACAAATCCTCACATAAGCTAGCCTTTGCCCAACGAGAATTTGCCAGAGGCCAGGTAGGAATATGGTTCCAAATCATTTCTGCCAGTGTTCCCAAAATAAGTTGATGTTCTCATTTAAAAATTAAGTGTATTGCTGAATACAAAGAAAACCTTTATCTTCAGGGGTGATCAAATAAATATCAAACAAATACCAAATTCCCCTCTGGATAAGCTATCTATTAAAGTAGCGAAAAGGATTTGATGGTGCTTGAAACCTTTGTACAATAGCTTGATATGTAGTGTTTGCAGACTGTAATAGTGAGAACAAATTAAAGCATCATAAACATCTGAAAGAGACCTAGGGTAGTGATGTTTGAGCATTTAGTGTAATATGTTCAGCTTTTTCCATCAGTGTTGTACATTGTTAGTGGCTTTACTTAGTCATCAGTTGGCCCATCTGTGATATTAAGATCTGTTTTTGATTCCTTCTAAAACACTTAACTGATGTATTGATATTGTATGTTGGATACATTGTTCAGTTTTGCACTCTAGTTGCATTGATAAATATGCCTGTATTGGCATAAGCTAACTCACAAGGCAGATAATTCAACTCATCTTAATTCATCCATGAGGAAAGATGTTACAGTATTGCTATCCTGTCATTCAGCTGATTTTTAACTAATTATAAGGCTTTCATCTCCAAAACCTTTCCTGGAAGTTTATTTCACTCATTGTGTTAGCAAGCAATTATTGACATCGTTCCTAAATCTGCCTTCTGAACTTGTCACCTCATTCTGCTGTTGCAATTTAGCTTGAAGCAGTATTCTACATTTGCCTCCTCTGTATGATTTTCTATCTTTTATATACATGTATAAATGCACCTTTTATTCTAACCATCTTCAAGGTTGAGAATCTGGGTTTCTCCAGTTGTTTCTCCTAACTCATTTTTGGTCTGCTAAAGATCAATATGTGGTTTTTCACGTGTGTCAGATATTCAATCTCATTCAATCACACTCCGACCTTTCAAGTCATGGTTTAGGCTCCTTTCTCAGATTCAGACACCTCTAGGCCCACACTTCAGTAAAGTACTGAGGAGGTGATTTGTTGTTGGAAGTGATGTGTTGGAGTTAACTGAGGTTCTGTTGGCAGCTGGAGGTAAAATATATGCCATGCATAGTATCGAGCAAAGCACAGAAATCACCCACCCCCACCCCCCCTCCAGTATCTTTAGCCAATGTTTGTTTCTAACACAAATGGCCAACTCGAGTTTAATTAGTCATTCATCTAATTTACTGTTTGTGGAGTCTTGCTGTTTACAAATTAGCTTCTCTGTCTATGAACCAGCTATAATTGCACTTTAGAAGTGTTTATTTGGATTTGAAGCATTCTAAAATACCCTCAAGGTAAGAAGTAATGCATTTATATAGTATCTTCAGGTAGCAAAAGTTACTCAAATGCTTCACAGGCACAATAATGAAACCTAAGACACAACCATGAAATGATCTAATAAAGGTAGTGTCCCAGGCTCTGAGCCAAGAGGCCTAAGTTCAAGTTCCACCTGCTCCATAGGTATGTCATAACTATCCACAGCGGTTGATTAGAAAATATCTATAATGAGCTGTTAGGCTGATGACCAAAAGACTAGCTGAAGAGTTTAATTTCAAAGGCCCTAATAAAGGATGCAAGAGGAAATTAGATGGCCATGTTTATATGGGGGCGGAGAGGAGAGGAGAGAATTATGGAGTTCAGGGCTCTCAGTGGTGTTGTGATTAAAATAAAGTATGCTGAAAAGACCAGAATTGAAAAACTTAGCGCTGGGGCAGATTATAGGGATGGGAATGGGTGACTTTTAAGAATGGATTTAAAAGCAAGGATGAAATTTTAAAATTGGGGCATGGCTTAACTGAGAGCCATTGTAGGTCTCCCAATTCAGAAGTAGTGGGTATGTGGGACTTGTTCTGAGGCAGAACATGGACAGCAGAATTTTGGATGCCCTCTAGTTTGTGGTCATTCAATTCAAAAGCCGAAGACAGGTGAAGAACAAGGTGGTACTGTATTAATCCAGGTTCCTTTCCTGCCTCCTATTCCCCCCTCTCTTTCTGAAACAATTCGAATGTTTGTTGACCAAAACTGTATGCTAGACTCTATTGTGACCTAGGCCACGTTTGGTTTTTTTTTTAACCTTGTTTGCGCAGTTTCCTGATCCAACAACAATATAATATTAATTGGAACTTTCTTTCTCAGGGCACTCAGAATCCAGATGGTTACATTTCAACTCTACCTGGGGCCAGCGTTGTATTTCATTGGCCAAGAAATGATTATGATCAGTTATTGTGTGTACGGCTCATGGATGTTTCCAATTGCACTTGGTCGGGGGGCTTTGAGGTTAACAAGAACAACTCCTTCCACATCAACATGAGGTGAGCATGATGTATCCCAGAAGAAATGTGAACCTAATTAATGGGCCAGGCATCTGATAGAGAAATGTAGATTTAATTAGTAATAGGAAACTGGTAATTTCTGCTGTCAGTGGCAATGTGAGAGGTACCAAATTTGTCAAGATTGTTCTGCCCTACCAACTCCTGCACTATGCTTTTCCTTTGTATATTAGGTACAGTTGACAGCTACTATGGGCCGCATATTGAAAAACAATAAAATAGTATTAATAATGGGAACCTGATTAGATTCTTTGTGCGTTGGCTATTGTTTGTTTATTTTACTTTTGTGTTAAAGCTTTAGATGACCAAGTGTGAGTTCAAGTTTACTAACTTCTACCTATTGTACTGATGAAATGATAGTTGCTTTCTGACTGGGACAATGTTTATTACCCTTTTAACTATGTATATTGTTTGGCTATTCCTGAATCTATAGTAATCTGTTGCAGTGCAATTGACTCAGTTCTCCTTGTGAGGGAATTTCATCCGTGGTTAGGTATTGCCAAGATGTACTGTCTACTTTCTGGGATTTGGGATCTCTTTGTGTTTTCTCCTAATCTGATCTTTCTAATGGATGCTGTGTATAAAAATGTTTGTTTTCTGATTGAAAAGAGACATTAAAGATAGATGTTAGCCATCAAAACAGTTGAACTTTATTTTAAGGGTCGCAGTTTGAAAACGCTATGCCAGCACCGGTTCCCCTTCAGTCTCATTCGTATAACTAATACTTTTGAAAGAGTATTTTCACAATGTCTATCCAAAAAGATTTTAAGTTAACAAATTTCTTGTCTGTGTGGTTACAAGCCAAAAGATAGGTTTTTTTTTCCAATTTACTGCATTTTTCATAAAGCTTTAAACATCTGTTAATATTTTTCCACATCAAATACTGTTACCTGTAAAATTTATATATACTGCAATCATTATGATGAAACTGTGACATGATTACAAACCTGAATAAAAAAGCTAATGTGCAAAATACAGAAGGCTTATTGATACTTGATTTATGCAAGTTGGCAAGGATTGCATGTCCTATCCTGTTAGCTCTGTGGGTAAGAGTATCATGGGCTACAAACACAGGTTTAATGTCTAACTTATGCTGAGCAATCCAATTTTAGCCACAGTGAGTATAATGTGGCACATATGGCCTCAACTTCCCCTCGCTATTGAGTGGAAAATTGGCTGATATTCCCATTCTTGAGCTTACTACAGCAATTCTTGAGCCTCCTGCGGCAATTCATAAGGAAAGCTTGTGGGTACAAAATCAAGATTGGAGTTTAAACTCAAGATTAAGTAATCCATCCACTCTACCCCCTGTGTATGAAGGACATGTAAGTGTGCAAAATACAGCAGGATCACTCTGCATGGCAGAATCCAAGTGTGATTCACCTAATGAATAGCAGACAAAGTCTAAAGCAGTATAACAATTTATATAGATGCTGGAAATCAGAAATAAAGCCAAAAACTGCTGTAAGAACTGAGCAGGTTTGACATTTTCTCTGGACACTGATGCTGCCTGTTTTGTTGAAAATCAGAGTGGGTTATTTTAAAAGAACATTTTGTTCACAGGAGTTGGATCTAGCAACACAATTAGTCACAAAGTCCTGATGTTGGTTTAAAGTTGTTTTGCGTTTTCTGTCCTCATTTCTGGTTATCCCTTGCTGTGTTACAAGCCAGCTGTAATTTGCAGCCTTGAAGTGCTTTCTAACCCAACTTTTCTTTTTGCAGAGATACTCAAGGCAACTGTCATCTCCTCCGAGTGGAGATTACTCTGAAAGGAGCGACATACCATATTGCATTCAGTAACACCGAACAGCTGCCACCGCCATTCCGCATCGACAACTTTTCAGAGGTAAATCCCTACTAACCATACACATCTACAGATCTACTGTACAATTCAAGATTTATAATCGGCTCCTCATGAAGTAGAAAGAACAAAACTAATTGCAAATAATTTGTCACATCTGCAAAACTAGGAGATAACTCACACTAAGGTAAGCCTGTAGCCAAGCTGATTCAGTACTGTTAGAACACTGGTCTACACTTGGCAGTGTATATCTTAGTGCGAAAACATAGGACAAATCAAACTCATCTATTTACCACCGCAACAGTCTATTCTCAATCATCAGCAAAGTGATGGAAGGTGTAGTTGATTCTGCTGTGAAGTGGCACTTACTCGACATTAGTGTTCACCAGCTCTCCGTCTGGGTTCTAACAGGCCCACTCAGCTCCTGACCTCATTACAGCTTTGGTCTAGACATGGTGAAAAGAGCTGAACTTTAGAAGGGAAGTAACAGTACTGTCCTTGACATCAGAGCATTCTTTGAGCAAGTTTAGCACCAAAGAGCCCTAGCAGAACTAGAATCATGTGAATCAGGGGAAAACTCCTGATGTTACACCTAGGAGCAATGAAGATGATGTGGTTGTTAGAGGTCAAGTAGAACAATTTCTGTCAGAGCAAGTGCAATCAGCTAGAGAATGGGCTGTTAGACCACTTCTATGAAATAACAAAATATGTGTTCAGCTCTCACCACAAGTTCCAAGTTCCTGACCTCCTCTCTTTCTCTTTCGTAGGTTGCAATCATTTTCAACCAACATGGTGTGGCAGAGCCGAGACTAAAGACCGAGGTAAAGCCAGGTACCTCACTGAATTATGCCTGGGACGAACCTGTCCTTGAGCCTTTCATCACACTAACGGTGAAAGGGGCAGGCTCATCAGAAATTACCTGTGATATGAATGATTTCAAAGAGTCCAAACAGCTTTACTATGAAAATTTCATCTATATCGCTGCCACCTATACTTTTTCTGGGTAGGCTTCAGTTTCTGTTTCCCAGAATTGAACTTACTGTCAGCGTTGTAATGTTCTGTATTGGTTTTGGACAATTAGATGCAACTTCAGGAACCATGATATGGTTTCAAAAGACATTTCCAACTGAAGGAAAGAAGTGAATTTCTTCTTTATGATCCGCTGTGTTTAAGTTTAGAGATTAAACCTCTTAAGGAAACATGGAACATCCAATATTTAAGCTTTTGTATTGCATCTTACCAGTTATTTCCAGAATTGTACTTTCAAAATTGTTCTCTTTGTATATGGCCCAAAATAGGCAGGCAGAGGGAAATGTACAGCCAAAATAGAAGACTTTTCCTGGAGAAGAGATCTACGTAATTTTTATTTTGAAACGTTAAATATCTCTCTATGATTACTGTATTGTGTCTCAGTTTTTTCCCATGCCAGGATTGAAAATTGTGGTAAACAACTTATTGTACTGAACCTAGCTCTCGTTTGAAAAATCTACATGACATGCATCTCACACAAGTGCAGAAATCCCCATGACACTATTTAAAGAAGATCAGGAAAGTTTCCTAGAATCCTTTTTTAATTCATTTAAATCAATTCAACCAAAACAAATCATCTGATCACTTTTTTTATTTGTGGCAACTAGCTATTAACTGCTACATTTCCTTGTATTAAATAATTTCACTTCAGAAGTACAGAATTGACTGGAAATATGATCCTGAGGTTGTAGTAAGATGCATTGTGTTCTGAACATACTTGAAATTTTTATGTCAACTTTGTAGTTTCTTTGTATTTTTTAAATTAGGCTTACAGAATCTTCTGGGAGGCCAGTTACTCGAAGTTCAGGAAATAAAAATATTAGGTTTGCAGAATTGGTTCTGGATGTCGCACCCACAACTGGAAGAGTGATACTGAAAAAAAAGGTAAACAAAAAATTAACTGCATTGAAAAAGTCCCTTGCAACAGTTGACATTGAATGGAAATCACAGCTACAACCAAAGTATGTATCCAAACTTTTTGCATCCCTTTCAAAGCACGCATGTGCATGTACACTTACTCACTTTCTGTGCAGGAAATGTTGACACTTACTGAAGTGGAGTTCTGTCTCTTCCACAGATATTCATAGAAGGACCTAAACAATGAGTGTTGTGCTCAGCTGTAATACTCTCAACTGTTTGAGCCCTTATAACTAGATAGAAGTTTCTTCACCATTCCAGACTAAGTTGCTGATATCAGTTTTAGAATTGTTTTGCAGATCAGTTAATTCTCCCGAGACCAACGCTTATACCAAGAAACCAGCCTGATCTGAAAGGCTCAGTATCTCACTGATTTTATAAAGTGAGCCTCAGAAACAAATAAGTTCTAATTTCTTTTAACTTGTTAACCAGGTGTTGATGGAGGAGATGCATGTATTTATTTTTTATGCATGTGGTGGAAGGGCAAGGAATAATGTTTTGCTGGATTCAGTCATCTATATCTATGTTTGAAAGCCTTAGTTGTTAGAATGACAATCAGGTGAGGAGTTGAGAAAGCAGGAGGAAGAGTGGAGCAATATCAGTATAGCAATCATGGGATTATTATAAATAGAACAAATTGAGAGCTAAACTTCATTTAAAATTACATAACCTGTGTAGTGCAATAGAAAATCAATAGCCCCATGCTCCTGTTTCGTTCAACTTCAATTCATAACTCCAGTACATGGAAAAAATTACTTGTGCTTCTATTAGCACCTTTCAGGGCCACAAAATATCTGTATTTTGCAGTTGATAAAGTACTTTGAAGCATTCTCACTGTTGTACTGTAAGTCGTTTGGGATATGTAAGTATTACCTGAGGATTTAGTGGGCTTTTTCGGGGTGGGAGTAGGGAAGGATACAGGGTGGTTAATAAATCAAGGTTCCTGTTCCTAACCAGTGACTCTGTTCTGGAATGCACTTACATAGTTGTTTGTTGAGAACAGAATTGAGCATAGCTGCAGTGGCTGCAGTGCCCATCATGATTGAGTTAGTTGGCTAACCATTGTAAAAGTTCAAACATGAAGAATGATGAGTTGGGCAAGGAAGTAGAGGCAGCCATAGCCCAGTAACAAAAGATGTTTTTAAAAGGAGTCGGGAGAAAATATTATGGTTAAACTAAATTTATTGTATTACTGAAATAGCTTATTGATGTGTCTTATTCAGTGTTTTAACCTATGACACATAATAAAATTCTGCTTCTATCTATGCTATCTAGGAACCAGGTAAAAGATCACAGCTTTGGCGCATGGCCAGTAATGGAATGATATGCCATGAAGGTTCTTCTCCTCCTCATAACCCCAACAAACCCTCCTCCAGTAGGCAGTCAAATTCTGGACTGGTCCTAGACATTACAGGCTTGGGTGCTGTCACTGACTGCAGGTAAATTAAGATAAAGTGAATGGGTGGGGCAAGAAGGCTTTCCAATTTAGTCATTTGTCGATGTGTTATGTTTTAGGAACTTAAGCTGTAAAATTCTGATGCAAATAATTCCAGCTTTTGTGAGCAATTATAAAGCTGCTGGGAATAATAACTATCCTTATTGTAGAAGGGGCAAATTCATCTCCTTCATGTTACTGTCTGTCTCCTAGTTAATATCAGCCCTCCTTGTTGTCGTCAGTGAATCAAACAGAGCTTGAGCATGTCAAAATATTCCAACGTTTATTTTGATTACCGTTGGGAACTGGAGTTTTGAGGATAGACTTTCCTCAGGATGTTAAATACATGGGGTACTGTCCACAGTGAGGGTGACTTTATGCAGTCTGAAATCATGAAATTTTATGGGATAAATGGCCCTTAGTTGATGGTTGTGGAACATTTCATTGAATTTGCCTTGGTACAGTTCAATTGTACAGTGTGTCTTTCCACACAAGAGATAAAATATTGTTCACCCCTGTCACTTTTGCACATAATGAATTTCCAATCTAACCATGTCACGTAATCTTGGTTGTTCTCTTCTCCATCAAAAGTGATGAATTGCCAACCCTCCAGTTCCTCTCCCAAATTGCTACGATGGAGTTCAAAAGCATAATACTGTGGATACTGGGAGTCACAAATAAATGCTGGAAGTTCTTAGCAAATCGAGCAAGATCTGAGGAAGACGAAACAAATTTAACATTTCAGATTGATGACTTTTCTTCAGAATCACTCTTCACCTTTAATGATTCCAGTCCAACGATTCAGCCTAGGATGGGAAACATAGCAGATTAACTTGAACATGCTGTCCACAATGTCTGTGCTTGCAAATTCCAGTAGAATCACTAAATGTCAATTGGGAGCAGAAACCTAATTAACTTTTTGCTCATTAGTTCTTGGATGTTGTTAGACAAGTTGTTACATCCCAGATGTTACCCTGGCTTCACAACAACTGGGTGGTAAATCTGAGACTTCCTACTCTAATTTGTTTCTATGTTAGGCAGTATACTTATCCATTGGGCCAACAAGAAAAAAAACTACCTATTTTATAGTTAGTTTCAAAGCGTGTCTGGGAAATATGAATTTTTATGTATAATTATATAATTTCTCATCACTTTGTCTATTGTAGATATGAGCCACTCATGCTGAAAAAGCCAGAGCGACGTCGCAGCAATACACAAACATGGTGTTTCCGTGATGGACGCCTGAGCTGTGGCCTGATGAGCATGGTAGTACAGGTAAAAATATTGACAGCGGCAGAATAAACCTTGACATCGTTTTATTTTAGCTACTGATACCTCATCTTACAATCCATAGAATGAGGAAATGAGGGAGGGAGAGAAAGTCACGCAGGACAATTTTTCGCGTTCTTTATTGTCACTGGCTTATTCAGTATGTTGGTACTGATGCATTTCAGAAGCACTCAACTTTGGTCAATTGATCTTGTCAATGCCACTTTTAATTTGTAACCTTAAATAGCTGTCACTCATTGCTGCTGTCAATGGCAAATCTGTAACCCTGTATACTTCAGCCTGGCATTTCCTCGGAATGTTCAGGCTGTCAAAGTTTAAAGGATATACTCTGTTATGGTGTACTTTTCTGAATGTTGGAGGTGAGTGTATTTTACAAATTGAGGCTCCCAGCGTTGTACCTCGCCAGATGGAGGCTTGTGTAGGTGGAGTCCTTACAATGCCCTAATTAGATTGAACATTTCACACTGTCAGTTTTGTGCTTTACTGAAAGGCTTCCATTAGCCACAGGTGTTTCGTGCAGACTTGGCCACTCCATTCTTAAAATTTGACCAGTCAAGGAGAAACCAAACCAAGGACGTTTTCATTCAGTGAGAAGGGATATTGGGAGAGTCACAGCTTCTTGCAATTCCTAATTTGAAGCTGATTTGAGAGCAGATTGCCTGATTCTTGGATGGGGGTCTAGTGCCCAGCCTATCAAAACAAGAATAATGCTTCACAATGGGCACTTAATAAAAAGAGGAAGGAAAATATAAATAATATAACCATATTATTTCTTATTGAAGGTGCACGGAGTTCTTCAATGTAAGCTGATCTTTATCAGGCAACCGTTCTGTTGACAAAAAGCAACAAGTTTCATCTTAAAAAAGACTTGTCACCTTTTTTGATTTCCTATTTCCTATTTTATAACCTTTACAATCCTTGCAACTGTTCTTTCTTTGTGGTAGGTAGTATTGGATATCCTTGATTCTGATCCTATTCTCACCAACATCCACTGACACATTTCTCACACAAGCCACTAAATAAACAATATTTTCCTCTTCTTTACTCCCAATTTCTGCTGTGCCAGGGATAAGGTAAGAATCATAATTGCTGTCTTCTGGTCTGTGTGGTTTGGTACTACTGCCAGTTTTATTTGAAAATGCACAGACTTGTATTTATATATTATCATACACTCAGAAATACATCAAAGCATTCCACATACAATTAGTTACTTTGCAGTGACATGTTACATAGACAAGAAGTAATATGAAGATAAGTTTTTGCAAGCTAGAACCCTTGAAATATTTTTTTTGACTGACCAGAGATAAAATGGAAAATCAGGCTGCACACAAGTTGACCCAAGTTCAAACCCCAACATTGACCGGCATTTGTTTGTTGGTTCCCAAGAGAATTATCCATTTTTATCCCAAGTTGTCCTGGGAGACAAAAAAATGCTCAAATAGAGATTCTCTACTTACATGTCTCAAACATATAGTATCATTTATCACTAATATTGTTGAGTTGAGCAAATATATCTATAAACTGGCTGTCTGATGAAGGATGATGTTCTTGGATTATTTTATGGGATTAGGAAGAAGTGATGAGTAAAAGGCTGAAGCTGGAAGAAATCAGACCTGTTGTAGGACAGGAAGAGGTGTCAGAGACAGATGGCCAAGGCAATGGAGGGAAGTGAACACCGGGATGAGTATTTCAAATTCGAGGCATTGACAATCCATTATAGCTCAACCAAAGCAGGGCTGTGATGATTGAGTGGATCTTAGTGCAATAAAATATTTCAGGTAGCAAGTTTACCAGGGAATGTTGCCCGATGCCAGAAATTTGAGCTGCAAATGGATGCTTGTTGCTAACCTGCACTCACAATCACCCTTTGCGTTTAGCACATTTGCCAGATGCAGCGTAGAAATATGCTCTGATCTTTTTGCTCATATGCTTTTAATTTGAAGGTACTAATTTTCAGTGAACTGTAACTGCGCTCATTTATCTAGGCAACAAAAGGCTTATATGATGGAGCAGAGGTAGTACTGGGTCCCGATTCTTCCTTTGGTCTGGAACAAGTTCCAGCTGAGCAACAGTTCATAAACCAGAAGATGAGACCTGGGTCAGGAATTCTGTCTTTACGTGTCATTCCTGATGGTCCGACAAGAGTGTTACAGGTAATCTGCTAATCATGAGTAAGTACAACTAAAATGTATGATGTGTTATCAAACTTGCTGACAAAGAGAGCATTTTTATCTTGCGGTAGAAGTTAATTTTCGTGGCTAAATGCTCTGTCTGCCCCTGCATCATGGTTCTGCTGCTGAAGACTAAAACATAATTTTCCAGACTGTTGGTAATTTTATTTCTTAGGAAGAACTTCCACACCCTTCCATTCTCACTGCATGCAACCTTCTCAAACCCAATATAGCTCATTTTTGTCTCCTGAAAGTACATTAGTGGACTCTCTCTGATGCCAGGTATTTGAACAAGCTCCTGTTACATTAACTTCTAACACCTCCCACTTGATAATTTTGGGCTGTCTACCATCAATCGTCTTTTCATCATTAACATACTATTCCTGTAGTTCTCCACCCATTACTAAAAATGCTTTTTCCTCGAACAGTGGTCCGGTCAGTTCCCATTCATCACTATCTTTCTCTCCACTATTCCTTCAACTAACTTCCTCAGATCAAATATCTCACTTGGAACACCATATAATATCTTAGTTGAGCTCATGCTTTGTGAAAAATAACTCTTTTTGATTCTATTGCTAATTGTGCCTGATCAACAGTTGTCTCCATTACGTTGACAACTATCAGCGCTGCTTCCAATTTCAATGTCAATTTTCACCAATCCCTCACTTCTGTATGGTTCATCCATGTATCTTCCCTTTCCTTCCTGGATTTCTTCTCTTTCATCTGACAATGCACTGTTCACAGACATCTATTTCTGAATCCCACAAATACTTACATATACTTCAGTTAACAAAATACCTTCTATAAAGACACTATTCTTTTCTCCCTGTTTCTTTGGTCTAATGACGACTGCACTTTGCTCATCAGAGTTTCTAAACTGTTCCACTTTTTTTCTCAGTCAGGTCCCTGCATTAGTGGTTAAAAGCACTCTAGGTCATATCAGACTCACAACTTTTTTATTATTTCATGGACTGTGGGCATCACTGACAAGGCCAGCATTGCTAATTTCTCTTGAATTGAGTGGTTTGCTAGGCCATTTCAGAGGTAGGTCAAGATTCAGTCGCTTTGCTGTGGATCTGGAGTCACATGTAGGCCAGACCAGGTAAGGATTACTAAATTCGTCTCTAAAAGGCATTAGTGAACGAGCTGGGTTTTTACGACAATTGATCTTAATTTTATGGACAGCATTACTGAAACTGACTTTACATTGCAGATTTATTAATTAGTTGAATTTAAATTCTACCAACTGCTGTGGTGGAATTTGAACCATGTTTCCCAGAGTGTTAACCTGGGCCTCTGGATTACTAATATAATGACATTACCATGACACCATTATCTGTTCCATTTCTTGTACCTGATCAGATCCCCTCTTCTCATGCCAGAAAAATTACTTCTTTTTGCTTCTTTCATTGTCTGCCCCACAACGTGAACATTCATCAGATTATTTTGTCATTCTGTCTTCACAATTCCAATGCCTTGCAATCTAACCTCCACCTTCCCTTCATTGTTTCCAGAATACTTTTGTTTACGCTTCCTGCATCCCCTCTTTTAACCTGCCTTTCTCAGGATTGAGGGGCTTTGCTCAATAAGCTGCCCCAATGCTAAAGATCATGTTTCCATTCATACCATCAGTGTGAGACGCACAGTATTTCCTCCCAATATACTACAGTGCATTAAGAATATAGTTTTTGTTGTTTATTACATGGTTCATTTTACATTGAGACACCCAAACGCAGATTAGTTGACCACCCTGCCCACAAGCCTTCGTTCTGCCCACAAGTGATCTTGACATGCCTTGGCATTTTAGCCACTCTCTCTCTTATTGTTCCAAATTCAGGAATAGTAGGTCATCTGTTCCTGGCCACCAACTTAAGTAACTTCAGATCTGGGAATCATTGTTCTTTAGTTTACAGCACAGGCTTTTACTTACGTGGACAGGCTTGTTCATTGCGTTGAGTTTTGATACAGACTTTTTCTCTGAATATAGTTTTGACTCAGGATGTTGGTCTGCTTTTCTTTTCATAAGTGATGAACTGGTTTGTGCTTTCAGTACATTTTTTTTTCCATTTCTGAGCTCCTACATTGTAAGGTTCATCCTGTTCGCTTTTTGACGTCCCTCTTTTTCTTCACATGGTCTTCTCTTGGGTTTATCACCTTTGCCTTTTGCCTATTATTTGAATATCTTTCCATTGCTTCATTGAGTTGAGTTTTATCATCTGTCAGTTTTCTATGAAGTGGACTGCAGTTAATTTTCTTTCTATATTTGGCAAATCAGTCATTTCTATCTTTCTCCCTCCTTTTACCCATGACTGTACAGGTGGGCTTATTTATCTTTTAGTTCTGAATTTCCCTTGATGATAAATATAACAGCATTTTCTGCATAAGATTGCTGGTAGTTTGTGAATTTCCCGGACGTCTGCTTTGGAAAATCTGTTAACATTTTAATGTTTATAATTTATTGAAATTACATAGATACCATTGAATCAGATTTTGTTTTGATCCAATAAGCGATTTTTCTTATTTGGTCTACTGACAAAATTGAACTTGTTATAGATCACTGACCAACAGCATCGCAGAACAAATCGCTCCCTCACAGGAAGCGAGGACTGTCCTGTAGAAATCGGTGAAATTCGGAAGCTAAAGAACTTGGAAGCTGATCAAGAATTAGAGGTGTGTGAGGGTTTCATTCTGATTTTGCTTTTAGACTGTTCAAGCCTTATGTTGATTTTCCGTTTATGAAATGTTTTCAAGACTCCTGGCTGTTAACAAACATGAACTCGATGATCTCAAAAAAAAAATTTTTTAATTTATTGTAAAGTCACTTAAAATATAATGACCCATTAATCAAGTGCAATTTCCTTACCAGTGTATCGGCAGACATGTAACTAACACTGACACTCACTTCCACCTAGCCATCTGTAAGAAAGAATCATCCTTGATACAAGAAATTACCAATTATATGGGGAGGTGATGGCCTAGTGGTATTATCTATGGACTGTTAATCTAGAGACCCAGATAACGTTCTGAGGACCCAGATTCAAATCCCGCCACAGCAGATGGTGGAATTTGAACTCAATAAATATCTGAAATTAAGAATGTAACGATGACCGTGAATCCATTGTCGATTGTCGGAAAAACCCATCTGGTTCACTGATGTCCTTTAGGGAAGGAAACTGCCATCCTTACCTGGTCTGGGCTACATGTAACTCCAGACCCTTGACTCTTAACTGCCCTTTGGGCAATAAATGCTGCTTAGCCAGCGACACCCTCATCCTGTGAATTAATAAAGAAAAGAAATTATAGATCTGTATTGTCTGAATGTATAGTAGTTAATGATAACTGAACCTGTATGCCCCTTCTCATTGGGTGAGGAACAAGAAGACTGAGTTTATAAAATGGATGTTGACTCATCTCAGATTAAAGTTAATAGTTAATGTTGGATAACTAGTGCTATTTTATAACTTAAATGGAATATGTCAAGAAGAATACATCAAAGAAAATTCTCTTTTCTATACTAAGATTGTGGAGAGTGATCAGAAAAAATACTACTTAAAAGATCAGTATTTTGAATGAGAACTGTTTTACTGCAGGATGAACATGAGGTAGAAACTTTTTTTTTAGAAAAGGGAAAATTGATAAAAATCTGAAGTAAAGATAAAGAATTATGGATCAAGGGCAAATCAGTGGGAATAGTTTTGAGTTAGAAGGTACGAGTTGTTGCAGCGCGTATAGTATATGGTATGTCCTGGTGACATTGTATGTGGTTTGAAAGAGAATGAATGTCGATGTTGGATGGGGTGTCAATTAAGCGAGCTGCTTGTTCTGAATGGCCTCAAAATTCTTGAGTGTTCTTGGAGCTTCACTCATCCAGGAGAGTGGAGTTGTGAATAGTGCTGAACACTGCACAAGCGCTTTTTGGCTCAACAGCCTACCACTTCTGTGAATATGGTATGAAGTTCACTTTGTGACGCTCCCTGGTTCAGCGTGCACCCTTTGACAGTATTAATTCATCCTGTAGTGTAGTCCAGGATAGATTTAGTTTAGCACAACTTCTGTAAAATAATTTGGATTTAAGAGAGTTCAGCTGTGGTTCACTGCACTAACTGGTTCTAGAGTTTCCTAACACATTACTCAAGAGGAAACAAAAAACTGAAGACATTTCTGATCTACATCCCATACATCCATGTGGGCCAATTCCTGTGCTGTTCCTCTCCACAGATTGATAAATGAACCATACAAAATCCTCTGTGTCTCAGTGAGTAAATTGTGCAATGTCAGACATGAACAATGCAGAACAGAAAGTCCAAATTTCATTCGTTGTCTTTTTTTAATAGCCTGCAAACTATACAGTTGTCACCATCAGGTAAAGACGTAATCAGAATGATTTCCTGGACCCCTGGCATTCATTGGCATGTGTCACATGTAGGTGAGGTATTAAAAGATTGTCAGTCTGAAACCATGCCCAAGAGTCTGTATCTTAGAGAATAAATAGCCACTGATATTATTGCAGGAGTAATGAGTAGTGTCCTAGACCATCTTCAATTGCTTGATCAACGATCTACTCTTCTTCATAAACTCAGGTGGGCAGTCCCTGATGATGTGTTCAGCAGTGTTCACAACTCCACTCTCCTGGATGAGTGAAGCTCCAAGAACACTCAAGAATCTTGAGGCCATTCAGAACAAGCAGCTCGCTTAATTGACACCCCATCCAACATCGACATTCATTCTCTTTCAAACCACATACAATGTCACCAGTACATACCATACACTATACGTGCTGCAACAACTCGTACCTTCTAACACATGAACTCTGCCACCGAGAAGGACAAGGGCAGCAGGTACATGGGAACCCCACTGCCTGCCCACCAAGATACTCACCATGCCGACTTGGAAAAATATCACCATTCCTTCATTGTTATTGGGTCAGAATCCTGGGACTTCTTTCCTAACATCAGTGTGGGTGACTCTATACCATACGGACTGCAGCAGATCAAGAATGCAGCTCAAAACCTTCTTAAGGGCAATTAGGAATAGGCAATAAATGTTGGTCTAGCTGTGATGCCCACATAGCATTAATGAATAAAAATAAACAATTTTAATTACTTCAAACGTGGAAAATAGTTATCTTCAGGAACAGTATTGTGGGTTTAAATATAGTCCCCATTTTAAATGGTAATTTTCACTATGCTTTAAATTTGCAGGTTTTGGTAAAGCTGGATGGAGGAATTGGTTTGTCGCTGGTTAACAAAGCTCCTGAGGAATTGGTGTTTACCACATTAACAGGAATAGATGTTCGTTACACACAGACTGCCACTAGTCAATTGCTGGAAGTCAGCATTCAGGACGTACAGGTAATGAAGTATCTTTTAACAACGCACAAGACAGCATGGGACTTCAAGGTACAGGTTCAAGCCCAGGGAGGGAAGTAACAAATAACTCGGGTAACTGGTTGGAAGTATGAGAGAGAAACATCAAATGGGCGACTGGTGATGCAGCAATGAGCGGATTTGCTGTATCTGTATGCTGTGAATTTCCTATGGTTCAGTAAAGCAGAGAAACTTTGAAGTCTATAGGCAAGCATAGGGCAGTGGGATTAGTTTTGGATTGCAGTAGCAAAGGGCCGCAAGAGGCTGTCTCTGTCCTATAAATTGTCATAGCTGTATTAAATCAGTTCTGACAGCATCATGATCAAATAGACTGCCAAGATTTGCTATCTAAATTCAACTTGGTGGTTTTATTGGCACACAAGGGAACGGTATGCAACAAGAGGATAGGTAATAGGATGTAACTGAAGAGGGTTGTGTGGCCAATTACAGATCCCTATAATTTGTTTCTACCCTTCATTGGCTCATACTTTGTCTAATTTTTGGGAAATTGTTCTAATAGAACAAATCTCCATTGAAAACTATCTGGAGGGGCTTTCGGCAATTTTAATGGCCCTTACAAGCTTAACATTTGTAGCCTATCCCTAATTGTCCTTGAACTGAATTGCTTGCTAGACCATTTCAATGGGCAGTTCATCAAACCACATTGTTAAACATCTGGACCTACATGTGGTTCAGACCTGGAAAGGATAGCTGCTTTCTTTCACTGAAGGACATTAGTGAACAAGATGGGTTTTTATGACAATTGATTATAATTTAACGATGACCACTATTGAGTATAGCTTTCAACTCCCAATTTTATCAATTGTATTAAAAATTTCTTTGGCATACAAGGAAAAGAAACAATATTTTTATTTCATTGTGAAATATTAAATGCCACTAAGATACTTGTTTCTGTATTTCACAAGATTGATAATCAGCTCCTGGGAACAATGCAGCCTGTGATACTCTCTGTGACCCCCAACAGTCCTGAAAGTGAAACAGATAGTGTTGAAACAGGTCCTGCTGTTCAGATCAATGCAATGAAGATCCCCAGCAAGAGTGCACTGACTGAACTCTTCAAGGTGAATGCTTAGTAATGCAGCTGTTTAAAGTATTCTGAATACTGATATGTTCTGGTATATGGTGAAATGTACAATTACAGCCCAGAAACAAGCCGCGTGATCCAACTTGTCCATACTTCACACAATCTTCATCCTACCCCTCTTCTTCTAACTCTATCAGCACCTTTAATCCTGAGTTTAGACAAACTTTCAATACAGGTGAGATCTGAATCACGCTTTTAATCTGGAGGCTAATCTTCAGTTTTCTCTAGTTTCATTGCACAAGCTCCACTGTTTTACCTCCAATGCTGAGCTATTATGAACATTCAGTAGCTTCCAGTAAAGCAGAATAGCCTTCTGGTCCCAATTGCTTCATTTACAGAGGTACCACAGAGTGTAAAACACAGCCATTTAGACCCGGAGCCCTCAAATTTGATCCCGAGGGTCAATGAGCTGATCTTAGTTGGGACACTGATTGTGAAGCTGAAGTTGGCCTTAGCATGCTAAGTCAAGGAACATGTAGCCAGGGTTTCTGCACCTGCCCAGTATTCAGTGTACTTGCAAGAAAATGCACAAGTGTGAATAGGACCAGATTTGGCTGTCATGCAGTACAGTAGACTAACAACCTGTCACCATGCCATACTGCGCGTAAACTATCTTGGAGGCCTACCACCACCTTTGAGAGGGGAAAAGTCTTTTCACAACCCAATTTTGTCCATCTCTTTTGGCCACCAGGTGGCGAACATAGGCTGCAAGATTTACCCAAAAATTATCAGTGGGGATGGGAATATGGATTTGAGGCCTCAAACCAGGTCAGCCATGATCTTATTGAATGGTTAATAAGGTTTAAGAGGCCAAGTGGCCTATTCCTGCTCTTAATTCACATGATGTGGAGATGCCAGTATTGGACTGGGTTAGACAAGGTCAGAAATCACACGACACCAAGTTATAGTCTGACAGGTTTATTTTAAAACACTAGCCTTCAGAGCGCTGCTCCTTCATCAGGTGCAGTGACAGAGGCATCAGGGGCACAGAATTTATAAGTAAAAGATCAGAAGATCACACAACTGATGTGAATGTATTGAATAAACCTAAAATGGCTTGCTGACTCCCTCCTGTTAAATCTTCAATCAGTTAGAAAGGATATGCAGGTTTCAATTGATGAAAATGCACATCCAGAATTTCTTCCAAATCACTGGGTTTTATTTCCAAAGCAGTCTGACTCCACATTAAAACACAGACAGACTCTAAACAAGGCCTCACACCTAAAATGCATTGTCTGACCTGAAATGCAACCTCTTATATACACTGATAAAACCTTTACATAGAACATAGAACATTACAGCGCAGTACAGGCCCTTCGGCCCTCGATGTTGCGCCGACCTGTGAAACCAATCTGAAGCCCATCTAACCTAAACTATTCCATTATCATCCATATGTTTATCCAATGACCATTTAAATGCCCTTAAAGTGGGCGAGTCTACTATTTTTGCAGGCAGGGCATTCCACGCCCTTACTACTCTCTGAGTAAAGAACCTACCTCTGACATCTGTCCTATATCTATCACCCCTCAATTTAAAGCTATGTCCCCTCGTGCTAGCCACCACCATCCGAGGAAAAAGGCTCCCACTGTCCACCCTGTCTAATCCTCTGATCATCTTGTATGTCTCTATCAAGTCACCTCTTAACCTTCTTCTCTCTAACGAAAACAGCCTCAAAACCCTCAGCCTTTCCTCATAAGACCTTCCCTCCATACCAGGCAACATCCTGGTAAATCTCCTCTGCACCCTTTCCAATGCTTCCACATCCTTCCTATAATGCGGTGACCAGAACTGTACGCAATACTCCAAGTGCGGCCGCACCAGAGTTTTGTACAGCTGCAACATGACCTCATGGCTCCGAAACTCAATCCCTTTACCAATAGAACCTAACATACTGTACGCCTTCTTAACAACGCTATCAACCTGGGTGGCAACTTTCAGTGATCTATGCACATGGACACCGAGATCTTTCTGCTCATCCACACTACCAAGAATTAGTTATCTTAGGGCAATGATTTGAAAGAAACTTGCATATCCTTTCTAACTGATTAAAGATTTAACAGGAGGGTGTCAGCCAGCCATTTGAGGTTTATTCAATACATTCACATCAGTTGTATGATCTTTTGATCTTTTACTTTATAAATTCTGTCTTGATGCCTCCGTCTCCATGCATGATGAAGGAGCAACGTTGCAAAAGCTAGTGTTTTGAAATAAACCTTTTGGAGTATAACCTGAAGTCGTGTGATTTTTGACATTAGTTCGTATATTCATACAAAGTTCATGTACGTGGAATATGAACTTAACCACCACGGATGTGAGGAATATTTCACACCTCTGAAGCAGGTGGGAATTGAACCTGGACTTCCTGATCCAGAGGCAGGGACATTATCACTGCAACTCTGAGCATTGATGAAGTACAGGTGGCAGTCCATTCCAGTTCTGCAGATATTTTCTAATCAACCTATTCAGAGAAGTTATTACAATCCAAACAATCAGAACCAGCAAAAGAGATTTTCCAGTAAGTTCTTTCACTGGCAGATATTGACTTTACAAGTGATGTCCATGCTAGATGCATTTGGGTAATAACAATGATGGTAAGCAAAGAGCTTTGAACTTAATTAAAGCAATTATTTTAATACTATTTCCTTTCCCTCCAGTATTCTTCCTTTCTTGAACAAAATGCTTCCCGTTGACAGTTCCTAAAGTGCAGATGCCCTGATATTTCACCCAAAAGTCGATAGTCTTTCTTTTTGTTGTGACTTACATATTATCAGCAAGCAACTTGACTTTGAAGGGCATCACAGCTGAGCCCAGTCCTATCCTCACGGTACATTGGCATGCCAACAATTTTAGTGGGATAACTGAATTGGAATTAAGCATGAACCTTGGCTGACTCCCCTCCCCCTACCCCATGAGCTGCAGTAATGAGGCCAATTACACTTCAGCTGCTGCCTTGGCTGAAATCAACTAACTCGGCACAAGTTGGAAATCGAATGTAGCAGTTCAACTCACCAGAAATCAAACTTCTAACTGCAGAAGTTGGAAGCTATTACCACTTCTGATTGTGCTATTTTAGCTTTGTTTGTGTTACAAGAACCCTGTCCAACTGCACACACATCACAACATCCTTGTGAAATCTGACAGGGTTTTAGTTTGTACTGTTTGTCGATGCATCCACAGAATAAGTGCAAGCAAGCATGGTGTATTTGAGTATTTCAAGCAATTGCAGAGATTCCTGGCACCACTCACCTCAGGTGCAATGTCTGGCCTTTTAGGTTCGACCACCCGAAATTTATGGCCAAATTAATGATGCATGGATATACACAGTACATCATTTTCTTTTGTCTTAATTTACTTAGATAATCTGTCTCCATGCACACAATCATACACACACGTACTCTGTTATCTTTGTTAAGTAGCATTTCTCACATGGCCTGTCAGGTATTAGGGAATTGCATCAAGTTCAGAGCAGGTACTTCCTCATGTTGAGAGACAGAAAATCAGTGGGTCTGACACTGTTGAGTAACCAGTTGCAGAGACTTCAGGATTTAAGAACAGACTGCCTCCTCCTGATAATATTGTGTTTGTTTTGGGGAGAGGTATGGGGGGGGAAAAAGAAACACTAAATATAATGCAGAAAATATTTGAAAGTAGAGATGCTGAAATCCAAGTGGCTATCATGGAAATGTATTAGATTTAGATTTGTGGGTTAGTTGCCAAAATAATAATTTACAATGTTTATTAAATTGACTCATTTAATGTGACTGGTTCTATTTCTGTCTGTGCAGCATCTTATGATCACAGTACGGAAACTAACAGTTCAAATTGAAGAGAAGCTCTTGCTGAAGCTGCTACACTTTTTTGGCTTGGGGCAGTTGGATCAAGGTACAAGTTACATCGCAGGTTGCTGATCTTAGTCTTTTGCCCAGTAAAGTATCTGTTATTAATTACCCCATCGCATGTTAGTATTGGATTCTACAGACTTCACAAAGGTTGGCTGTTACTCCATGTTGATGTACTGATGTGTTGTTAAAAGTTGGAATGACTCCATATGTAATGTTTTCCAATATTGAGTTCTCTATTTTACCTAGCCCACCTTTTGAGGAGTAGAGGAGAGGTGATGGAATGATACAGCTTAGGACAAATGAGCTTTTAGCAACATTTTCCAATTACAGGGGTCTTTCGACATTGTCAATTATTTAAAAGCAGGTTGATCTTTTCTATTTTGAGTTTTGCAAAAAGGTAGACTTGATGAGGACTGTCCTCTATGTTCACAGGGTGCCTGTCTGGAGAAGACTTAAATATTCCTTTAAAATTTTAGCCAAGAACAACAGTGGATGCCTGAAATTTTCTGAATTGTTCAAGCTGCACAACAGTAGGTTTTGTCCTTCCACATTTGGGTCATATGTAGCCAGTGTTTTGAGTTCCATTGCATATGAACATAGTACTGCTATTGGACTGCAATGCATTAGCAGTAGTTCAAAGAATATAGGATGATGAATATGAAAGCAGCTCACGATATGGAAGTGTATTAACTTCATCTACAATGAAATATGCTAAATAAGCCTGAGAACGACACTAGATTTGTCACTCAAACACTGTTATTCACTTTTCTCAACCAAAACAAAAAATAAAAGTTTGTATTTATATAGTGCCTTTCATGACCACCATATGTCCAAAAGACCATTACAGTGAATGCAGTACTATTGAAATATAATCATTGTTATAAGGTATGAAATACAGCAGCCCGGTTGCACACTGATAATTTTTGTGTTGAATGACTGGTATATATCGAACAGGACATCAGAGATACATGTCCTTAAAGATCAACAAGGTCATCTATGTGTGGAGCTACAAGAGATGGGTGAGATTCTAAATGAATATTTCTCATTAGTATTTACCATTTGAGAAAAGTGTGAATATTAGGGAACTTGGGGAAATAAATAGTCATGTCTTGAAGAGTGTCCACATTACAGAAGAGGAGGTGCTGGAGGTCTTAAAAACACATTAATGTAGATAATTCCCTTGGATCTGATGAAGTGTATCCCAGGATTTTGTTGGAGGCTAAGGGAAAATTGTGGGGCCCCTCGTGGAGATATTTGTATCATCGAGAGCCACGGGTGAAGTACCCAAAGATTGGAGGGTGGCTAACGTTATGTCATTATTTAAGAAAGGCTGCAGGGAAATGCCTGTGAACTACAGACGGTGCACCGTACATCCGTAATTTGTTAGAGGGGATTCTGAGAGACAGGATCTATAGGCATTTGGAGAGGCAAAGACTTATTTGGGATAGACAGCATGGCTTTGTGTGTGGGAAATCATGTCTCATGAATATGGTTGAATTTTTTTGAAGGGGTGACCAAGAAAGTAGATGAAAGCCGTGTGGTAGATGTTGTTTATATGGACTTTAGCAAGGTCTTTGACAAGGTACTACATGGTAGGCTGCTGAGTAAGGTTAAATCTCACAGGATCCAGGGTGAGCTAGCCAAATGGATATAAAATTGGCTTGATGGTAGAAGGTCTGTAGAGGATTGTTCTTCAAACTGAAGGCCTGTGACCAGCAATGTGCCACAGGGATTGGTGCTCAGTCCACTGTTATTCCTCATTTATATAAATGATTTGGATGAGAATTTAGGAGGTACGGTTAGTAAGTTTGTGGATAACACCTAGATTGGTGGTATAGTGAACAGTGAAAAAGGTTATGTGGGAATTCAGCAAGATCTGGATCAACTGGGCCAGTGGGCTGAAGAATGGCAGATGGAGTTTAATTTAGATAAATACAAGGTGTTGCATTTTGGTAAAGCAAACCAGGGTAGGACTTGCACGTTTAATGGTAGGGCCCTGGGGAGTGTTATAGAACAAAGAAATCTAGGGGTACACGGTACATGACTCCTTGAAAATGGAGTCACAGGTAGCCAGGGCGGTGAAGAAGGCTGTTTGGCATGCTAACTTCCATCGGTCAGAGCATTGAGTATTGCAGCTGTTGCAGCTGTACAAGACATTCGTGAGGCCACATTTGGAGTACTACATGCAGTTCTGGTTGCTGAACTATAGAAAGGATATTATTAAACTACAAAGAGTGCAGAAAAGATTTACTAGGCTGCTACTTGGACCGGAAGGTTTGTGGTATAAGGAGAGGTTGAATAAGCTGGGACTCTTTCTCTAAAGCATAGGAGACTGAGGGTTGACCTTTAGAGGTATATAAAATCATGAGAGGCATAGATAAGGTAAATAGTGGACAATTTTTCCCCATGGCAGGGGAGTTTAAAACTAGGGGGCATAGATTTAAAGTGAGAGGGGAGAGATACAAAAGGGTGCAGAAGGGCAATGTTTTTACCGGGAGGGTGGTGAGTGTCTGGAATGGGCTGCTAGAGGTAATGATGGAAGTGAGTACAATTTTGTCATTTAACGACCATTTAAGTGGGTACATGGATGGGATTGGTATGGAGGGATATAGTTGAAACTCAGGTAAATGGGACTCGTTTAAATAGTGAAAACTGGGTGGCATGGGCAAGGTGGGACGATGGGCCTGTTTTCATGCTGTAGACCTCTATGACTTTCAACGTGGTGTCATGGGATTATTCATGTCCACCTGAGATGGCAAACAAGACTTGATTTAATGTAGACAAACAGGACTGCTCCTTTCCTCCAGATGCTGCCTGGCCTTTTGTATTCTTCAAGCCTCCTGTTTGTCTACCTTGGATTCCAGCATCTTCAGATTTTTTTTTTGTCTCTAACAAAGACTTGATTTAAGCCCAGAAAATGCTGGAGAAACTCAATAGGTCTGGCAACATCTGTGGAGAGAGAAACAGTTAATGTTTCCAATACAGTATGACTCTTCTTCAGAACTGAATTTGCTTCTCAAAGGTGACATTTCCAAATAGGGAGACCAACTGTCCTTAGTCAGTGACCGGAAAGCATTCCAGAAGGACGGAACACACAAAGCAAGTAGCAAGCTGCTTTTTTATTTCATTCCTTTAAACTTTGTTTTCTTGATGAGATAAGTTTAAAATATGTCCAAAAGAAAAACAAATGAGTCTTTAGACCCCTTAAGAAAGAAATCCTGTGGGCATTTCAAAAAGGAATGGATTTCCAAGATCATTGAACCTGAAATGCCACCTTCAACACAAAAACAGAAGGTATGAATTGGTGTGATTTTCACTTATCGTGAAACTACTGTCCTATGCACTATTTGCCCTGAAGCAAATGTTGGAGGCATGTTAAACATGAGGAAAATGTGGTACAGTTGGACTGTCTAATTCAGCATTTGAGCCAAGAGGTGCACATGGATGCCGTTTCAGAGATAGTAGGAACTGCAGATGCTGGAGAATCTGAGCTAACAAGGTGTAGAGCTGGATGAACACAGCAGGCCAAGCAGCATCAGAAGAGCAGGAAGGCTAATGTTTCGGGCCTAGACCCTTCTTCAGAAA